CCCCCCCCCCCCCCCCCCCCCCCCCCCCCCCCCCCCCCCCCCCCCCCCCCCCGCCGCCCCCCCCCCCCCCCCCCCCCCCCCCCCCCCCCCATGGATTCATTTAGGTCGTGCATAGGTACCTAGGTGGCTACCCTCAGCCTGCTTCCAATTATTTACATATGCAAATGTGTCTCGATCTTACATATAAGAGTTCTTGGTATTCAAAGAGCAGCCTAAGGCGGCGGGCTACAATTATTGCAGCCACAGTGTTGGCTACTTGATTGAGTGGTGGCCAAAAATGATACCATAGTAGCGCCGACGTTGGCACCCACTGCATGATATCTAGGTAGGTACGTTAGGAATGAATATGCGAACTGAATACATGGCACCCAACATTATGCGATTGTCCTAACCAGATACGTACTTGGCGATTATATGCAGAGGCCCGTCACACGATAGGATATCACTTGAATACCTAGTAGGCACGTATCAGCAAGACCAGAGTATTATTGCCCATTTCCCGACACCCTTTGCTACTTTTTGTTTCTTCGAACACTTTGCTTTCTTCCACACTCTGCTCTCGTCTACATATGTACATCTTGGCCTACAGAGTATTAGCAAGAGCTCTTACTAGTCCTCAGGCATTGCTTTTTCTCAGTTATCACTACTTCACATAGCCCAGTAAAAAGAGTTATACTTACTCTATCTACCACTATGGATCCTGGCTCTTTAGATTTTGATCATATTCCGGCTATGGAGCCTCCGACGGGTGTGATCCCGAACTTCGAGACTCCCGACTCTTTAGCTCCGGCTGGCAAAATCATGTACAGCGTCGCACTACCCGTAATGATAATTATCGTCATCATTCGTCTCTATACGAGGTTGCATATAACTCGTGCAATTGGTGCAGATGACTGTAAGAAACCTTACTTAACTCTAAATGAAGTCAACTAACGAAGCTCTTAGGGCTTTGTATTGCCGGGACGGTAAGTATATTAGTACGGATTTCTATTTGTAAAATGCGCTAACAAATAATCATAGGCAGCTGTTATATCCTACTGTGGTGTTTCTCTGTCTAGTAAGTCTAGGCGATGAGGTAGTTGTTGTTTACGACCTAACGTGACTCTCGAAGTATTCGAAAAGGGATATCTTGGACCTCATCAATGGAACGTCCCGCTCAGTACCATCACCCCGGAATACATTCGAGTACTATTACCCCCACCACTTCCGTTTAACGTACTGATGCCATATTATATGGATTGACTAATTCTACCATTAGGGGTCTGTTGTTGTAACATGTCTCTATGGCGCTAGCTCTATATTCATCAAGACATCACTTCTTGTATTATATCTACGTATTTTTCGGCCCTCCAGTGCTGCGACTATAATAATATGGCTAGGTATTGGGTTGATAGTAGCCTTCTATATTACTACCATTATTTCAACTGCAGTCTTTTGCAACCCGTTGCTGTGGCCACCAACATCCAACCCCATTGAATTCGCAGCGGCGCAAAACAAGGGCAAATGTAACCAGCCACAGTTACATTTATCGGCAGTCCGAGGAATATTTAGCACCGTCTCGGATTTCTATGTGTTGGCTATTCCCACGGTTTTGATTTGGAGCCTTCAGCTCCCCCTTATGCGTCGTGTCGGCATTGTCGCTATCTTCCTTGTTGGGTTAATGTCAGTTCTAAATAACTCGCCACTGAGGTATTCGAGGGCTAACACAATATTAAAGTGCTACTGGTAGCTCGATAGCTACAGTGGTGTTCCGTTTTCGACAATTGAATTCCGCTGATTTCTCATGGTATTCTGCCATGAATATGATCCTTGGGTACGTATACTTATTCGTTTACCTAGAACGTCTGTGATTAGAGATAATAGATTACTAAATTTAGTTAATAGGGGTGCGGAATTAATGGCGGGCATCATTTGCAGTTGCTTGCCTGTAGCCTTCGTGACCTTCAGGCGAGTTACGATAACATCTTGGATATCCCTTACGCATTATGTTAAGACACTTCGGTCCAGGCCCAATGGGGTAATCACTGATAGTAACGAGTCGAAGCTTGTGAAAGACTCAGTAGTTTCGACCAATAAACTACCAAAGATTCCTCGGGCAACGATTACTGGCCTCAGAACTTTCATGTGGGGCAGTTCTCGGGGCCAACCGAGAGAGTTATCAGAGCTATCGACCTACAATGAGATCAACTCTATTGATGACGAGTACCATTTACAACTCAAGAGCGCGCAACATACGGTTTCCCCTTTATTACCCCTTTCAGCAAGGACTGCGCCATCCAGGTCTACGGGTTTCTAGAACGTTAGTAACAGATCAAGTGTGTCGGTTGGAATGACTGTTTCTTGGGTAGCCGTTTACTTATCTGTTTTATGTATTAATTAGTGTTTTCATAATAAATTCGTCCGAAATAGGAATACTTCGTGGGGAATATACGAGCGGAAAACCGTTATTACTGTATCCCCACGATGCCCGTGTCTAACTTGATAAGACCTTCAATCCCCTAGTCCGCGCTCTCTCATTGACAGGCCTTATAGTTGATCAAATAATCTCGTATAATGCAGCTACCTCATTGGTCAATCAACTAGTACGTTAGGTAGCTAATACTAAAATGAGCCTTCCCAGCTTATGACTCTTCACAACGTGGTAGTAGAAATATATATTTATGGTTTGTAAAAACCATACTCCCTCTCGGTTATAAGCATTCATTTGCATTATGCTATTTTCACTTTCATTCTCATCCCATCCACTGGTTTAGCAGTAACTTGTCGTGTCTGTGGTGCCTTTATTAATAGGTGACCTAAGGGGAGGAGGAAATGATAGTGAATTTACTTACGTTATAGAGTTCTGGCTTAACTTTAAGCCGCCCTCCATTAGCCGTAACTGGTAGATTCGTTTCGTCAATCTCAATCTCGCCAAGACCAACTTTGACGAAGTCATATCGACGCGCTACAACAGCAATGATGACGCGCAATTCGATATTGGCAAACTCTTGTCCGATACAGCTACGAGGTCCACGCTCGAAGGGCCTCCAAGCACTATTAGGGATTTGGTTAGGGGGTAAGGTGGTTGAGTACTTCTTAGATAGTTCATCGTCTTCCCCGATCCATCGCTCTGGTACGAAGGTATTGGCCGAATCACCGTAAACATCTGGGTCTCGGTGTATAAGACTTTCGCAGTTATAGATTATCACTCCATCAAGGCAATGCTCTTGGCCGTCGGGTGTCCGTACAGTAAGCCCTGTGCCGGGTGCCGATGTTCGCGCCGTCGCAGCCGGCGGATGAAGGCGCAGCGTCTCTTTAATAACAGCTGCAATATATTTCATGCGGCGCAATAAATCTGGACCATCATGGGAAAGGAGCTTTGCTCGTACTTCAGCCACACCTGTCTCTGGGCCAAGAATATCGTCGAGTTCAGTACGAACAGCTTTCAGAGCGTGCGGTGTGAGTGATAGCTCGTACAATATCCATGCAATGGCTGTGCTAGTGCCGGTACATGCAGTTAGAACTTAGAAGCATGAGTTACACGAATAAAGTGATAGGATGATGGGGTTATACGTACATGTATGTTAGAGTTAGAGCCTGTACTGTACAAGATACTTAGGTATTATATTACTCATAAGGAATAATATAGTACTCACGAAGTACCATATCGTGAAAAGCCGAGGGCGTCCCTACATCTCTGAGGCTTTTACACCTATTTATATAGCCCGTACTTGATAACTTCCTAGGTAGGTAGTGATCATAACAGCCGTGTAACAACGACTTATGAATTCTGGGTAACCAACAAGTTGCTCATATTGACCAATAACGTTCACAGCTTCTCATCACACAACCAACAGTCTTACAGTATATGCCAACCATACCACTTCTCAGACCATTTCAGCCTTGTGTAGTAGAACAATATCCACGTCAAGTCCGCTGATTAGAGCAGTATATCTTGGTATAAATCACTTAGCTACCTACAAGAGCGGAACTCCTAAGAAACGTCGCAAATAAGATATTTCTATAGGCTCGAAGTAGCATGCTATACTCCAAATCCTACTAGATTCTTCTGTCCGAAGCGAATTCTTACACTAGTTACACTATCATCATGCCGTTGATCTAACCAATATCTAATATTATAGAGCTAAAGCCTTAGCATTCGAAGTTCACCTTATCTATTCTTCTTGTGAGAGCTTACCTAAACTTGATAAGTTCATAGTTCTTATGACAGATTTGCTACTACGAGATAGGCTCTCTTCAATGGCATCTCCTTTTACAATAGCCTATTGGATACCTAGTAATTACGTAATCCCTTAAGGCATCTATCCAGTCTAGGTACGAATGCGGAGAGTAATTGTGGGTTAAATACTAATGATAGGTACCTGCTTCTAGCGGTTAGATAACCGGATTTAATGCTCCTATACCGGTATGAGATATGAGATATCTCACGTAGATTGGTCTTTATCGCACTATCCCGGGTTTCGGCCTCTTCAGCTGTTCTTAATTGAAGTTTATGTTAGATAAGCTATAGAAAGAGCAGTAGACATAAATAAAAATGGAGTATAAACAACAACCCGAACGAAACGCAACACAGGTCAAGCCACGTCTTATTATTCACGGCGGCGCTGGCAATATTACACCTGAGAATTTAGGGCCGGAGAAATATAAACAATATAGACATGCGCTTCTCACTATCGTAGGTCCTTATCTACCTACCTACCTCTGATTTGTTGAAGGGGAAGGAAAAACTAAGACATATATAATACATAGGTCTCTAAGACGGATGCTTATATGCGCACTCCCGTGGCGTTGAGTGGAAATAACTCTTCTGAACTTGAGTTTCCTTCCGCTCTCGATATCGCCGCATACGCCGTGACACTCCTCGAGAGTAACCCGTTATTCAACTCAGGCCACGGCGCCGTATTCACACGCGACGGCATCAACGAGTTGGAAGCCTCCGTCATGGTAACACGGGGTTATGCTAAACGTGGCGTCGGGGTAACCGGCCTGCGCAGGGTGAAGAACCCAATATTACTAGCGAAGGCAATGCTGGAGCATGGAGACGAAGATTTGAGTGGAAAGAATAAGTCGGGATTGGCGCAACCGGACGTATTAACAGAATCCGATGGTCCGAAGACGGCTGGTCTTGACGTCCCGTCGGCGCAAGCCCACACGCTTATCCACGGGGAGACGGCCGAGACATTGGCCAAGATATATGGGCTTGAACTAGTCGACCCGAAATACTTCTTCACCCAGCACCGCTGGGATGAGCATATACGGGCACTAGAGAAGGAGAAAGCGGGAAAGGGTCTGGCGACTTGGAGCGCTGAGGAATATCTACCCCAAGGCACATGCGGCGCGGTCGCGTTAGATGCGGATGGAGTTGTATGTGTGGCCACTAGTACGGGGGGTTTGACGAATAAACTTACCGGACGCATTGGTGATACACCTGTCGTCGGCGCTGGCTTCTGGGCAGAAGAATGGGCTGAGACGGGCGAACCAGGTGGGGCGAACACCTCGAGAAGTATAACGAGATATTTAGGCTTGCCAGGTCCAGTTGTAGATCTGTCGGCGAACCTACGAAACCTAGTCGCTGACTGCCTACCAACTCCCTTCATATATTCTCCCGTTGCCCGGATAGCTTCCAGCAGCGGCTACGATCACTTACAAACGACACGGTCCATCGCTTTATCGGGTACTGGAAATGGCGACTCCTTTCTACGAGTAGCCGCTACTAGAACGGTCGGCTCGATCGCGCGATGGGCGAAGGTACCGGCGGCCAATGCCTTGCATCGCGTTGCCGGAAGGGGTGGAGAGCTACAAAAGAGCGCTGGAGACCGTTGGGGCCAAACGGGTGAAGGAGAGGGTGGTATGATCGGTATAGAGAGCATAGTGTCGCGCGATGCATCAGGCCGCGTGGTTAGCACCTCTGCCAATATACTGCAGGACCATAATTGCGGAGGGATGTTTCGAGCGTGGATTAACGATGATGGAAAAGCGGCAATGAGGATTTTCCACCCTGACAGAGCAGACAAGTCTCTAAACTCGATGGCTATAATCGGAGAGGGCGAAACCGAGGACGTTTGGCGCTGGGCTGCTGATAAAGCATAAAGTATAGAATCACTAGACTATCTAGGCAGACTGATTAGTTATAGATACCAACGCGAGATTTCGACACGGGTAATCTAGAAGTAACTGTGTTCGTCAACATTAGGTAGTGTATTTGGGTGTGGGTGTCCGCTGGACAGGCGCACGGCTTATGGAGGACTATCGACAGCCCGTCCCGCCTCAACACAGCGGCAATATCCTCTTATTTTACATGTCATTCATCGCCCGACCATCCGTGTTGGTTATGCAAAGACCGCCTAAACCCCGATATAAATACACGAAACCGATTCGATAATAAATCGGAAAGGAGCAGAGTGGGAGTATATATTTTTTCGTCGCATTCGTTTTTAAAGCAACCTATGCAAAAGCCTTATCGGTGTCTGGCGGTGGTGGAGGCGCCTGGACGAGTGTCAGTTGGCTTTCTATGCTTTTCCAGTGATGGGCTGGGCGACCATAAAACCTACCTCTAATTTCGTCGTGCCCGCAAGCATTCTTTGGAACCCTATACCAACACCTTCGATGACAGCAAGGAGTACGGCGCAACCGATGGCACCGTTTCGCGCCGCTTTATATCCTCCTCGGATAGCTAGAGCACCACCTGTGAAGAAGCCGGCAACTAATAATGTTGTTAGTGTATAATTCTTTGCCAAACATGTAGATAACATACTGATGGCATTGTAAGGATCCTCCTTTTTCCGTATTCCCTTAACCGCGCAGTCAAACGTCGAGAATAAACCGCCCCATACACCTATTCCGTAGGTAAGCTTTGTCAAGATTGCTAACGCCTTCTCGTGTCTAGTGCCTACCGAAGTTACCACCTAGTACTGGTGCCCTCGCCTTAATAGCTGTGATTGCACCTATCCTCCTCTCGCCCATCGGACTGTTCCGGAAACCCTTGATACCGTGCCATATAGTTCCGCCGATTGCCTAATAGAAGAAGACAAGCATTAGCTCATTTCCTCAAGTTTAACCGGGAAATAGTAGTAAAATAGAATAGATGACGTACACCCATAGCAAATGCACCTCCAAAGTCGTTCAAAATGACCCATGGGCAAGGGTCTCTTGTGTGATCCATCTTGAGTGTCTGGTATAGTGGCGGGAAATTCTAGGATTTCGAGGTGGGATGACTAAAATTCTACCGATTGTGGTCGCAAACAGTATCTCGGACGACTATTCGCAAGTTTTGCTCGTATGGGACGGAATGATAGTACGACGACGTTCGTTTTCGTCAAGATGGACGATTTTTTGCGCGGAGTGTATTGTGAAGATGCAAATAATTCTTGAATGTTGCGTATGAAGAATGACTTCCATACAGAAAATTGTTGCTTCGCTATTGTGCACAGACCATGTCGGATGCTGAGATAAGTCTTCTTCCGATAAGCGATAAACGATAAGCGACAGCCGCCTTACCGCCATGCCGGCTCAGCCCCTTGTCCTTGTAAGTCTATTTATTTACTTTGGTTCTTAGTGTAGACTTGTACCTAATGGCTTTAGCTCTTGTTTAGTCTAGGATAACTAACGCAAACAAAAAGGAGAAGTCCGTCAAATAACTACTTTAAATATTAAATCCTCATACTCTATTCGATTGTTTATATTTTCTATTCGTATAATATCTCTCTCTGTTAACAAGATAGACAAGGTCAATGTCGAGGAGCAGAGTCTATTATGCTTGTGCCGATATCGGAAGCGGATATCACATCCGAATTCTGTATGAGTTACGTATGACAGCGTACGAAGCACATGATAACACATCTATAAACAGTCGTACGGTTACAAAAATATGTAGTAGTACATACCTGATAAAGCTACCTCCCAATGTAGAGCCTGCTTCAGCTGTATGTACATAGTTGGAAAACTGCGCATTAAGAGATGACTCGAGGAGATTTTCCCGGGGTATTCGCCCAAAATTTTTCTTATCGACCTAACAGCTAAGAGATAAAATACTTGCCAGAGACGCCGTCGTAGATTAGAATATGACGTGTGAACCACGCTAAAATTCATCATTCTTCTTATACTAATTTAAGAGCTCCTTTGCAACTTGCGGTCTAGCAAACATCAAACATATTATATTATGTAACTACAGGCAGATAGGTAGCTAAGGTTCTTTTTGCAAGTGTATATCTGCCTGTTTGTGTATACCAAGACTACGGTATGTTTCGTCTTGATAGTCTCTACATGTCTAGACCTCTTATCTACCACAATTAATACAACGTTCAGCATTTAAGACAGCTACTTTAGTTATATTTATGGAATAATGGAATGATGAAACACGAGATGAAGTCCACTTTATCATATCTCACGTATTGACGGCCGGATATCGCGTCATAGGCGCCATAGCCGGGCAGGCAATCCTGTCTGACCGATATGCCTCTCCCCTTGGTGTTAGGTGTTAGCCACCAGCCTTTTTATGCAAACTGGCCAATCGATCTTCCGAAAGTCCATAAGAAGAAAATTCCGCACACCGTAATTCGGGAGTTGGGAACGTGTCACTTACTTAAAAGCCTCAGGCCCGCTCTCCCTACTCTCCCTGCTCGCTTCGAACGTGTCTTCTTATGCATTCCTTACCTAGCCTTATAACTTATAAGTTATAAGTCAACACCATAATTGCAGATAACAACCAGAAACTTGTAAGCCATGGCTGTAGGGCTTGGCGAGAGGACTGGCGCGTGTCAACGCTGCCAAGCGATCGAGGACGAAGAGACGGAAAAGAAAGATACCAACGAAGCCCTTAAGAAGCTCTATGCCAACAGCGTCAAGACTGCAGCCTGTAAGTTTGACCGAGTTGAAAGTCACGACCTTATGTGGAATCAATTTTCCGTGAAACAGCGCCCTACATCCCACAACATCTTCCAATCTCCAACTTTCCAATCTTGGGAGATATTCAAGGAGATTGACCAATGGCGCTAGCTTTGGGCAGAAACACGTTACATATCGGGCAAGCTGCCGGGGTCCCAAAAGTTGTTTAAAGTTTTACTTTACCTAACATACTAAAAAACCCCAGAATATTAGTGTAGCCCCACTCTAGCATACTGGGAATCTGGGGCAGATGTACCTGAAATTGCTGAAATCCCCTGAATCGCGTCACTACATACAAACATACCTCAGACGCTAACGTCTAGAAGCTCTCCACATTCAATTATCTTCTTATCAGTCACCACGCCACACGTCATTTTCAATCCTTTCCAATTTTACTGCTAAATTCCATGATCAATTCTATCTGTCCTTTAATTATTCTATATTTTTCATATCTCTCTTTATAGAAGGGATAATTATATAACCCTCTATTTATTATCTCTTTCTTTTAGATATATGTTTCCAGAGCGGCAGTTAATCCGTAAATAGCAGCCATGCCATCTACAGCCGCAGCTTCGGCTCCATCTCCAATTCTCGAAATTCCTCCTCATACAACACCCCAACTACACCACAACCTTAAGCACGACAGTTCCGTCCTTGCGCTTGCCGTTGGTAATGACAGTATTTATGCTGGAACACAGAATGGAGAAATTGTTGTATGGCTTCTGGGCACATTCCAGAAGACACATCACGTACAAGCCCATAAGCGTAGCGTTATGTGTCTTTTCCTATCCGACGATGGCTCCCTACTTTTTTCAAGCGCCAGCGACCCGATCGTAAACGTCTGGTGCCCCCAAACCATGACCCGTCTCTATGAGATATATAGCACCAACGATTCCTTTGGCGACATATTTTCCGTCTCCTACTCCTCCCAACACGAAACCGTCTATTATGGCGCTCAAAACACTTCCATCCAATGGGTTGGTCTCAAGGATCCTGATAGACGCGTCCCCCACGATTCCCCAAATCATCCCGATCGACGGAACCACCGATTCTTCGATTCTCGAGCTGTTGGTGGAACAAGCACACCTCGACCTACGGACGAACGGTACGACTTGATACCCCGATCTCAGACCGTACTAGAAACGGATAAGCGATCGAACAAGATGTTCGCGCACTACGGTTACATTTATTGTATGCTCATGACAAAAGGTACAACCACTTACACGGAACCGGATGAGGATGTTTTAATATCGGGCGGTGGAGATGGGACCGTAAAGGTCTGGAAGCTCGGTGGCCACGAAATCGGTCCAGACGGGTATGAGAATGGTATCGAGGAGATCATGGTATTGGGGGAACAAGATGCTATGTCCGTCATGTCCCTTGCTGTTGATGGCTCATTCCTATATAGTGGGAAGCTGGATGGCATTATCGAGCTATGGGACCTTGATACGAAACAGAAACTAAGAGTAATCAAAGCCCACAAGGGTGATGTCATGGCTCTTAAGATGGGATGGGGTTACTTATGGAGCGCAAGTCGTGCCGGGACAGCATGCGTAAGTGAATCGGACCAGTCGACTAACTAAGATAACCTCTAACAGCCGAGCAGAAACATAATACCGTCCACTATGGAGAGTATCAGCGCGATTCCTCGCAAAATGTCAACCAGAAGTACCAATGCTTGACTCAATGGAAGGCCCACGATGGCAAGGTGTTGTCTTCTGCTGTTACAACCCATGATGGGAGACACATCTACATCACGGGGGCCAACGATAATAACGTCGCCATCTGGATGCTCAAGAACGAAGCGACAGCTGAACAGCCATCGCCTGAAGAGCATGAAGATATGATGATAACTTCCCTGCGAGAGTTCGTATCATTCAAGACGGTCTCTTCCCGACCTGAGTATGCCGAAGATTGTCGTCGAGGTGCCAGCTTCCTCCGCACATTGTTCAAGAAACTTGGCGGCGATGTTGACATGTTGAGTGACGAGGACACATTTCACCATCCCGTGGTGCTTGCCAAGTTTAGCGGGAAACTTGAACCGGCTGAGAAGCGAAAGAAGATTCTGTTCTATGGCCATTACGACGTTGTGGCAGCGGAGACTAAAAACGGAAAATGGAACAACGACCCTTTCCAACTTACTGGAACTAACGGGTACCTATATGGTCGTGGAGTCAGCGACAATAAAGGGCCCATCATGGCTGCCCTCTATGCCGTGACCGACCTCATACAAGCGAAATCGCTAGATTCCGACGTCGTTTTTCTGATTGAAGGACAGGAAGAATCTGGGTCCCGAGGTTTCAAAGAAACCGTGCGCAAGTATAAGGATCGCATCGGCAATATCGATTACATCCTTCTAGCTAACAGCTATTGGCTCAACGACGATACTCCATGCCTTACCTACGGCTTGAGGGGCGTTATGCACGCGACTGTTTGTGTTGAGTCGAGAAATCCCGACCTGCATTCTGGGGTTGACGGTTCATATATGGTTAATGAGCCATTATCCGATCTCATGATGTTACTCTCGAAGCTCAAGGGCCCGCGCAACCATATTATGCTACCTGGGTTCTACGACGGCATCCTCCCCCTGACGGCCGATGAAGAAGCTCGGTATGATGACATTTTATCCGTTCTCATGGAACAAGGCCAGAATGGTGTTTCAGCGGAAGTACTCAAGGCTAATCTTATGGCACGGTGGCGTGAGCCCAATCTTACACACCACAAAGTTAAAGTCTCAGGTCCTGATGGCAGCCTAATAAGCAGTCACGCAAACGCTAAGATTAGCGTTCGGCTCGTCCCTGGGCAGGAGGTCGAAGAAGTTACTAACTCTTTAACCTCCTTCTTGGAGGAAGAATTCAGCAATCTGGAGTCGGACAATAAGCTGAGTATTCAGATCGACAACCAAGCTGAGCCTTGGCTTGGTGATCCCAACAATTACATCTTCCAGACCCTTGAGGAAGCTCTCATGCAAGCTTGGGCCCCCTTGTTCGACAAGGATAGCAATGGTACTAGCAATGGAGTAGGTGTGAATGGGCATAGCACCAACGGCAAGCCCAAGCTCCGCAAACCCCTCTATATCAGAGAAGGCGGCTCGATCCCTGCCATAAGGTTCCTAGAGAAAGAGTTCAACGCCCCGGCTGCTCATTTACCATGCGGGCAATCTTCCGATTCGGCCCATCTCGATAACGAGAGACTACGAGTAATGAACCTGCTGAAGAGTCGCGAGATCTTCGCCTACGTATTCAAAAAGTTGTAGAGCGGGGGTACATTTTGGAATCATTGATGGTGCTACGGCGTTAAAGGAAAATATACCTAACCTATATCGATTCACTCGTAGCGATGTAATAGTACATATTAGACACTGGGATGATAGCGTGGCGTTTGCGGTACCCCATAGATTATAAAAGTACAGATACCCTTGGTGCTAATTCCTTTCAGGGATTCCTAGAAGCACAAGTTCGCGCTCCCTCTAACCCCTATTTCTCTTCTAATATTATTAGATATTTCCTTTAAACATAAGCTCCAAGTTCTGCGCTGATATTATATGACAATGACATCTAGCTAATCTAAACCCCCTTCATTATCTAGTCTTCCCTCAACGGCGGTTTTCTCGATTTTGGCTATTCCTACGCGATGCTACCGGCTCAGTTGGAGGAGCCCGCACATTTAAAAGCTACCACCCGGGGAATAGCCATCGCCATCCACGCCGTTGTTGTGGTTGGGGGTTCTCACGAGGTCGCCGGTTGGCATCGGGCTGGTTATGGTCATAGCCACGGGTTGAAGGTACCGAGATGGGTCGTGGAAGGGTAGCGCGACGGGTGTTTGGGTCGTCCCGTAGGTTTGCCAAATGCTGGCCGAGAAGAATTCCATCTCGGTAGGCGATCTCCATGACGTCGAGGTCCCCTTGATTAGGATGAGGGGGTCGGTACAGGTTATGCGGAGATGTAAAGGCGCTGTGTGGCCCGTATCCCCGAATGTCCGTCTGGGCGCCGCTGTGAATAGATCTCCTCCGTCTCTGATTGTGAGAACTAGGGGGTCGTTCGGTGTCCTCTTGTATCTGTCGCCCTGGGAATAAAGGGGGATTGCCTTCGGAGGCGGTGTCGTATACCTCGTCGCTAGGCTCGCTGGCGCGGCCGGTACGTGATCCAGTACCTGAACGTCGGGATCGTTCTGATGGGCGATCATGATGGTCTCTAGCCCCAACTTCTCCTATGTTCGAGTGGAGCGACACTCGCCGAGATTGCCTATTGGTGTCTGAATGATGCTCAGAACCTCCGTTAGGTCGACTTCGCGGAGTAGACGTACCTCGACTTGATCTACGCGGCCGGTCCGCCTCGCGATTTCGCTCGAATACTGCAAAACCATCATCGTCAATGACCTCAACCAAAAGGGAATATCTCTTCCGACGAGGTTCCTCTTCAGCAGGTCTGGGGGAGCGGGGGCTCGATTCTCGAGGAGACGAAGACGGCATCTCTTTTCCCGATTCTATTTCGACTCCGCGGATGCTACTTTACTAGCTCAGGTTCGAGAGTTAATTTAGGGTACTATGCACGGCAGATCATGCAAATCACGAACCATTATATACAACCTTATAGCACCAGCTTTACTGAGAACGTTCTCGATTGCCTAGTCTCTCAAAGACTACCTTTTGAATTCGTTGATTTATCCAGGACCAGAGATCCACCGTGAATGAAGTCGATCTTTCTTCGTAATAAGACATGCTATTGAACATTAGGCAATTCTTTATGCATCTCACCATATATACCCATTTTACTGCGCAATGTCTCTCGGGTAAATTCCGTGAGACCTTCATTTTATACGGGCCAGCTATTACTGATGAATATAGAGAGCAAGACTCAGCTGTTAATGGGAAAATGTAGAATGTCGGGTATTACTTAAAACAATGTCCCTAATTGTCGCATCCCACACCGACATTTACCTACGAAGCTCCTTTTTAATGCACACTACCTAGGTTTTTACACCCGATACTCTACAATAGCTCTTTGTTCTTTCACGTATCTATGCGCAAAGGGATACATAAATATGGCTTGATAGGTATGGGGGACCTAGAATCCCACTATTCATTATTTTACTACTCTATCACCTCCCTCATACGCATTTTCGTGATATTAGAATCTATATAAAGTACATGAAGCCAACATAGCCGCACTTTCTAGCCGCTTGTTTTGCGTAGTCCTCTTCCATTAGCACACATCGCTGCGCAAAACGCAATAATTGCAAAGACGGTCGACGCGGTAAAGGAGTATCTCAATCCATCGTAGTAAACCATTCGTGCTTTGAGCTGGATATCTAGGGGCAGCTCACGTATTGTCTCGGCGGAGTGACGAATTGCGTCGATTATCTATTATCGTTAATTAGCATCCAACTGAGGCTTTGTGGAGTCGAATATCTTGTAACTAAGAAGGGTCATACTCTCCATTTATCTGGTACATCATTAAATACTGCCGGAAGTCGAACACTGAGCGTTGTTTGTACAATTGCGGAAGTGATGGATACGCCCCAAACTGTACCAAGTGATCGAATGAGGTAGACAGTAGAGGCAGATACGGCATGATCTAGGAGGAGTTAAATATATGACCGCAAAATGCTTTGCTTTAAAGCAACTCACCTGCGTGCTCGAACGTTGCTAGCGATGTAAAGAGAATACCGGGGTATATGATGCCCTGACCTAGATTCGCAGGAAAGATGTAAATGTAGTACTTCCAATTGGAATCCACAAAGCTTAGTGAAGTCACCAAACTGTTCCCAATGGCCATCAATATCGCACCAATGCGAACGAGGGTGATCAGCTTTCCCCATCGAGACATGACAATACCTGCGATGAGACCTCCAATAGGAGTTGCTAACGATGGAATAGCAAGTCTTGCACCTGCAGTCGTAGCCGAATCAAGAAGTACGATCTGAAAGAATAAGGGGAGCAGAAAAAGATACTACAGGAAAAGGTTAATTTCAAATACACGCAAAAAGGCCGTCCGAAACCACCTACCGCATAAGCAGAGAGCCCAGCGCAGACATTAGACAGTTGTATGAGGATAGGTAAACGGCCCCTTAACATGCGTAGGGGTATGACCGGAATCGCCGTGGTATTACCCTCGACCCAAAAGAAAATGCCGAAGAGTACGACGCTTCCAATCAAGGATATGATTACCCATGGGCTACTCCATGGTAACTCGTTTCCGCCTAAGCTTAGCCCAACAAGCTGGACGGAGATTGCTAAAACTAGAAGAAAAGATCCCAGGAAGTCGACTATGCGCCACGTTTCCTTCAAGCTTGAACCGCCGCTAAAGTTGGTCTGCTGGTTCTTAATGACCACATAGCCTAGAATAAGTGCTACGACAGATATCGGCACTTGCTGTCTACTATTAGTCGAGCAGCATAGGATAAAAACAGATACACTCACTAAGATAAAGCACCAGCGCCATCCGATGGTATCGGCTATTGAGCCGCCGAAAGACGCACCGCATATTGCGCCGAAGCCAAATATACCATTTTGCATAGCTTGGTACATTCCACGTCGCCGGAAGGGAATCATATCGGAGTTCACGATAGTAGCTATTACCTACTGATTAGAAAGACCACCAGCCAAGTTGTATGTATAAACGACCTACCCATAGTCATGAGGCCCCCACCACCGAAGCCTGCTAGAGCTCTCATACAGTCGAGCAAGACAATATTATTTGCTAGGCCGCATCCTAGGCAGCCGACAGCAAATGTAATAGTAGAAATGAAAAAGCATATGCGGCGACCAAAAATATCGGATACACGGCCATATAGGGGCTGGAAGGCCGTGCTTGTAATGAGATACGACGTGGTGAGCCAGGATGCAGTGTTGGTGGCATCGAACTCAGAGCTGATTACGGCGTATGTAGCCGCAGTGATAGTGCCATCAAACCCATAGAGGAAGACATTGGACATAATCGCCATCTCAATCCAGGCGAAGTAAGGAGGAGTTTTCCAGTCATCCTCGCTTGGTGGGGTTGAACCTATCAGGGGTTGGCGTTCTCCGGACTCTGGATCATGAGAAGCGGCATTGGACGGTCCAACGGCACCTTGTTCACTCACATTCGCCCGTATGGTACCGCGTCGCTCAATTGCACTATTGAGTATTGCGGGTGGTTCATGAGAAGTAGCCATTTCAATATGATTCAATGAGAGGAGCCGCTGAAAGCTGCAAAGTTAGTTAAGGGGGTTCTTAACAACATTAAAGGGGTGTGAAGGACTGCTACATACAGTGTTGTGATGTGCCCTACAATTGAAATATACTGATCTTATGTGAGCCGAGCGTAAGACTAATGTAACAGACGTAACCAGTGTTTAGGATATCGAATAGGTAAGAAACCATCGAGCGGAAAGGTAGAAAATGCTCCCCGAACTCGGGGTTGCTCTCCGAAGAATGGACCTATGACATAAAGACACGGTTCCTTGCATATATACTACCACTTACTGGTTAGTGATATGTAGGCTAAAATGATGCCATTGTGGATTCTTCCATCGCTATTCGACTTAGATCTATATCATCTCTTCAAGCCATCGGCCGATTTAGCTATAGTGCGTCATAATTGCAGAGAGTAAAATTTTCCTTAACAGTTCGCTGATTTCACTACTTCTGGTGAGTCACACCGGTACTTAGTAGAGGTATTATAACTTGGCAATGTGTGGTGTAAGTTGGAGGCTCATATTATGTGAATATAGATGATGTACTCTCCTCGAACTCCTGACCCCGACCTACATATTTTTCGACATTCTACTACAGTTAGCAACAAACAATTAAAGATTTTTATCAATTTCCATTCAATTATTGGGAGTGGCTATCTAGGGATATTGTATCAAACCAAGGTTAATGTACCCTCCTTTAACATAACGCAATGGAGTCGCTTTCTGACATAGGTAGTATTTACCCCTTTTGCATACCGCCATGAAGCCTACTCTCCTACTAGAATCGGCATTGGTGTTATCAGTCCCAGCCGCGGCGGATTGGCAATTCAAATCTCGATCGGACCTTGCTCCCCCAAGATTGAATATTACAATCCCAGCAACTAAAGACGTTGAAAAGGGGTACCTGTTCGTCGCCCCCTTTGCTGGCTTTCCGGACACGCCTACAGAGCAGCACGGTCCCAGGCAAGCTGGCCCGTATATATTCCGCGACAATGGTGACTTAGTGTGGTCCGGATACGGTATCTACAGCATCTGGTCAACCAACTTTCAAGCGGGCCGCTGGAGAGGCAAAGATATCCTGTTCAGCTTCGAAGGTGATCACAATCCGGGATATGGTCACGGCCACGGCCATATTACCATCATGGATGATCACTACGAGACGATTCGAGAGCTTCGGGCTGGCAACCACAAGCTAGTAGATAAGCACGAATTTCATATTATCAACGAGGAAACAGGGCTCATCCAGATATATCAGCCTGTTGCTCGCGATCTGACGGCCTGGGGTGGGAGTGCCGAACAACAATGGATTGTCAATTCAATCATCCAAGGTATGCGCTTCTAGTCGTGCTAACATAGTCAAGAACTTTCATTAATTAAATTCGCAGAACTCGATATCGCAACTGGTAAACTATTATTTGAATGGGCAAGTCTGGACTACGTTTCCCCCAATGGTGCGTCCAAACACATCGTAAATGACTGCGCTGGAGAATTTCTAATCAATTACAGAGGCAATATTGCCGATCAACCCAGGCCAAGCGGGCTCTGGATTCAACAGCTCCGATGCCTGGGATTACTTCCACATCAACAGCGTTGACAAAGACTCGGAGGGTAACTATCTCATTTCCGCGCGCGATGCATGCAGCATCCACAAGATCAACGGCACCGACGGAAGAATTATCTGGAAATTGAACGGCAAAGACAGCTCTTTCAAGGTTCCGAAAGATGCTGAGTTTTGCTTTCAACATCATGCCCGATTTATAAGCCAATATGATGATGTTGAAATCATTAGCCTCTACGACAACAGCGCACATGGAACTGAGCACAGTGGAGGATCCGAAGTTCACACAGCTCCGACAAGCAGTGGGAAGATCATCAAGGTGAACACTACTTCATGGGAAGCCGAATTAGTGCAAGCTTTCTTTCCACCCGATGACCTATTATCCAAGTCCCAGGGCTCTATTCAGACGCTTCCAAACGGAAATGTCCTGGTGAACTGGGGTTCTTCGGGCGCTGTGACTGAGTACCTACCCAATGGTACAGCCATCTTCCACTCTTACATGGACTCTGGCTACCTTGGCCTTGGTGTTGAGAACTACCGCGCCTTTCGGTACAATTGGACTGGTATTCCCAACGAGGAGCCAGCTATTGTTGCCCTGAGCGACGAAGAAGGTGTGACTGCCTACGTGAGTTGGAATGGCGACACGGAGACCAGAACGTGGAGGTTCTACGCTATCCTTGACGAGTTTGGTTCTAAAGAGTTCGTCGGCGAGGCGGAGAGAACGAGCTTTGAGACCTCGCTTCGAATTCGCGATGAAAATGTGACTGCAATCTCTGCCGAGGCTATTGATGCTAACGGCAAGTCACTCCGGCACGCCGGGATAGCCCTCGTGGAACAAGAGGTCAAGCCATTGGGAAAATCATCTCAGCCCCCTATTGCTGAAGCGACAACTCAGAAACCGGTTTCCAACGAAAACAGTCGTTGGAAAGAGTACGGGATTTTGAAGTACATTCGTCTTCAGATTGATTAACTTTAAGCTACACTCCGTGGAGTGTCACTCTCGTCGGAAATGATGTAGATGGATCTCTTAGCCTTCCGGATGCAAGTCAAAGAGGTATATTCGGAGGGCTTCCCTTTCGTCTACTAAGAGGTAAATAGGCCATATTTTGGGGAGGATTTACGCTCATTTTCAGATTCGTCGGATCTTAGGTACCTACCTAAGGTATATACACTCGTTTCATTGACCGCGTTATTCGCGCTTTTTAGTGGTAATACCTATATCCTCTGCCAAGAGACACATCAATAGCCAGCAAATGCACTATAACCTTGGCCCAATTATGTTTGAATTAGGGTCAGCTGTAAAATAAATGTGGCTACACCTGTGGCCTTATTGTCAGCTTGAGGATACACGGTCGTATCATCATCCAATACGGCGTAGTAGTATGGCTTGGACCCTGTGATATGGATTCTCTTGGAAAACTCGTATCAACCAAATAGTCGCAAAGGGTGAAGCTTGGCTTGCCTTTACAATTATGGAAAGCCGATTATTCAGTAGAGAGAGTAGATAATTATCGGACTCATACATCCGTAGATGAGGGACGGGAGAAAGACGAAATTCGGCACAGGTATCATTTGGCAGGATACGGTCTTTTCTAGAATGTTTCCAGAATCTAAGCCTCTCCGCGGAAGAACCAAAAATATATTTTAACATTAAGGTTAAATGGCTTCCATTGCTACGTTGCAACAGCTGTCCAGCCAATCCGCAGCTTATTCGCTAAGCCGGGCCACGCTGGCTAGGCTAGTCTCTGATATACACTATGTATGCCGAGACCATAGCTCAACAACCTATAGGGCTGCGGCCGACGATCATTGCCGTGTGGGGAGGAGCTGTAAACGGATGGGGCTACATTCCAAGTTCCAAGATCACCATACCATGTCCCGACAGTCCCGTGCCACCCGCACAAAGAAAGTCTGGGGTTGCTGAATACGAGCATGAGCCGCACCCTCGCCGTTACATTCGCTAGCTACCTATGTATTCCGGTAGAAATCAAGATTCATGGGTCTCTTGATGGATCTCGCGCTGTCCCTGTCATGTGACTATGGAAAGACGAACGAAAGACCCGCTACATCAATACGAGCTTCGACCACAGGATCTCTTTGATGGCCGAGTCGAATAGGGTATAGCGAAACTCGCCCATCATGTTGATAGGTCAACATTACGGAAGAACTGGACATGATTATGATGGCTCTTGGACGCTTTTGTATAAAAAGCTTGCGAACCTCCTACCAATATGCTTCTATCTCATCACCATCACCATCACCACTACGAACACTTCACTCGCTCAAATAATCATTACGACTTTTAATCTTAATACCTAAAACTTTAAACAACACTTCAAACGCCACCATGAAGTTCACCAGCACCGCCATTGCCGCCATCTTCGCCGCCACTGCCATGGCAGCTCCCACTCCCTCTCCTGAGGCTAAAACCTCTGTGGCTGATGTCCCTGACTGGACTATCGAGAGCATCAAGCGCGGCTGCGACGCCGCCAACACCCAGTGCATCTGGACCTTCAGCATCAACACGCACCTAGCCGACCCCACTCCCTGCGAGTTCACCGTCAAGGGCGCCGGCAACGTCCCTGCCAGCGAGACCGACAGCAGCGGCAACATCTGCGGCCCTTACACCGTCGGTACCGGCTGGAGCGGCCAATTCGGCCCCGGCAACGGCTTCACTACCTTGAGCGTCGTCGACGAGGCCCAGAAGCTCATTGCTTGGCCCGCGTACACCGACAAGCAGTTCGAGAACAATGCCGTTGTCTCCCCTGACGTTAGCTGGCCCGTTACTTCTCTCCAGTTCTAAGCTGTTAACGACGGCGGATGGGAGAGAGTGAAAATTTGGGGATGGAGATGGAGGTGGAGGTGGATAGTAGGAAGAGAAACGTCATGTTTATGCGAAAATGTAATTGTTCAATGTTAATAGCATAGCGTCACTGGGTTTGCATATAGGTACATCATGATACATATAGTCACTCCTTATCCAGATCAAGTTAACTATAAGCCTAATTACTTGTGAACGATTTATTTACTTTCTTTCGTTTAGTAGGTACTAGCTACCTACTTCAGTCGAACGTCCCTTGCCCTATCTTTTGCACATCATGGTACGCGCACGCCAGCAATAGCCAGCCAACATATATTGGCAAGATAACCTTTGAACTGGGTAGGTCCATATTCCTAAGTACAAAGCGTCGGCTTCCCTTAGTCCCAATCGGCAAATGGATCGGCCTTGTAGGCGTCCCTTGCGGACTGGAATCTCTCCTTGAATCTGAACGAGGTCAATATTGCGGCGAAGATGATCTCATACTGCCAGTAGAACATCTGGTGGGATGGTAGCCAAGTATCCAGTATATCGTCGCTACTGTTGCTGCCCTCTTTTTGCTCATCCGAGTCGCCGTCCGCGTGTGCGCTCGTCTTGGGGATTGCACGGAGGAAAGGCTGCGGGGGTTCTTCCTCGTCCACAGAACCATTCAGTAGCGAGCTTACGTCCGAGTCATCAGGATCGGAGGTTCCTACGTCTGGCAAGCTGGCTTCTTTGTCATCCACGGGACAGTCGACTGCAGAGCTTCCGTCTGAAGTATTGGAATCGCTGCTTTCTGTTTCTGGCGCGGCCTTCTCTTCTTCTGATAAGATATCTGGCGCAGAAAAATCCAATTTCGATGCCTTAGGAGATGGCTGTTTCTCTATCTCGTTTTCTATATCCTCTGATGGCTTGTCCGGTGCTTCTAGCTTCATCGGGGGTATTATGTCCCCTGAGCTTAGGACCAACGTCCCTGGTTCATCCGTAGGCGATTTTTTCTGAGGATCGGAGTTATCATCTTCAGAATCCCCTTGTTCACCATCTTGATTGGCACCATCGATGAGTGTTAGGAACCCATCTTCGTCGTATATTTCGATTTTGGATGTTGACTGTGTAGTATTTGAAGAGGAATTCGTATTATCTTTATCGCCAAATGATTCAACGTTGTTGTATACGTCTTCGAAGAACGCCTCGACGCTGGTGTATTCTCCGTCGATTATACACTCCATGTCGCATTTGGTGATTTTTCCTGTCTGGACGAGTCGCTCGAGATACCGTTTCGTAATCGGCCTAACTCTCCTCATTATTCTCTCGACGAAAATCTCTTCAGGTGGGAGCTCGATCTCAGACGTCTCCATTGCCTCACGTAGTTGTTCAACTGTGATACCCAGGAGATCGAGATAGTGTTGGCGAGTTTCCTCGAAAATCTCCCTGAGCTTCGGATCTCCATCTTTGAAATCATTTACGTCATCTTGGATACGATCTTGAATCAAAGATAATCCTCTAATCCGTTTGCGAAGTTGGATAATCAAGAGGTGGATTCGATTAACATCCATGGTGCGGGATGCGATTTTTGACCGTGGTTTAGTAGTTTGTTTGCACTTTGTTTTAGAAGCCTAAAATACAAGTGACAAGTTGCAGTTAGAATTAAATGGGAATTTTTAAAGATCAAAACAGGGTGAGGAGATGAACCTTTTTGCATGTAGAAAATAATTTACTCGGATGGTATCTTGATTGCGTGCGCTTATGCATACAATTGGACATTGCGCCTTGAAGTATTTATTACACAACAACGGTACATTCGACGCCGTTTTTCATCACTATGGGACAATAGCTTTGTTTATTTATAGCTGAATAAAGCATTTACAATTGTACTAAAAGACCAAGCGGATAATTCGTATTTTAGACAAGTCTTTATATTATGAGTTTTAAATTATAGAGTCCCTTTTCTTTCTCCCATCACCGAGAATCTTCGTCACCTATGACACAATAGATTCTGCCAGACAGCTGTTGGAGTATTGTCCTAGACAAATTTATCTATACAGTGCTTGGAACTGAACAGTAAAGATTTGGCGTCATTTACGCTAATGTTGCTTTTAATTTTCTTTTGACTTCTCGACAAAGGTCAAAGTTCAATGCTACGACAGCAAGGCTGAGATAGTACTATGATATTCTTGTTCGGATCGCAAAAGAATGACAAAAGTGACGACAAACACATTCGAAAAGTAGCAGAAAGTTCTTGTGATATATGTAAGCTTCGGGGAGGCAATGTCTAAAATATCAACAAAGCTTTGTTCGTGAAAGCTTTTTGAAGGGCCAAAAGAACAATCATATAATTCGTACAATTAATCAACTTATGTCCCTCACGATATATATAACGTGGTATTTAGCCAATAGGCTTCCTTGCTGTTATATTTTGCTTTTTTGAATTTTGAATTTCAGGTCGGCTTAGATCAGATATCAAAATAGGGGGGAACCAAGTCAGGGGGTTACCTAATGCCATGAATCACTTTTGTTGACCCACTTTATGTCTCCTTAGTAGAACTCTGTTTAATATGATATTGGGTTATCGGGTTTGGCCAGTTATGCATTATCGTACAATCATTGCTGAAGTGTCAACCACCTGCATATCTCCTATCAACAACCTATCAACTTCATAAACAAGAATTGCTGACGCAACACTTTAAACAATGTGCAAGATACATGGCGATATTTATCTACTCAGTATCTACCAATACATTTCTTGGTCTATTCCTTACAAGGAAAACCTGCTGCTAGTGACGTTTCATGTCCCTCTACTCCCCAGCTGTCTAGATCCAGGCCAAGCCCAAATAATCCAAAGAATTGGTGGGGCTTTTGCAGCGCGTTTAACTCGCTAAGGCCTTGGGCTGAATCAGGTTCGCTGGGTCACCATGAGACGTCACAGATGCTAGCACCACACGATTCACTAGTAGTAGTACTTATGCGGGTTAATGTGTTGTTTGCTGACTTCTCTTCCCCTTTCTAGATTTATACATATTGCTGCAATATTGGGATTACTAACATCATTCTTGCTTTGATCTTCGACTAACTAAACCCACCATACTATTATTCATAGGACGTGAGCGTATTTTTGCTTGTGTGGTTTTATCGTGAATAACATCGTCATGGCAGAGACAGTACCCCTCCCGCCGAGCGAATCGCTCCACCAAGCTGGAGGCGGTCAGCCCGGTGCTGAACATGTTAACATCAAGGAAATACGGACATCTATATTGCAATACCTGGACCAGATTTACACCACATATGCTTCTCCTACCGACAAGAATTGGCATAAGGACTCTATCGTCGAATTTTTGCACCATGTCCAAGCCGATAAGGTGACAGACCCCTCAGGCGATATCGCAACTCGGGACTCCCTCGACTTTGCTGGTTTCTTACACTACATGACATCGTCCGCGGCCAACGCGCTGGCACCGGCAGCCTTAGACCCCCATCGTTTATCGTGGCCCTTGGCTAGTTATTATATCAGCTCTAGCCACAATACCTACCTGACTGGAAATCAGCTGAACAGTGATTCCGATGCAGATGCATACCGAAACGTCTTGCTACGCGGCTGTCGTTGTGTTGAGATTGATGTCTGGGACGGCGACGAGTCAGATGTCGACACATCGGATAGCTCAGACAGTTCCGAGGATGATGAAACTCGGGAACTTAAGGCCAAGAGAAAAATGAGCCGCAGCGAGAAGATCGCTTCAAAACTCCCTGGGTCGCTGGCTAACCGGCTGGAGAAGACATCAATAGGAAAGCGTCTCACGGGGAAGAACTCGGCGGAGCCGGAGTCTACGGCGGCGAAGAAGGAAGGGGATCCCTCCATCGGAGCCCCGCTAAAGAAAACGCTGAGTCCGCAAGCAACCGCAGTCGAACCCCGGGTTCTGCACGGTTATACGCTCACCAAAGAAGTCTCATTCCGTGAAGTCTGCATGGCTATTAGAGAATGTGCTTTCGTTGTCACGGACCTACCACTGATCGTCAGTCTCGAAGTCCACTGTAACCAGGAGCAGCAGGAGGCTATGGTGCGTATTATCAACGAGGTCTGGGCCGGCTTTTTATTACCCCAAACGGAAGACGACGCGAAATTCCTCCCTGCGCCCGGTGATCTACGCCACAAGATCCTTGTTAAGGTCAAGTACGCGCCGCCTAACGCTCTCGCATCCGCACCCGACGTGGAATCCGTAGACCGGCTTCCGCCCGGCGCCGCAGCCGACCCCAAATCAAAGACTACCACACAGCAAAAGGCCAAGAAGGCCTCTAAGATCATCCAGGCGTTATCGGCACTGGGCGTGTATACGCGGGGCGTGTCGTTTAAATCCTTGTCCCAACCAGAGGCGTCCATGCCGACACACATATTCTCGCTGTCAGAGAGCGGAGTAGCCGAGGTCCACCAGAACGAAGCGGCAAGGCTTTTTGAACATAACCGCGAGTACTTGATGAGGACATACCCGTCTGGCATGCGTATCGGGTCTTCTAACCTGGACCCCCTTGCTTTCTGGAGGAAGGGCATCCAGATCGTCGCGCTTAACTGGCAGAAGTGGGATGAGGGAATGATGTTAAACGAGGGTATGTTCGCCGGTACCGGTGGATACGTATTAAAGCCCGAAGGATACCGCGGTCGGAAGCCCGTAGTTATCGACGATGAAGAGAACAAGGCGGCACCCATCCCCGCATCGGAGACAATCCTGCACCAAACACTTGATCTCACCATCACCGTCCTCGCGGCGCAAAACTTACCGATGCCTGAAGAGGATGATAAGGAGAGCGGATTTAAACCATACGTCAAGATCGAGCTGCACACGGAGCCGCCGCACGATGAGCATCTCTCCTTAACTGGAACTGCCGCAGCCGCAGGTTCTTCGTCGACGAGAGCCAAGGAGGGCGAGTACAAGGCGCGCACCAAGACTCAGCGCGGGATCCACCCAGACTTCAAGTCCGAGAAGCTCGCCGTAGCCAAAGGTATCTCTGGTGTCGTACCCGAGCTAGCTTTCGTACGGTTCCTAATCAAGGACGACGAGATCGGTCGCGACGACCTGGCTGCTTGGGCTTGCATTCGGCTGGACCGGCTACGTAGTGGACACCGATTCGTGCATCTCTTCGATAACCGGGGTCGAGAAAGCGAGGGCGTGCTACTCGTTAAGATAGACAAGAAACTGGCTTAGGCGGCGAGTTTCGAGTCTCGGAGAAGTCAAACGGGAGAAGCAAAACGATGTCGCCAGGGGCAATGCCGAGTAATGTAGAAGCGATATGAATGGGACTATGTGTGTATAGGACGACCTGACATGACAGCATTGGCGAGCGAACATATTTATCAAGCGAAAAAGTAGTTGGTTAAAGCTTGAAGGAGAATTTGAATGTATTTGGGACCTCTATGAAGCAAATGGTATCTCCCAAGATAAAACATGTGCGCCTTGCCAATTACTACCATTACTCCCAAGCGCCGACCATACGCCAGTTGTTTACCATATACGTATCTACCCGTCATAAACCTCATAGCTCCGGGTCAACCGTACTGTGATTATCCGTGGTGGAGATGAGATTTATAGTTCTCCAAGCGCCATCACCCTTCATGTTAGCCCGGGCTGCTTGATAGGCGCGTAGCCTAGTCTCGTATGAATAGTCGGATATCTCTGAACCCTGAGAGCCCTGTAAATTTAATTCGCTTTGTTCGTCGGCGTCTGTAAGATGTGTATATCGGCCGTATTGGAAGGAATTGTTGTCGCGCTTATATTCGTAGGAAAAGGAGGTCTGTACCACCCGCGCCTGAGAGGTCTGCGAGTAACGGCGTAGTGACGATATGTTAGGGCTCTGATGCTGCAATTGGCCTCTCCTGGGTGAAATTCTTACGGATACACCGTCTATACTATCAGATCTGCGGTACTCGAGGGCATCAGGGGATGGGATTATTGGGCTAGAGGGATTTCCTGTGCGGAAATCAGCCGTAGACTGAGTCTCGGGTGAATTTTCCCTATTCTCTCCGTGCGACTTTGGTCGCAATTCCGATACTTCGCCCATCAGCAAGTCGTGCTGAAAAACATCACCAGTGCAGATATCTCCGAAAAGCTTTCTTATGGTAGTGCCCTCTTCTGCCCAGGATTTCGGATCCACCGTGCATGGCCAAATATCGGTGGGCTTAAAAGTCCTAATAAAATGCCGAAGCTCGGGCAAAGAAGAATGCCTAGCGTATGGGAATGTGATTTCATTTGTAAGGACGTCAGAGTGGTATTCTCCTTTGATCTTGTTTACCGGATTCCGGATTTCTTCAACTCTCCTAGCAAGCGAGTTAAGTATTTCCGTAAAGGAGTACTCTTCCTCGAAGCTAAACCTCCCAACATGGAGGTCAACGTCCCTAGAAACGGACATTGCTTTTTGAAGGAATTGCGTAATCGCAGGCTCTAAATCACCTAGTACCTCTCCCTTTTGTTTGATTCTGCTTCCTTGTTAATTCACAAAGAATAGAAGAGTACCTTGGGCAGCCCTTACAATTCTAACAAAGCTCGAATGCCCTCCGTTTCAAGGGTTGGCTTCTGCGCAAGGTCGTCCCCGCCTCCACCAATGCCCACTTCAGCCATGTCTCGCCCATTCTTAAGATGTGCGACAATGGGCTGGATCCACACGATCGGCTTGGTCTCGATAACTTTACAACCCATACCTTTCTCACAGCTATGGATTCGCACATTTTCGTCTAGCGTTAGGCACCCCTCCCGTTGGTTGTTACCGCAGGTGAAGCCGACAAGATACGGAGCTTCCTTAGTTAAATGAGTTTGAGCAGCGTAGCGATAATCTGATGATTTGATGGCAAGGGATTTATAAACCCCCATCTTGTACTTATCGACATGAATCTTGAGGCATGATTAGCAACGCTACCAGCTATAAAGAGAGAATGTTGTACCTTGGAGTCTAAAGCTTTCGATAGAGCAATCCAAACCTCTTCGTATCTACGAAGGAGATTAGCTTGTATTAGATTAATAAAAACAACACCCTACCCGTAAGTCCATGCTTGCATGTGGAATATGGTATCCTTTGGATAGCGTGCAACCTTTTCTAGAAGTTCGCGGAGCCCATCCGCCTTAGTCTGCAGAGGGAAGTTATTCAATATCGAAGTATCGAGATATATACGGTCAAGCGTTCTCAGACCGGTAGAGTACTCTACCATAGTAGGGTTTCTAGCAATGGAATTTACCCACCAAGGTTCGCTCCTAATGTCTCCCGTATATAAGACAGCGTTTCCATTGCCTTCGATCACTACTTGCTAAGTCAATATCTGGTTGAATAGAGCAATAAGCTGACATACGAAACATAACTGCACCAGCACAGTGGTTTGCATCTAGGAGTGTAACTTGTATGGTCTGGGTGGGATCTAGCTCGATCTTGGTGGGGGTATCCAAAGGAATGGGCTTCAGTACTTTGGCCAGATGCTTATATGTTTGCATTCGTGGATCCTCGAGTATTCCTTTAGCATAGTTTAGTCGGCAAGGATACTTTTCAAGTCGAAGCAAGATTTCTCTTGTAGCGGCCGAACAATAAACACTAGATCATACCCAGTGAGCCAATTGATAGGTGCTTGACGTGTGAGATTCATACAAAGGACTTCTAAGCGTATCGAGCCCGGCGAGATGATCGCTATGGACATGGCTTAAGAAACAAGCCAACGGAGGCCGGAGGTTGAATCCACGGAAGAAGTCAACTCTAATGTCAGGGAATTCGTGGATGATGCCATCGAAAGTTGACATTGTGACTGACAGGAGGTGGACCAAAATACCGTGAAGCAATAGCTTGAGAAGAGGTAGTAAGTTTATTGATTAAATTTATTGATTAAAGATGATGACTTTCGAAAGTACCTAGGTATTACTTGCTTTAAGCACATGGTCAGGAGAGATGTGGTGTATGAAGGATACCAGCTGGAGGCATCCACGCTACCATGTATCTAGGCAACTGCTGCATGCCACCTGGTTAGCACCTGCCGAGCTCTAGATCTTAAAGAGTATTGCTATTTCAGTAGTAATGGTATTTCAGTAGTAGTCACTTTTAGACCCACCTTTTTAATATATCCCGCATAATCGCATGAACAGCGGGATAGGCAGGTATCGCACAAGTATTACATGTATTTCCCATACAATTTACTTGGCCGCGCATGTATCTTTTATGACAATCCCGCTAAACCTACTACTCTTATATACTAAGTTATTAAATAGCCTCGTATAATATAGCTGGTTAATTGGCTAGCCAGCCAGCTTTATACCTTTAAACCTTATATCGGGACCTCGTTTTTAGTCTTTTACCTACCTCGTAATAATTGGATGCGACCGTATCTTTTTTAATTGATGCATGCGACCGATTTAAATCGAATTCAATTAATTGAATTAAATAAGAGGCTGTATTGTACGAAAGGGTGAAAGATAAGGGTATTGCCAGACAATACAAGTGTACAGTAACGAATTTGTATGAGGGGCGAGGTACTTGGTGGTATATGATAGCCCCGTATACTGCTTATCTGCCTATCTTGCTCTTAAAAGTGACTACTACTGAAATACCATTACTACGAAGGTCCGGGCCAAAAGTCTTGCACATGTAATCTTGGCAAACCACGTGTGAGTTAAAAAAGGACCGCACGGTATTACTTAAGCTGTAGTGGCTAATGCCGCTATAAATATAGTGGTAAGCCACCTAAACTTAGCGTACGGGCCACTATCCAAATTTTATCTTAGCAGGTGGCTGATACAGTATTAATAAAAAGGGATGACGTTCAAATACGGTGCTAAGGACCTCCACATGTGCAAGACTTTTAGCCCGGACCTTCGTACTGAAATAGCAATACTCATCTTAAAAGGCAGATTGAGGTACGTACCTAACCTAACTCCAGGGCTAAAACTCAGATTCTAGCGAGCATTTCAGAACAACCCTCCCCCCTCCCCCCAATGTCTTTCAACGTACCTTTTCAACGTTAGGTTTTCGAAGGACTGATTTAGCAATATATGGGACTATTTCAACATACCTATTATCTCACCAATCAGATGTTAAATTGCTAGGGTCAATAGGACGCGATCCTCTACGAATCAAAGTGCCCATGAGGCGGAGTCGTCGCGAAAAATGTAATACGGCTCCAAAAGTGCAGATACGCCGTATTCATACCCGCAACGATGCGGATTAGACCGAGTGTAGAACCTTTAATATAAAAATCATCTGCCGAAATCGTTCTGCTATTATATCTTTCAAATGTTCCCTAGACCAAGAATAACCTACCTAAACCATCCAAATCAACGACTCGCCGTCCTGCGCGAGAAACAGTATGGCAGAATCCATTGGCATAGCTTCCCCGCCTAGCGAGAACCAGACCGGGAATAAACTGAAAATTACCTTTACGGGACCGCAAGAAACCTTGATAGGGCCGCTAGTAGCGAGAGCCACGGACGCAAGATCTGCTCATCCAATCCTTAACGATACCGACTCTATTCGGGTTATGGATCAAATCGACCATGACTTCGACAAATTCGGCATATATAAAACGCAGGCTACTATATATGCTCTTCGAGCCCTATGTTTAGATCGCTGGACCACCGAGTTCCTTTCAAGCAACCCGCAAGCAACGGTCGTCCACTTGGCCTGCGGACTAGACGATCGTTTACGTCGCGTCCAAGCAGACTTGACCAAGGTCCGTTGGATAGATCTCGACCTACCCGATGTCGTTGAACTGCGCAATAAGCTCATTCCCTATCCGGAGGGCGACTACCGGCTGATCGCCGCAGACGCGACCGAAAAAGCGTGGCTCGAGCAGATCCCTGTTGACCGTCCCGCAATCATCATCTGCCAAGGGTTAGCTATGTTTCTGGAAGAAGAGTCTGGTAAACGCATGATTCGGCAAATTATTGACCACTTCAAATCAGGTCAGCTTATTATCGATCATATCGGTACCATTTTGCTCTCTTTTCAAAACCAGGTCGATGCTCTGGTAGCCACGGGGTCAAGTTGGAAGTGGGCCATTGACGAACCAAAGACCCTTGAGGCTCTTCATCCGCAGTTGAAGATGGTGGAATGTTTAGGACCAACCGAATTTGGTGATCATGCATTTTTGCCGCTTGGAACCCGTCTAATGATGTCAACTTATTCGGATTTACCCTGGCTAAAGTACATATCTTGCTATATGCGGTTTGATTTCTAGAGTTAGCGAAGGATGACCTGGTATTTTAAAGCCTTTGATATATTTTTGGACTCGATCTAAAGCAGCGGGTTCCTGGTGGAAGAATTTTACATATCATACCCTTTCTTGGCGAAAGAGAGCTTAGATACCCTGGATTGCAGCATATGTAGCTTGGACGTATTATATGCTACTCCTTCTGTTTGTCAATAGACCTCTCCACCGCTCCAAGTACGACTTTTAACACGGCATCGGGTGATAAATCACCCATCTTCCCGCCCCACGTCGTTGTATCAACAATATCTCTGATATCGAATGCGTCACTCAAGCCGTCGTCTGCGAAGTCGAATGCTTGACGTGCACCTTCATCGTCGCCTACGCGAAAGAACTGCACACCTACTTGATACGGTGGTGCGCCTAACACGTCCAGCTTCCGCGCTGTGCGAATCAGCGTGTCGTACGGGTTATCGTCCGTCACGCCGGCGGTGATGACGATAAGATTGAGCGGCCTAACGGTATTGCCCGCCCCTGCACCCTTGTCTCGGCGGCTTCGTTCATATTCATGCACATATCGGTCGAGGATATAGCTAAGCCGACGGTCGAGACGGCAGTGACTTCCAAATTTCTTAATGCTGCCGAAAATTCCCGCCACGTTGTCACGCATCCCCGGCACTCCGACTGACTGCCCAATGTGCAGGTACCCGGAGCGGTCTGCACCCAATCCTAGAGCCGCATACATGAGGTAGCCGCGCGGGCGGTGATTCACGAAGTAGATGTCTACGCCGTTTGGATCGCGCTCCGTGCATATCGGCGCAATCTTCTCGAGCAACATGCCGACCTCGCCCCAGTGCTTTTCCATCGACTTGGAGTCGTCAATAAGGAAGATAGTATCGAAGTGCTTCAGGAATGCGTACGGGTCATCGGGCGTGCTGATATGCTTGCGTGTTAGTTTCGCGTGGTATTTCTTGTGCCCGACTGGTTTTGCTGGTCCTTTTGGCTTCAGATCGGGGCTTGCTGGGATTGTCGACTCTAAGGGGTATGGAAGGGACGATTCAGGATGCTTGTCCGTGTGGTCCATGATGATAGATGGGATTCGCTCTTGCTCCTAGCAGGTGAATTAGAGAAGATAACAAGTTTTGCGCTTCAGTAGGCGTTAATCAGCGTATCTGCTTTAGTTTGTATGTTGTAAGGTTTTACTTTGGACCTGTTTGATCATTGGGTCTATTGCGGGAAACTTTGGGAAACTTTGGTCTACGAGAGGAGGCACCTTCTAGCAACAGGGTTGAAACTAACAAGTCAGGTACCTAACATTTACCTATCATGACATATCACTACAGGACTTTCCATCTTATCTACCATACGGCGAGGCAATCACTATAAGACGCAAGTGCCAATGCAGATTAGCAGTTGGGATCGCCGTAGCTTGTTTCAAATACGTTGGGCACCTTACTTGAGGTAACTATCATTCACTTGTAATCCTTTTTCTTTTTATATTTCTAGTGTTTATTACGTACAGTATTCTTTGTTCACTTCATCTCATAAACGACAGTTTTAGAACCGACTTATGATTGGTGATAAAGGGAGTTCCGTAAGGAAAAGGGGGAAAAAGACAAAGTTTCGTATATACCGTGGCGCTTCTGTAACCTGGCAGTATTCTAGAACTGGATTCATCATTTTCTTCGTTGACTACTAAATCCTCTAGGTTTACCCCAGGTGGTGAAGTTTCCTTACCCTTACGAGATGTCGTTTCTATCAGTCAAAAATACTTTCAGGTCTCAAACCATGACCAAGGATAAGCTCTTAAAGAGCGCACATGGACTAGATACGGCGTTAGACTGTGTCACTCACTTTGAATCTCTTCAGGACAGAGGAGGATACGACTGCCGCAAGCAGTTCCCATACGAGTTGTATAAAAAGGGGGTTCAGAAAAAGCTCATAGGTATATGGATGGCAGATGCACCCAGTGTCCATGTACTCGACGGCGTGGGCCACAACTATTCAGCGAGTTATGCCGGGAGTGAATTCGCCAAGTCCCTCCGTGTGCGTAACCGCGAGAGTGCCGTCGTTCTCCGGGTGTACGTAAAGGATCAGAATGAAGCGCCGAATGTGGTACTACTTCAGATCCTTGGCTCGCTCATCTGGAGTTTGATTACTCTCGTGCCTGATGAATTTGGCACCTCGGAAGGCCTGCGTAAAAGAAAATTTGAGACGTTCATAGGTCGCGGACCTGGAAGCTTTGATGCTGGCTTGGAAATAATTCAATCATTACCACTCCTTGAACTCAACGGCAAGAAGATGCTCTGTATCATTGATGGCTTGGATCATGCCGAGGATGAGAGCACATTGAGCCAATTGAAACAATTAGTTACTATTCTTCGCGATGTGATGTCAAAGAATCGCGCTCATTTACTTTATACACTTGGTAAGAGGAGTCAAGTAATTCGGTAGTTATAATTGATGAGAATTGCCCTGGTGATAACGCAGGCCCGTGTTGGTTAACATACATTGGATAGATACTTGAGGTTGAGAAGGTCGAGTGCTTGCTTGGATCCGGCAGTTCGGATCTAAATCCTAACGATGCGTATCGCTGCGTTGTTGTTGGCCAATATTTATTGCCAAGCTGGGGGAATATCCGAATATGAATTGTTCCTGGCCGCCAAGGTAGCAAGGGAGCAAGCCTCGTGAGCTTTCTACATTCCTAAGGAGGAAAGGCGATAGATAACCAAGAAGCTTGGGTGAAATTCTAGGTTGGCAATGCTTTCCCCGCGGTAGCATCATGGTATGGCGGCCTGGAGCTACTTATAATTCGCAATTTACGCGACAATCGCGAGCGAGCTACGGATCCGTATACCGATAGATAAACAATAATATAAAAGGGTAGTGATATCCTTTTATTTATATATGGCCATGGTCTCAACCGTTGTCCTCCTCTCTCCTCCCTTATACGGACCTTGAACTGACATAGGTCCCATCTTCTAAGCAGTTGGTGTTAATAATTGGAACATTCCGCCCCAATTAGCCAACACCAACAATGGAACTCACTGCTTGGCTTATCGTGGGGGTGACGTTGGTGCGCTCCGTGCTTGCCATTGAGCCAGCGCGCCGACCGCATCAACCAACTGGAAATGGAGACAAAATTCTGACTTGGAATGAGACGATGGTAAATAACCAGTTCGGCGTCAGGTCTACGTCTGTCAGTTGGTTATCTGGTGGTGAGGATGGGCAATACATCTATGCCGGCGATGGCGGGGCGCTGATCCTTGAGAATTTCGTCACTGGCGAAAGCTCGACCTTCGTCGCTGCTGACTTGATCCCAGACGGCGTAGCCCAGTATTGGATTCGTCCGGACCTCACCAAGGTCCTTTTCGCAACTAACTACACGAAACAGTATCGTCACTCATACTTCGCGGACTATTCAGTACTTGATGTAGCTTCGGGCGAGCTGACACCCTTGGTTGAGGACCAGGTCGGTGATATTCAGTATGCTGAGTTTGCTCCAGCGGGGGATACGATTGCCTTCGTTCGTGGTAATAACCTGTTCTTAAATAAAAACGGCACCATTTCCCAGATTACAAGCGACGGTTCTCCGGATCTGTTTAATGGAGTGCCAGACTGGGTATATGAGGAGGAAATATTTGGCGACCGCTCCGCAATCTGGTTTTCTCCCGACGGCGAGGTTCTTGCATACCTCAGCTTCAACGAAACTGGAGTTGAAACTTTCACCGTGCAATACTTTATGGATAACCAAGAAATCGCTCCCGTGTATCCTCGACTCCTAGACTTGAGATATCCCAAAGTGGGCACGACTAACCCAACGGTGTCTTTGACGCTTCTAAAGGTCGATAGCGAAGAGAAATCGGCGGTTCCAATCGACGCATTCCCTGCAGATGATCTAGTCATTGGTGAAATCGCCTGGGTTACATCTGAACATAGTAGCGTTATCTACCGCGCTTTCAATCGTGTGCAGGACACCTCGAAACACGTCCGAGTTGACGTAGGCGATGGCATCACCACTAAAATCGTCCGCGAACGAGACGGCACAGACGGTTGGCTGGATAATGACATCGGCATCAAATTCGTCGGGCCAATCAATGGTTCCACGGAGGGATATTATATCGATGTTTCGGATGAGTCCGGTTGGCAGCATATTTACCTCTACGCGGTTGATGGCTCAAGCGCTACCCCGCTGACCCAGGGCGAGTGGGAGGTAACAGGGGTTCTTAAAGTAGATAACAAACGCGAGTTAGTTTATTATACATCTACCCAAGCCGACAGTACTGAGAGGCACGTATACTCAGTTTCATACTCGACTTTGAAGTCAGAATCGCTCGTCGACGCTACGATCCCGGCAGTCTGGAGCGCCTCATTCTCGTCTGGTGGTGGATATTATATTCTAAGCTATTCAGGGCCCGATGTACCTTACCAGGAGTTGTACGCCATTAACGACACCCAGACACCCCTTCGCACTATAACCTCGAACGACGCCCTCTGGAATAAAATCCAAGAATATAACTTACCAAACATTACATATTTCACTTTGGATCACCCCGACGGGTACAGTTTGAATGTCTTGGAGAGGCTTCCCCCTAACTTTGACCCCGCGAAAAAATACCCGGTTCTCTTCACGCCCTATGGAGGACCGGGCTCGCAGGAGGTATCAAAGTCTTTTCAGTCGATCGGATGGAACGCGTATATCTCGTCGGACCCGGAGCTTGGATTTATTCAATATACAGTTGATAACCGTGGAACAGGCTACAAGGGCCGAAAGTTCCGTGCCCTCGTCGCGTCCCACTTAGGCGAGTTCGAGGCGGCGGACCAGATATGGGCCGCGCAGGAACTAGCTTCTCGAAATTCTTTCATTGATGCAGAGAAGGTTGGAATTTTCGGGTGGTCGTTTGGCGGATATCTATCAGCGAAAGTAGTGGAAGCGGACTCGGGCGTTTTCACCCTGGGTCTGATAGTCGCACCGGTCACCGACTGGCGATTCTACGACAGCATGTACACGGAGCGCTATATGAAAACATCACAACTAAACCCAGACGGATATAACAAGACGGCGATACGGAAGCCGGATGGATTTAAAAATATCGCTGGTGGATTCTCCATCCTCCACGGCCTCGGAGACGATAATGTGCACTACCAGAACACGGCAGCTCTTCTTGACCTTCTTGTCGGGGCCGGCGTGTCGCCTGCTAAGATGCAATGGCGAGTTTTCACGGATAGCGACCACGGTATTTCGTACCACGGTGCTTCGACATATTTATACAAATTCTTGACAGAACTGCTGTTTCGGGAGAAGACACGAACGAGTCAGACCCTGGCACACCAATGGGCGAGGAGGTCGAAGGCGGAGGTTTTAGAGGAGCGATGAATGCTCAATTATAACGCCAAAAAAATTAACCTTAGCCTCGATTAGGGGAAAATAGGTACCTAAGTTAATAATCATTAGTTATAAGTAAATGCCGTGTTCATTGAAATATGTCTATCCCAGTTATGGCCACAAGCCCCCTTTTTTTATGAGCCAGGAATATATGGTAGCTAGGTACCCAAGAGCCCAATTTCTCTTCGGCGCATATAATTACCTCGCTAAATGGTACCTATCCAAAACGAAATACGATGATATAAGATCCGGAATATACTCACCTTCCATTAGCATGTTCGTAGCAAGGAAAATAGCATTCAATATCCTTTATACCTTCGTGGTTGTTACCTTTCTTACCGCTTCCACTGGCGCCTGCTCCGGTATGGCCCCCAGAGCTTCCTCCGGAATGGCCCCCCGAACCCTGTTGACTCCCACTGCCTTTTTGATGCCCGGTACCCTTCTGGCCCCAAGCATGAGTTACGCTCTGATGTCCCGAGGAGCCCCCTGGAGCTGGTCTGGTGGGAACTGAACCAACACTTTACCCCATCTCTTTACCCATCTCTTTGGTACTGTAGGTCTAATAGGTTACACAAACACAACCACGTCAATGATAGGATAACAACCAACATGTACATTAAGCACTTAGCTGCCTTCTGTGGCACGAATGTGTTGGCACCGATCATCAATTACTTATTTAAATGTGGTAAGCATTCCTTGTCAGAATTTCATCAGCACCTGGCTACCTTTTATTCCGGCTTTAAGATGGATAAATCCGTGCTTGAGGATACAGTGACACTAGTGCGTAGGTTTGAAAATGGTGCTGTACATTCATTCCCTAGTTCTGTCGATGAGACCGCGCAGAGAATGTATTACGTGTGGACCGAAGACCTTTTCGAAGAGAACCTACAGACGTGCCAAGCTGGAGTAAAGAAACACCGTGAGAAGGACCGAAGTGTTGGTAAGGCTTTTGAGTTCGAGGAGGACACGATGATACCTATTTGAACACACAAGTGGGATAAGATTCTATTAAATCCTAATAGTCTCTAGCTGTAGAAACATGCTCTATGAGGCTTGTAAAGATTGTATAGGTTCCACATGAAAAGGAGATACTCAAATTAACATATCTGTCGAGCAATCTAGTTGACCAAATCGACATTCAAAAATAAGCATTAGGATAGGAATGACGTATTCTGTCTAACTTTTAACCATAATACGTTTACCAGGAGGTATTTTAGCGTATACACCATGTAAGACTAATGCTATTGGACTCGGAATACTTTTCTAGATAACTCGCAAGTTACCTCCTTAAGGGGTTATAATCCGGAGTAACGTTGAACCGTCGAAAACTACCGCGTAATATAATGTCAGACAGGATTGAGTGGTTTACAAGCATTATGCTGTATGAAAGTATTCGATCGTGCCCTAGCAATGTCTCGGAAGTCCGTCAAGTCATCTATCCAAGAGGATTGAATAGTTTCCCACTAGACTGGCTCCGTAGGGTCTGGATATACATGTTTAGGTGAGGGCCCATGTATAAATAAGGCGATGGAAGTTACAATTCGCATCCCATTATTTGATATTTTCGCATCTTTCTTTACTGCTTACGACGTATCCGTTTACGATACCATCTCACAATGGATTTCACGCAAGCACCTATGCTTATAACGCAGCTCAGTAGTCTTAGTACGAAGCTCTCTAACGATGACAAGATTGCAAGAAAAGAAGCATTGGCAATAAGCAAGAACCTCATAAGGGCCCTCGAGCCACCTGAAAACCTGGCTCTCGAATTGGCTTACTCGGTATTTGCTCCGATTTAATGTATTTGCTTGCATGTTATGCGGTCTAACTTCTATGATAGCCATTAATCACTGTTTCTGCTACAATAGCCGTCGAACTCGGTCTGTTCAAGCTCATTGTAAAGCATGGAACTGTCAGCTCCAAAGAGTTGGCGTCGCTCTCAAGTGGAGAGGAGCTCCTTATTGGTACGGCTGTTTAAACCAAGTATCAAAATTGTATAAGTACGCTAATAAAAATATTTTTTACAATTTATAGTCCGTATCCTACGACCCTTGGCATCGACAGGATTTGTTGACGAGGTTGGCGAAAGAGTATGGGAGCCCACTCCTATAACTAGGGCCATGGCTACCGATGGAATTGCCGCAGGCTACAGAACGCTGTGAGTATTACGAACACTTCAATATTGGCTAACGCTGAGGGGATGAACTAGTAAAGTAATAACCGGAGTGGCTTCACATAAAGGCTCAGACTATCTTCGAGAAGTCGACTATCATTGCCCTACCGATCCTCGCGATGGCTTGGTACAATATACGTACCAGACGAAGCTAAGCTTGTTTAAGTATATAGCAACAATCCCCCACATGTCGAATAACTTCAACCTATTTATGGGAAGTACAATGGGTGCCCGGGGCTATTGGGTTGACTGGTATCCAGTTGAGGAACGTCTGCTAAAAGGGGCAAGTAAAGACACAGCCCTTCTCGTGGATGTAGGAGCCGGTAAAGGACATGACACACTCGCATTCCACGCAAAATATCCAAATCAAGGACGCCTGATTTTCCAGGACATGGTACCTCCATTTGATGACATACAGGCCATGGGTGGTACCATCGAGTGCATGACCTACGACTTCTTTACTGCACAGCCAGTGATAGGTAAGCTGCCTTCACCATCTGATAGTTAACATTTACTTATCTTCAATAGGGGCGCGAGCATATTTCTATCATCACGTCTTACATGACTGGTCTGACAATATGTGCTTGGAGATACTAAAGCGAGTGCAAGCGGCCATGACTCCAGGATATTCAAAACTTCTGCTGCATGAGATGATTATTCCAGAAAAGGGGGCATCGACTTTTCATGCCATGCTTGATCTCACCATGATGGTTGCCAATGCAGGCATGGAGAGAACCGAGAGTCAGTGGCGAGCGCTGCTTGAAAATGCTGGACTTCAAGTCATCAAGGTTTGGCCAGCTTTGGAGGAAGATGCTGATGGGATAATAGAAGCAATGCTTCCAGAATGAAAGGTAGTATGTCTCTTTCAAACTCAACGGGGTCGACGATAGGGATAATTGGTAGGGCTATTAACAGGTAGCCATGTGAAGCCGATGAAGTAGTGTTCTACCCATATATCATTACTTTATAGGGCAAATTAGAACTTGGTCTCTTAATATAACGATCATTACTATCTCAACTGCGATTGTTATCACCTAGTATGGTAGTGATAATTACGTCGATTACCTCTCTAATGGTTTGCTGCTTTTACAGCGCCAGCCACTGGTAATGATACGATAGCATACATCAACTCATTCGCTATAGTCAAGGGGCATTATTCATTGGTTACGGAGGTCGGCAAGCGTGTAATAATATCTACCAAGGTTTTCTCTGGGGGTATTAGGTTATAGGTATTTCTCGAAGAAGTGACATAGCTGTGTTGAACAGTCTTGCAGGTCCAACCAACACCCCCGCCAGTTGTCCGCAACGTTTATCATAAAGTGTCTTATAGAAATCCATCAACTCGAATCTACTAAGCCAATTCAAATCCTAATTTACTTCACGTCTTACCAAATCAAATCGACATGGGCAAAGTCTCGAACTTATTCCTCCACAAGTTTCGTAGCAGGCTCCTCCCATACTGCTTCTATAATGCAAAGTATACTCCCTTCGATTTGCCGGGAGCCCTTGAATCGAAGCCGAGAGTCCACGGCTTCGATGATCTCTTTCCAATTAGCCTCCGTTCGTTCCTTGGCATTCCATACAGCAAACATTATGAGGTCCAAGTTCCTGAAAAAGGAAGTATACTATCAGTATGAGAATTGTAATATAAAATCAAGGAATTGGGTGGGACGAACCGATGATGTTTTCTTGTGTACCTGGTTTCTGGACCATCTTTGAGGACATACTCGTTAATTATTACTCTTGTTCCGTGCTTCATCCCTGGCACGAGTGCCTTCAAAATTCGTATTGCATTCTTGTCACTCCAATTATGTAGAATCCAACGAAGATAGAAAGCATCTACATCCCGACGAGGCTGGGGCTCGAAAAAGTCGTGCGCCTCGAAAATAACACGAGACATAAGTGTAGATGGTAGCGTCTCAGCACCCTTAGTCACCGGGCCGGGAAGGTCTTGGACGACCACTTGCAGATGATGGGTACCTGCGGCGAGGACGTGCGCGGGGCCACCTGTTCCTCCGCCGATATCCACCAGTATAGCCCCTTTTTTATCAAACATATGCCACGGGTAGCCGGCTAACAGATGCTTAACGTCTTCCTCTATGCCCTCAGAGAAATATTTCATCGCCCCCGCGAAACGTGCCGCACGCGCTTCGTCGCTTTTTAGCAACCCGAAATATGTTTGTCCAGGGCCATGCACCAGTGCCGTGGCGGCCTGCGTTGGTTCATCGCGCTCGCTAGCTGGCAGGTCGCGCCGATGGAGAATAGCTTCGTTTAGGTGGGCGGCAATCGGCGATAAGTCCTTCGTTAGCACTGAGAGAGTGTTTTGTTAGTTGAGATAATCCGCGAACCACCAGGAGATAAACACTTACTACCAATTGCGGCTAAAGCATCCGGGTTTGTTGCCAATAGACGGGAAGACGCGGTATGTACAACACGTCCTGAGGGCTGACCAAGTGCTTCGCTGAATATATAATTGGTCATTGCATGCCGTAAGATACGTTCTACTATAGTCGAATCTAATCCGCTTGCTTGCGCTATCTCTTCAAATGTTGCTGGCCCATTAAGAGGTACATGTTGAGCAAGACGGAAATCGTAGATAGCGCGCAGGGTCATCTCATCGGTGAACTAGGGGCGTGTGAGTAAGACGGCATTAGCTATCGAAGCTGGAAATCAAGTAAGTCTATACTATACCTGGAATATTAATTCTCGAAGAATACCATCACCGCCTAGAGCAAGCCGCTTTGCGGTCTCCGTTTTGTTGATGAACTCCTCCCTCGTAGCATTAATTTCAGCTGGAAGGCCCTGGAGAGTATCAAATTCAAAGGTAGTCTGTTTTCGACCTTGGGATGCAAGTTGGCTATCTAACTTGGAGGCAAGATCTAGGATTTCTAGTGCAAGCTCTGTGAATGATCCGCTCGATGCTGTTTGTTTGGCTTCCATTTTGTCGTCCTCGTTGATATGGCTCAGGAAGGAGATTTGAGGATTAATAATGTCGTATTGTTGTAAGTTTCTAAGTTAATGAGGGACGGATTTCCCCAAATTTGAAATATACCGCATTGTCCGATGTACGATGCGCCCCTTAATGCAGTGACTTCCATCCAGTTGTTAGCCGTGTAAGCTCGTTATCTTCTGAGAGGTAATCACGAGTTACCCCTTACTCAACTTTGAGTTCAACCTAGGAACACTAATAGGCGATGTTATATTCTAGAACTACAATAAATGGCTACTTGAACGCTGAATGAAGAGCCGTATTCTCTTTGTTTATCTTTGCCCACTCGGCGCTTTTGACCCATAGTCTCTCCTGCTTAACTTCATCTCGGCTTTCTGGCGAGCTTTCATCCTTCTGTAATAATTCAAAATATCCCCTTTCACCCGGATATACATGATCGAGGGCAAGCTCAATAGCGTCTACGGCAGACTCAGCTCCCAGTCGCATTTGTGGGTTTGCATACCGCATCAATGGTAATAATGGTTGTACGATGTATCGCACTAGGAGACTCAATGCTAGAGACGTGTTCTTGTCGAATATACGCGAATCTACAAGACCACCCGGGTTATAGGCTACAGCTGTAATGTTTTGAAGACTGGGATTCTATAAAATTCGTTAAACGTGCCCCATTTACTCCAAACATCCAGGTTCTCACCTTTTCTAGGTATCTATTAAACGCGTGCGTCCAGGACGTGATGACAAGCTTAGAATTCCCGTATCTGTGGAATCCAGCCGCACCCTTATCGGCATGTACAGTTGGTTTAATGAGTAAATCGAGGTCATCGGGGATTGCAGGCGGTATCTTCTCTAATATAGCTCTACCGGGACTGTGAGCTTCGCTGGAGAACAACACGATGCGGCCGCCATCGGGTGCAAACCTGTCGAGAAGCCCAAGCACCAGGGCCACATGGGATATATGATTTGTCTGGAAAGTTTTGTCGTATCCATCCTCCGTGAGCTCAGAATCAGCGACAAGATCCCAGTAGCATGCATTGCATAAGATACTCTTTAGTGGCGAAGTTTTCTCGGTCTTTATATCTTGAGAAAGCCTGTTCGCGAATTGATGCGTGTCGGAAAGACTCGTTAAGTCGAGTTTATAAATGAATGCCCTTGCCCCTGGATATCGCGATATTACTTGTCGCAACTTGTTCGTATTGGGGTCGGTATCCGAAGGATCCCGAACTGTTAAGAGTGCCGTATGGTCTGGGTAGTTCCTAAGCAGATGTTCTACAGCTGGAATGGCGAGGCTACCATTGGCCCCAGTGATTAGAATACTGCCTGCCATAACGGTGTGCTCTTAGGAGACTCCAGATGCTAGATATTGCGAAGTAGCTTGGAGGTGGTTAGGCCAGTCTTAAATAGCTTTGGGAATAGGAATTTAGACGAATCAAAAACGTTATCCTATACGATTCCTGATCGTCGTCGTACTATAATATGTCGTAATATTTTACGAGAAACAGTTGTTCATAGAATCGTGCTGACGTGTTAGATAGAACGAGCCCCTGTACGTAGGATCCACATGACCCATCACTCCATTGGAAGCCCCTATTTTCCACGTTCATGGTCTCATTCTCATGATATATGTCGTACCTAGTTCCAATCAGGTCTTTTGCCTCAAATCATAGCTAGTAACTATTTCAGGCTTGTTATATGTCGCACACTCGTACTTGTAGAGAAAGACAGGAAGAAAACTCCTCTTAATACCTAACACCCCTATACTTGGACAAACATCCGAACTAACATTTTTAAACAACTACTTTTTCACCTCGACGCTATCGTCTGTTATTATAGCAGAAGCCTTCTCCGATTTATTCAGGACCATATCCCATTTAACATCCTCAAAACCTTGTCTCGTCCTGACTTCTACCTGAATATCTTCATCTGGCCCCATTATTCCGGCAGCAACATTTGTATTCGCTGTAGTGGGAAGTTTCCAGTCACCTTCAATAGGTTTCATGTCCAATCTAACAATGAACGCAGCAACGAAGGTAAGTATTTCATTCGTTGCAAAGTGACGGCCGGGACAAAGAGTCTTGCCACCGCCGAATGCACGGAAGCAGACATCGCGTGGACGGTTATGCTTCTCTTCTGGGAGAAACCTGCGCGGATTGAATTCCATAACGTCGGAGCCCCAAAGATTAGCATCCTGGTGAATGACGATGCTTGGTATCTGCAACATTGCACCTTTCTTCAGCAGCCATTGATCGAGGTATGTATCTTCCATCACTTCACGTATGGATATTCCCATAGAACGATAGCGAAGGACTTCCTGGTAAGAGGATAATAACAGAGGACAACTTTCCTTTAAAGTAGTTAGGCTAAGAGTTTTGACAGTAGAGCCATTCTCTATAGTTGTTTCGGTGCAAGCGTCAATCTCGCTCCGAACTTCACCTAGGAGACCTGGGTGGGAGTGAAGTAGAATAAGACACCAAAATGCCGTAGGTATCGTATTCACTAAGATAGCAATCGTGCCTCCAACCTCCAAGCGCGCGATATCTTCCAAGGGGACATTGTTGTTTATTCCCGCTTGGTACCGATTTTGAGCAAAAGCCGATGCTTTCTGCACCCCACCGGCTTTATAATATGCTTCAAAGGCCTTAGCGACATTGTTTCGAGCCGTAATTGGTTTCTGAGCAGTGATCGAGGGGAAGAACCCTACAATAATCGGCAGGAGACCACACTCGAATTCCCAGAAAGAACTGGCAATAGATCTATCCTCGTACGGGTTCATCGGACCATACACGGACCTAGTTGTAGCAGTCGTGATGGTGTCTCTCAGCCAAGTAAATATACCAATTTTTCGAGACTTCCCCTTCCCGGCCCGTAGCTGGTTGAGGGAGTCTGCGATATCCTGGATCATAATACGGTTCATGTCATCGAGATCTGATCCTGGCTTGAGCCTAGCCCGCATCCCGGCATGAGTCTCTACAGTTAACCCGAAATCACCCTCGTCGCCATTGAGGTTTATACCCAGGATCTCTCGAGCTATAGGGCTTGCTCCAAAGGCTTTGGATGCGAATTTAATCTCAATTGGTGGAAATGCAAAGGTTTTATATTGCTTTTGCACAGCCTGAATGAGTTCCGGATTTGTTATCACATACATCTTCTGACCCGGGACGGACATGGTAAAGATGGCAGAATCCGTTTTCTTACTACGATACGGTTAAATGCGCCTTATTATAAGGGGAGCGAGTCAAATGATACCTGAGGTTGACATAGTAGTTAAACTTGCTCCGTGACAGTCCAACCATATGTCCGATAATAGGAATCGACTGGGGAGCAAGCGGAGGCTCGCGGGGATCATGGCCAAACTTCTTGTGAGTAGCAAAGTAGGTCAAAGTGATAACAGCAATGGAAATCCAGAGGATACTAGAGACACCGGTAAAGGATGACATGATGAAATCTGAAGAAAACAGGAACAAGGAGAATCGAACGGATGGTAAATAGTTCGAAAGATACCTAGGTAGGTAGTACCTAAGTTTGCATCACGATGATAGTGTCTATCCGATGTACTTGGAATATGCAGATCGAGTACAATGTTATTTCACCCCCAGGAGCGGCACTCTCCATCAGGAGGCGTAAAAATTGCAGATCATTAGAAGAACCGTTATCTTAGAGTACTTAATATTGAAAGATCTAATTGTATGACAGTCCATTGATTAAAACATTAATAAGTCCGAGCTAAATATAGTCCGTATGCTAGAGAATTACCGAGTAATAGGGTCAGATCTAGGATAGAAACTAACCGTGTCTCATCTATCAGAACAACTATTCGGTCATGATAAACATTTGAGATGAATATAATTGGCCAAATTTTTGAGATTAGTCTTATGCATACGCCTGCGGTGATATGTACCTAGTAGGTGACTGAATCTAGATCGCCGAAATTGGGCGTTATCCGTGGTGACGAGTTCCGGAGATGGCCGGGGCGGAAAGTCCATATTATAGGATGACAAGATCTCCGAAGTTAGTCGCCCTTCCAAGGACTTTACAATGTCGGGTATGCACTCATGCACATACTGCTGCAGCTACACCAAAAGTCTATACGTACCTAGGTACGCATCCCACCCGCCGTTGCGGTTCGAATGCATCAATGAACATACGCCACCACTCAAGTAAGCGCCGCAATCTACACTATTCCATTCGGAAACTCGGTTATCTGGATATCTTAAGCCTCATAAGTAAACCGCATCATCAATAGCAATATTATGTCATAACCGACCTATGAAACCCCCACCCGTTATGTATTACCTGCCGCGTCACTTGGCCTGACTGAGACATATGCCATGACATTGAAGAGAGTGAAATACCTGGGTACCGGGTATGTCGTATGCTTTTCTCACTCTGCGAACTTAAAAGCCGGCGCTGAGGAAGCAATTTCAAAGATAATGAGATGACAACAAAGTATAACCTCGAATCTCACCATTAATACTCAAAATGGCGGTCGCTAACTTCTTCGCGCACATCGCTTTTTCATATTGCCTATTTGTTTTATGCGTCATCGTTAAGATTGACTTTTTGATCCGGGTTATACGACAGCAGAAGCCAAGTATATCTCGAGTACCGGGACCACGACTGGCACGATGGTCACGATTGTGGATTGCAAAAGCGCTCTCGTCTGGAAGATCTCATGAGATATGGTCCGAAGTAAATGCAAAATATGGTTAGTAATTTAATTCCCATTGTAAACCATAATACACCATATAATATCTAACAGTGACTACCATTAAGGGCCCGTTGCCCGGATTGGTCCTAACCACGTCGTCACCGACGACCCTGAGATAACCCGCCGGATCCTCGCAGCCAGATCAGGATACGTGCGTGGGCCTTGGTTCGATTCCTTCCGCACTGACCCCCAAGTTCCAAACATCGTCTCCGAACGCGATGTCAAGAAACATGGCCAGATACGTGCCAAACTTGCCCCGAGCGTAAGTGCTTATGAATGTTATGAGATTCTTACGTTACTAATATACCGCGTAGTTCACCAATACATCTGTTGCAGCAATGGAGCCCATCATAGACCAGTTGGTGCTTGGCTGGCTAAACTCACTACGGAAGCGCTTCACTAGACCAGATCAAGTGTCGTGCGATATTGGTGAAAAAATCCAGTTCCTAACCGTCGATGTCATCACCAAAATCTGTCTAGGAGAGGAAATTGGGTGCGTTAAGAATGACCGTGACATGCATCAACTCCTCGAAATAGTGGAAACCGGTAACTGGGCTTGCCAGTATTTTTCAGTCTTCTTGGAGTTAAATACAATTTGTTTCCAGTTGACTAGGATCCCTTATTTGAGGAAATTTATTTTTCCTACGCCTTGCGATCGCACAGGGATCGGTCGTCTTATGGGGGTGAGGTTTACCCCTTATATACTCAACACGCTACGAGAATAGTTAACCTAACATTCATAGATAATTCACGAGGTCGTGGACAATCGCGCTAAAGAAGGATATAGGACAGGCGATGTCGTTAGTTCACTACTGATGCGAGGAATGCCAAAAGATCAGATAGATTCTGAGCTCACCGTTGCGCTGTAGGTATCTTTACGCTTCTCCTATATAAAGTTATACTGACAGTTGGTTTTAGCGTGGCCGGCTCTGATACTACATCTACCTCAGTGCAGAGTATCCTCTTGAGCATTATAGCTAGCCCGCAGGTTTACAAGACTCTATGTGCTGAGATCCGTGGGGCTGTTGCAGGAGGACTAGTTTCCGACCCCATCCAGGACTCTGAAGCTAAGCAGCTTGTGTACCTACAAGCTTGCATCTTAGAGGGCTTACGAAAATTTCCTCCTTTAAGTCAGCTACGTGAACGCGTCGTTCCACCCGGGGGAGATACGCTCGGCTGCTTCCACCTTCCGGAGGGCACGTTTGTTGGCTTGAATATGTGGGGTGTTCAGCTGAACAAGGCCGTCTATGGAGATAACGCTGAGATCTATTATCCGGAGCGTTGGCTGATAGACGATGTTGACAGGCTTCACGCCATGCATCAGACTCACTCACTGGTATTTGGGCATGGCTCAACCAAATGTTTAGGCATGTCCGTAGCCATGATGGAAATCACAAAAGTCATATTCGAAGTAAGTTCTAGTTTATAGCGTGAAAGACCGGGACCATACTAACTTTGATCCACCAAGCTCCTTAGGAATTTCGATATCACCATTGCCAACCCCCACAAACCATGGTCTAGTATATGTTACGGAATATTCTTCCAGAAAAACTTCCACGTTCGCCTCAGTCCAGTTAACTATACCCACCCCCCAACCTATGAGTATGCCGTAAAATCCGAAGTATCTCTTATCTAAATATTAGCTTACCGGCCTCTCTTTGGATTCACTTGTTATGATGGTTTGATTCAACAAATTAGCTTAGAATTAAATTCCTGTAACACTATTTACCCGTCAACGTCTCGTTGTTTTGCTTCCCGCTACTTCACCCCAACTAGATAGACAATATAGTTATTACAATACTACAATAACGAATCAATCCACTCTTTGGAAACATTGTTCTGTTTCCCAGGTGCGATACTTTAATTTTGCAACCAGGTATTAGGTACTTTTACCTTCTAGTTGCTAGAAGTTCAAAGATGCGCGGTCAATAGATTACCTAGGTACTTTCCAACATAATACCTCGTGGCCTAGATTGTTTAGTAATTAAGACCTACTTCCGTTAATTAACCAGCCATCCGTTATAGATTACAGTCTATTAGCCTAATGCCTCGCACATTATCTGTCGTTATGTTTTAGGTATCCTAAAATATAATCGGACTTCGGAAATTCTAATTATGTTTGCGCGGACTTACGTAGGAGAGGTTGGCGGCTGTGTCTTACATTGTAAAAAGATATCTTATCTTAAACTGAGGAGCAACGGGAATCAAGTATCTCAATGCGATCAAGAGTGTCACGGTCAAAAGCCCCGATGTGGCTGCCGAAAGCTGCAGCAGAAGAAGTAACAATAATACAGAGGCTTACAGCAAGAAAATCTACGGAAACATGCAGATAATTCTATTTATTACGAATTCGATCTATCCGCCAAAAAGGTTTTTATGTCATTGACGTAATGCACACACCATAAAAGGTAATTAAGTGAGTGGGTTGGCGTAGATTCGTGATCGCATAATGTTGTGGCTTCAAATGAAACTTACGGTTACCCCTACTCCTAAAATATAGCCTCCGTTCTAGGCTACGCCATACATATCACGATATCCGCCAAAGATGTACTTCGTAGACCCGTATTTTTAAGGCTTCAAGCGAGCGGATTATACGCACTGGCCATATCAAATTGAAAGGAATGGAATGGATTATTAGCCCTGCCCCTTCCAAGCCCGCCACCGTGATCGTTAGTACTAGATTGCAACGAGGACTACCCAATGTTAGATTACTTGACTACCACCTAGGTCGGTTCCTATCAAGGACAGGACCTGAATTACATCCTTCAAAACTTGACCAAGGCATGTTCAAGCTATTTTCGCCACCTCGGTGGCTTCATGATGTTCCTTCGTGTGTGAACCGCCCCGAGTTAGCCCCCACCATAACCCAAGTGTTAAGATAGTAAGGCCACCTCCGATAGCTATGTATACCCAGAAGTAAAACGTCAGTACAGATTGTCCCTCGGTAGCCCCCCAGTTGAAGACGCCCATTGAGAAAATAGACTGAAGATATTAGCCCCTATTAGCCCCTTACCATATTCGTATCAAAGAATATACTCACAGCAACTGATGTTAATGGAAGATATATCATGGTCATTAGAGCTATTGAACGCATCTGTGCGTTATCTCGCTTCGTTTCGATAGATATGCGGGTGTTAGCAAAGGTTTGATGTCTCGCGACATGACCCGATGCCTATTCATTAGTCGCAGTTAGCTTTATTACAGCCACTCTAATATTTTCATGATAGTCTAAAGGGCGTAGGTCACCTTACCATCTGCGTCGTGAAGTTCAACCCATTGAGAACCATCTGACATTCGTCAAGTTTCTCGTCATATTCGGACTTGATCTCCGTCAAACGCTCGCGAATTCGAGTTTCAATATTTGATGACATCAAAGAGGCATCAAGTTGGACTCTATCCTTTTTCCCGAGGCCTGATCTCCTCCGGGATTTCCACTTTATTCTTGTAATCGCAAATATGGCCTCAAGCTCATGGGTGTGCTTGCACATATCTGAGATCTGCCGTTTTACCTTCCGAATCCCCTTGGCCAATTCGCTAGTGCCATTGTACAGATTCAATAGCTCATCAGTGCTTTCCCCCTCTCTATTCAAGATACTTTCGGGGTCCCTAGATGTACAGCAGAGTGCTTCTGTACTCGACACGAACGGATCAAGAACTGACTCTACTTCTTCCACAAGACGCTTACGGTCCAGTTCAATCAGTATACCAGGAGTCAGCATTGGGTGGTATATGGCGTCGCCAGCTTCTGCCAGACGTCTCTCGATATTAGACGATTGCTCATCATTACATCCGTAGAATACTGATAAGCTAAGCTTCCTATGACTTAAGTAGGTCGAAGAGAGGGCAATATCATCTGGCCATGCTGAACTAGTTCTCGCGGTATATACTTCAGGAATCAGAATTCTATATTTCGATAATAAGGGTAAGAAAGAATACCGATGCTGTTACTCCCGATCATTCCTTTGCGAATATATATACGGGAAAAGTACGTAATTTCCCGACGGATAGTTCGAACTATGGCACGGTGTATTCGGAATATTTCGACGAGTTGACTGAATTCATGCTTAGAGACCGGGAGATATGATGGAGACGAATAATCCGAACTACTGCTCCGATTAAAGATGCTGGTGTTTATGTGAGTTCTATCTGAGCTGCATTTCTCGCCTGTGAGGTAGACATACATGGCGAATATTCCATGCTCGCAAACACAATTAAGCAAAGACTTGTTCTATATAATGTAAGCTTAGAAATGCACCAAGTTGGGTCCCAAACCTTCTCGATCCATTCCCTCAAGTCCTCAGAGGATTGAATATTCCAGCATATTAGTTCCTAATAACAGGTTAACCCTATTTTTCAAATATAGCAAGATTATGAGTTTGTTTTAACATGTATGCACCTTATCGGATTGAAGTTTCCTGATGATCTTGAACCGACTTTGGCTGTACTTGAAATTTCCAAAATCGTTATCATCAAAATCTTCTTCGGCATTAGGCCAGTCCATACTCCTTCTTGTAAGGCTACGCCTTTCAAGTTATTAATATATTATTACTGGAATCAAATATAGTATTAGATCACCCAGGTACTAGGTGCAATTCGGAAACAGAGAAACACAGATTGGGGTGTGACAGTTCCCAGTTCCCCAATATTTGAGACGGTAGGTATCACTTTTGCTTGGTATGACCGACCCGACGTAGAAGAGCCTCATTGTAATTACTTCCAATTTAATCGGCAATTGTATAATTCGTCGGATTATGACGCGCTGATATCATCAACCGACAACCTCTTCTTGGTTGGTGGATAGATGTCGCATAAAACTTCCTTACTGTCGTGGAGTAGTGAATACCCAATGAACTCCATCTATTAACGCATTTAAATCAAGCCACAAAGGCAGCCCCTCACCAGAATGATACCCAAGAAGATAATGGTGCAGCACGAGTCAGGGTAGTATCGAAGTACTGGCACGCACCCTAATGTTAACTCAAGGATTAGAGCCTCAATAAGAAATATACAAAAGGGCTGTCAACCAAAAGGAAGGGCTTATAGAATGATAAAGAGTAAAGTTAAAATTATCTACCTAACGCTTCCTAACTTGTGTTTTTCTAAAACTTGCGCAATGCCTTCTGAAGTCCGTACGAAGAAATCCAAGTACCCGCCAGGATGGGTCCAATCAGTTCTAAGATGTACATATAATGATGGCGGAGAAATTAGAAAAGGTCTAAACGAGCTCCTCGGGGAGAAAGGTTACATCCTTAAAGTGCGTATTTTATAAGGCTATATACTAGGATACTATAACTGACCCTAAAAAGCACCGCACAGGTAGATGGGTAGTCTGGGCGCCTAGGAAGCTAACTACTGTAACTGATCTTATCCAAGTTATAACCGTATGCAAAGAAGATTCTAATTGTTACTTCAAGGCGGATGAAACCGAACTCGAAAAATCTGCACATGTGCATTATCGGGCTTAGTATTGCTCATAAGATCCAAGTTCTATTAATATCGATCGCGGCATTCAGGAGAGGGATTTGGTGTGTTAACGCATTACTGTAGGCACATAAGTAATGTGCCAGAAAGAACCTTAATAAATGTTATATATAAAGTGAATGTCAAGATATTTATATTGAACTATTAACGCCTGCCTTTCTATCCTCTTACGAGGGCGCTGTGCGTACCTAAGAGATAGGTGCCTACCCAAGCCTAGCAAATCTACCCCTGAATCTACCCCTAACCCACTTATACCGTAACGCGTTAATTACCTCCTAAGCATAACAACTTTCAGCAGAAACCCGCGAATATCCTAACTCATCATCGCCAAGATAACCGTATAGTATATTGGAGTCCCTTTTTTTAACCACCAATGCTAACTAACTAACGTATTAACAGTAATGGCATATTTTATCTATAGCCTACTAGCTACCTACCTCTTAAAGTCTATATTATCTATATCCAGTATCATATATAGAGACCACCATTATAGATGACGAGACAATCCCATTACCCCCTCTTATTTCATGCGGTACTCTAGCTCCGTTTCCCTCGGGGAGTACTCTAGATGTCTTTAGCGCCAAAGATGCGCCGCTGCATCTACCTAGGTAGCACTTAGCAAACCGACAGACGTGAACGTTATCATCATCTGTCTCATATAAGGCGCAATTGCTAGTTAGCAATTACGGCGTCGTTTTTGCGATATCATCATCGTCTCCCCCCGCGGGACATGCTGTTCGACGATATAACTCTCCCTTTGACACTTATTGAAGAGACCCTCTAGTTTCTTGGCGACTTCAGCTGCTGGCAGACGCCTATCCCGCCCAATACGTAGCATACCCCCCTCAATCAAATCAAGAAACTCGTGGAAGTACTGGGTGCACTGTGGGTTATTGCGAAGGTCAGAGATCCAATTCCGAACACCAGGCTTCAGTTCAGCCGACTTTCCATCGGCCGTTGTTCGGTAAAATTTGTCTTCGCTGACCCCTGGGAGATTCTTATCGTCTTCTCCTCGGCAACTTGGGAATTCCTCTTCCACAGCCTCGTACCCCAAAAGGTAACAAGTGATAAATTCCAAGTATGTACATCCGAGAGCCCATATATCGGATTTTCTAGATATCTTTTCGCCCTTAATATCAAACTCCGGTGCTTGATATGTTAAGGTCTTTTTAAGTTTGCTGGCGGTCTGAGCTGAAATCGATATAGCGCGGTGGAATCTCATTAAGCCAAAGTCGGAGAGAACTAACCGCCATCCTGAAGGGCCTGCGATACCCGGCTTGGAAAACCAAAGAATATTGCCGGCTTTTATGTCTCCATGGCGCCCGTATATGGGATAATCTTCCCCCCTATCTGTGTCTTGATCTTTATGTAGCATCGAAAGTGCTTTCGCAATTCCAAGGCACTGTTCAGCCATCCAGCGCACTATGGATATTCTGTCAGGATTCTTGTTGAGTTGGGTCTTCCAGAAATACCTAAGATCGCCATTGGCCTTTGGAAATAGTAGGTAGTATTTTCCAGCTTCACTCTCCTTCTCAATCGTAGCGAGTAGTGGGATTAGATGTTTGTCAATGCCGTAGTTGTATTTGCTAAGAGCATCAACCTCCAGTTTGAAATCATTATAATTTAACGATTTCAGGCGCTTAAGAGCGAACGAATGTGAACCGTCGATGTACTTTCCGTAGCTTAGTTCATAAATTGCAAGAATCTGCTTGTGGATAACCTACTGGCTGGTTGCAAAAGTGGTAATGTGAAGGATGTATCTTCACTAGAAAAACATCGCCGAACCCCCCTTGTAAAACGACCTCTTTAACATCTGGGTCCAGTGATTCCACCTCAACCTCGACATGATTCGTTTTTTCCGTGAATGGCAAGACGTCCGAGGCTTCTAAGATGTAGTGAGGGATAATATTCTCCGGTCGGTAAAAGAATGGTGCAATAGCCCACCATTGGTAGGCTGCAAAATTGTCCAAGTTTCCTTGCTTCCATTCTTTCCGGTCTTGGAAGAGGTACTTCAACGTCTCCTCACTAATTTTACGGCCATTATTTTCTCGTAAAATCGTTATCCCATTTTCATTTCGCTCTACTTTTGGTAAAGGGAGATAAGAGTCGTCGATATGCTGGTCGATAAACCTGCCGATGCACCTAGCGTTCTCGCATAGTACCAGGATGGCAAATGTCCGAAAGAAGAGACCTTCACTTCCTTCGGGTTGATTTGTACAGATTTTATCCACCCATTTTAATATTTCGTCTCGAGAAGCATCATCTTCTCGGAGAGCTTGTTCAACAAGCCTGGGGTTCCTAGCCAGGTCAAGCTTGTCGAAAGGTATAAAGTAAGTATCTTCATTGTTGGTATGAGATATTCTGCTTTCCCGTAAGACTTTATAGAGTTTCTCATTCCTACACGTATTGAATCCATTTGAAACGCCCACACTTGCATTGCGTTTCCGAGAATCTTGCCGAAACTTGTCGCCGCGATCGTGGCATTTTACATGGGAATTTGCATTATCTTTTGGGGATTGACCACCCCGAGATTGAGTAATCTACATATTCATGTAGTGTTAGAATTCGATAGTCTAGAACAAAGCTGAATCTCGTGAAATGACTAGCTTACATTGAGCATGCAGAAATGCTCGCTCTTCCCCTGAAAAGAGGTACCTAATACTGATCCAGGGTAGCTAATTTATGAAAGGATGAAAGGAAATGATCTATTAATTGTTTCTAGTACTCTAATAGTAATCATCTGAGATTGATAGCGGGGGGTCTGGTGATTCATCAACATGAATATTGGATGTGTTTTGTCGCTGACACATCGAAATATTTATATCTGTAAATTAATAGAGGGCCGCAACAAGGCAACATAAATGTAGGCAGCAGCTTCTCTGTGGTTTGCCTTGTGCAGACCAATGCCCTCAGCCTCAAAACTTTCACTTTCTTCACAGCCTTATATCGTCCTGGGTCTTATATTTGGTGACCCTTGTCATATTTCTTTCGGTGAGCCAGAGCAAGCTTGAAGTTAGGGCTCTAACTGAGTCTCCATCCGTCCAAGGGAAATAATTAACCTGCCTTTAAAGACGCGGAGTTGAAAGATAGCCGCCCGTAGGTACAATCCTTTGTATTTCCGCAAAGCGAAAAGAACTTAGATTATAATTACCTACCAAAAGTATTATAGTATTTGCATTACCCCTTTCCAAGTAACTCTCGTCTGAGCTAAAAGGTAAATCACGAAAATAAGGAATGAGGTAATATTGATTTGTCCTACACACCAAAGATATCCTACACACCAAAAACAGTTTACGTGGTGAGGCACACTTTAGCCGAAGTATCCAATCCTACGCCATGTCTCAAGGGCACTCCCACCTTTGCGGAGGTTAAGAACTCTTTCCTTTATAATGCTGAGGTGAGAAGTAAGTGAAGTCAGCCTAACAATGGCCCAGTACGTTTATATGATATGTCTAAGCCATAATCTAAATAGATCTCCTCGATTACCCAATGCAAGACCCAGTAACTGAATACCAGCGTAGTGATAGCACGGATGTACCTACCTACCTAGGTAGGTATACATACTACGCGGTGTAAAATGATATATTATTAGCCCACGTTGAGTGTACTCAGTTGCCCGGCCTTCATTGTGGCTTGAGAGCAAAGCTGTGTTACACAACATAATGCAATGAAACCCTGAAAGCTGGCATGATATATCCGGCTCCTACCTCTTGTGAGCACTACAAAGCAAGACACGTAGTAATTCATCCGATGAGAATCAATGATAAATAAGGCTTTGAGCAACTTTACACGATTCATTTTTTGGGAACCAATAGTTATAGGCAAGGAGTCTCAGTTGATAGCATAGGTAAGGCTGACTTGGGAGTCAAGATGCAAATGTTTACCTATTGGTAGCACTGCATTTACCACTATTTAAGGTCCTTAGGTAGGCCACGAATATAAGTTACGTTCAAGATATCTATGGCCCCACTGTGGTTTACAGTGGCTTTTCAGGCTTACCGATATCATCTCCCGGCACAACGCCTCCTTGGCCTTACTATATAGGTATATATTGAACCGTAGGGTCACCCAATGTCCAAAACCACAATCATCTTCATCAAGCTCCATCTACGAGGACTCCGTTTTATCCGTCCTTTGTCGTCACTTAATCCATCGAGAAATGGCATCTCTCCCATCTCCGTCGCACATTTTTTCGAAATCGGAGAATACTCGAGAACTCCGCGAAAGCACATTCAAAGCAAAAAACAATACAGCATGCCGGGCGGAATATAGAATTCCTGGTTATCTAGTGAATCCAGTGCATCTTATTGAATTATTGCAAGAGAAATTCAACAATGATTACAAAGTTAGGGTAATTGTCCAAAAGATCCCAACTCTTAGTACCGGCACTGACTTGGCGAAAAGCTTAGGAATGACAATTATTTCATATCTACTCCTGAAAGGCTTACACAGGTAAAATATCATCTAAAAGGCATTAAAAGAGAAATTACTTGATCTAACTGATTAGAACGAGTTGATCCGGTGCTACTGAGCTTCCAAGCCCTTACATTCATCGAACATATAATTCAGTAGTATTTTAACTTCCATGTGCCGCTCATAAGCGTAGCCGATGGACTACGACCAAAGAAAGATTATTTACGCCGCTTCTTGGACTATAATGTACATTTTAGGAACAAAGTGCTATTGAGTCCTTCATAATATTAGCAATTTGAATTATTTTCTTTTTTTCTTGACAGGGCTTGATTGTCATCAGCCTCATGCAGCTATTAGGGCTTCCTGTCTTACATGTAATGATAGCCGAGGGATGAATATGTATGCTTATCTGAGGTATCTCGGGTAGGCAGTTAATAAGCACACATTTCTCTTCCGATATGTAACCCTTATGAGGATATACGTGATGCACATGTTAAATAGGTAATGAAAATTAAGATGCCTTCCTACACCCCCTTTTTGAATCACCAATTAAAGTGAGTTTAATAGTATTTCAACTTAGAAATTCTTTGCTAAAAGTTCTATTAACTGATGTGGGCGAACATGAAGTAAGTGTAGGGAGAAAATATATGAGAAAAGAATAACACTTAATAACCACTGAGACTTATAATTCCTGTCCTGTCCTTGAAGATGATACTGTTACTGTTTCAAAAGCCTATTCATCCGTAAACTTTAGGAATTCCTTCGATGGAATACAAATTCTCGCAATAATTCCAAGGAAAGATTTTACTATGACATTGTTCTTGAGTGTCTCAACCGATAGCCATAAATATACCATATAGAATCCCATATTTTACTTTCTTCTACCCGTTAAAAGAAGATACCGAGCATACAGAGACGTAGGTTTATTATAGATGAAGAGTTAAAAGATACCTATTACACAGTGTTCATCCCATACCTGTCTGAGGTGGACCGAGAAGCAAGAAAACAACTTCGTTGTTCCGCGAAGAACTACAAATTGGCTACAGGAGCCTACGGCTATACATACTGACAATATTCTTCATTATGGATGTTTCGTTTAGAATTTTTACAATAGCTATAAACACAAAGATAATCGCAACATCATCTTTTCTAGTCGGTATTAAACTCGGCCCTTCCGGCTTTGCTATTCAGATACTCGTTCCTATAGCTCGTGTTATTCTATGAATTTGAAACGAGCTACCTTCGTCGGAGACATACCTCTTGTTAGCCCAATCCATGGCATAATAGGCAGCGAGAAACGGTGGTGCCCAGTACAGAACTTGCCCACAGAACCGACGCCAACTGTTAAACACAGCGTCGTGGGCAACACCAGTAAAGATTTTCTGGCGGTTTGAACTAAGACTGTATGTGATTATGTTCTTCTGGGGTATGATACAGCCTAGACGTACGGGTCGGGTTAGCTTAGCTCTGGGTAAGTTGGGTTTCTATGGGTTGAACTGTACCAAGATGCCCCCATGTATCTTTGTTCAGATAGCTATAAATCAGATTATGGTTACTAAAGTTACTTCCCGTTGAAATGTGGTAGTATAGTTAATAGTAAAATGTAGTCTGATATGTTCCCTGACTTACTGGTTATATTTGCCGATAGGGGGCTCGGTGGCTCGTAGTATCTGGGATGGACGCATCACGTCGAATTTGGAATTGTCTCACGTGCTGTGTCTTTACACTATAAAATCGGAATCAAGAGGCCTATATAGTGATGTTGATGTAAAATCGAAACCAGGAAATCGTGCTGCTTTTCTAATTCGAAATTAAGTCGGCTAAGAAATACGACACCGAGAGAATCGGTGAGCAACGTACTCTTAATATCTATCTTCAATGAAGAGTCGGGATTACGGATGTAAGTGTTAGTCCGAGTAAATGGAATCGTTCTAGGTTAAGATCATGCTATCGGCAGTATAGTAGCATATGTAGTAGTGTATGCAGGCTGCTTACATTGTGTGGGGGGATGACACCAACATCGAAAGGCTCATAGAAATCCCGGGGTTTTCATTTGTCACTATATTTGGTTGCCAGTTATTAGAGTATTAACGATACTCGATCCGGATTCAGGAAGACTTTGCCGAATTATCATAAAGACATCATTTCCATTTGATGTTAGATGCTAACTCGTCACGATCGCATCACTCATCTATAGAACTGCGTATGAGAGATTTGGGAATGTTAATACTCTTAACAAAGTCGCATTACCCTCTCAGCCTCTAAGTAAGGCTTAGCTATAGCTACCTCTTCAACTATATTATATATACCAGTATATTTGATCCATTACAGCCCTTGTATCTCTCCACAGCTATTTGCTCGCGTTGTTTAAACTAAATATATTCTTTGCGCCTCGTCTAGTACGACACTGTCATGCATTATTGTCTAGTGTAAAGCGCAAAATGTACATCGTGTCGGGATGTTGATTTCACTGTATATTTAACTGTGTGGGGTTGCAATGTGGGCGAAGCTTCGAGCATTGAGTACCTAGGTACCTACATGTACTAAGGTACCTTCCTATGTATCTAAGTAGACATGTACTTCGTACCCAAACGCCAAACGCCAAACGCCAAACGGCACATGAATGGAGCTTCAAACTTTAATGTGAAAAAAAGAAGAAAGAATAAAATTTAATTTCAATCCCGTCAAAAATTCATATTATTATCATTAGACCAACCAAAATCTCATGGAACCGGATACCGCGGGGTTCTTTGAAGAACCAGCCGATTATTATCCCCCATCACCGCCCCCAACCTTTCAAGTTTACACACTACAGTCAGGGGAGACCATCACACTTCATCTTGTAGGCCATAGCCCCTTGGAAGCCCACCATCTGTGGAATGGCAGTCGCATTATATCTAAATACTTCGAGTCCCATGTATCGGAAGTCCGAGGCCGAACTGTGCTCGAGCTCGGAGCCGGAGCCGGGCTACCTAGCATAGTGAGCGCTATCCTGGGGGCCGAAAAGGTCGTGGTCACCGATTACCCCGATCCCGATCTGGTTGTCAACATGAAGAAAAATATCCTAGGATGTGAACTTATACCTATAGTAGACGGAAATCCCGACAATTCCTCAATAGTTGCTGACGGCTACGTCTGGGGAGCTGATGCGACCCATCTACTATCGCATCTGGAGTCAGTCAAGAGGGACAAATTTGATGTGCTTATCTTGGCCGATCTACTATTCAGACACTCTGAACACGGAAACATGATTTCGTCCATCGAGGCGACCATGAGCCGGAAGAAAACCAGCACTGCCTTCGTCTGCTTTACAAGTTACCGGCCCTGGCTGCAGCATAAGGATCTCGCATTCTTCGACCTTGCGCGAGAGAGAGGGTTCATAGTTGAGAAATTACTCGAGGAGAAAATGGACAAGGCTATGTTTGAAAATGATCCAGGCGACGAGGACGTTCGGAAGACGGTTACAGGCTTTACGTTACGCTGGCCGGACGAAAAGTGCATATAGGGCACATCGGGCGCAGTCGGTCTGCTGCTATTTTTTCATCAAGGCCTTCCAGGATCTCTCCGGATCGTATTCAAATGGTGAGAGGTGTGGGCTGCATCTCGTCTGACACGCAGTTGTGTGCTGCCCCTACCTTATCTGACTGGCACTCATCGTCCATACAAACCTCATCAAAGCAATTAAGAACCAATGAGGTAAACTTCACGATCTATTCTCCAAAAATGTGTGACCCGAAGCGAAAGAGCACGCAGTATCGCAGATCCTACTGTGGTGGATGTAGAACTTATTAGGGCTGTGATACCGCCTGCTTCGATTGGATAAAAGAGACTACGAAGACGCTTAACGCCAATAGCATATAACAAGCACGTCGTATCTGGGCGCTTTTCATTCATAGTGTCTGTGTACCTTGTTCTTCTTCCGCCTCCTTTGGGTAGCGCTGGGTGGATCTACAAGGCGGTGCATGCAAGTGTTGGTTGTTTTCGGCTGCAGGCCTACCACATTTAGCTCTTCTGGTGTTGGCTTTCAGTCAGCTTTCCTGCTGGCCCCAGGTTTTTCTGCATCGCCTTTATTAACTGCGTAATTCAGTCTGATTAAATATGGTGTCAAAAAACTGCGAGATTCCGGCATGACTACTACTTGCAGTTACAATATCGCCAAGTATTGCATCGAGTAGCCTTAAAAGGGTTATTGAGATACAGTCTGGAAGAGTAAAGTTAATAACAAGCTATTCCGGGAATAACTAATGTCCAGTGACGATCAGCTAAGTATGGAAATATTGGCTGGGCTGCATACTGCGCGGGTTGCAGTTACAGTAAGGCATAGCCTCATTCCGATTACCGACAATAATCGAACCAAAATACACAGACCTTCACATCTGCATACATCTTCCTAGGTCTTGAAATATAATTCAGATTGATATCTTCCGTTCCTACGGAGGAGGACTGACCTCGTCGGATCCGTGTCGATTAAATCCTCGTCGACAATAGTCCCTCTTTTCAACTACTATGGAATGGCTGTCGTCAAAGTGGGCACCGAGATGGACTGTATCGAGATGGCTTCTTTTTGCCAGGCTGTTACAGGTGTCGGGTACTCTCGTAACTGCTGTAATGAACGGATTTCTTCTTGTATACATCCATATTAATCGACTCGGCCTTGCGACAAGTATGTTTTGTCTAGAGATGATGGTTCGTATTGCCTCCTTAGCCATTTGTTTTCAACCATCAAGGAACTTAGCAGTGTTTAGGTTTGTGTCGCACTTATATACTCTGGCATTGTACTATTGATGCAGCACTCTGGTAGCTGGCGGAGAAGATCTAGCACGATATTGGCTACTATCTTCATCGCTGGCGATGTGGCATTCAATGGAATCATGATCGCAATCATAACAGTACTCTCCCGCACGGGGCTTCCAACAGATTGTTATGGGTTAACTCGAGACGATAAGGAAAATAACGACGCCCCTGACAAACCGCCCCCGGGATATGATACGATACGATTCGGCAACGGAGATAATATAAGGGGACTACTTGATAGATACTGTTCCCTGGAACAAAGTTTCTATTTTATCGGCGTAGCACTAATGTACGAAACTCACGGTTCCCTCGTGTATTCGTCTATCTACTAATAACGGCAGATTTACTTACATGTTGACGATAACATTGGGAGTCTTACGGATCTTTGAGCAACGTTGGAACCACGGCCAAAAGGATCACTCATGCATGTCAGAAGATAACATACATCAACTTGATCACATAACATACAATGTTCAAAGCCCTAATCCCGAGAGAGGCCTAGATAGTGCGGCGCCATCTAGTGAAGGGGTTTCTACGCCAGCCGCTAGGGCTAACCCGACAATACGAACCCACGACTTCGGGTCTACGGGTGACCTAAACGAGGATCGCGTATTCAACGAGCAAAGGAGGACACTGCAACTTCCTGTCTCGCCAGTTTCTGTCGCTTCCCGAATATCTCAGGTGTCTCCCATTTCACCAGTTATGCGCCAGCATGGAATATTCCATACGACATCTCAGGACGTGCCGGACACGTCCGTGGGCAGTTCGGATCTCGCAGCCGAGGCTATGGTGACAGATGGGTATCGATATAGACTTCAACCAGGAATTCCGTCGCTGCCTGCTTATTCCCCAAGTCAGTCCAGGGGACAGTTTATGGATGGGCATGGCGATGAGTCGAACGAGATGCGTTTGAGTGGGTATGTCAAGGGCAAGACGCGGGCGCAAAACATGAAGGACTCGGGTCTAGGCATCTAGAGATATGTCATGAGTACGCTTCATATCTGGCGATGTATAGAATATGTTGACGAGTGGCGGCGGCCTATTCATTTCCTTTTTTACGAGCGACGGCGTAGGAGGCTCAGTCTATTCTCGATTTTACGAAAAGTTTTCTTGTTAATATGGTAAATATACTCGGTTCGACTTCTTGACTTATTGTTTTCACTCTAGTTAACCTAGAATAATACACTGTGGTCTAGATAGTTCTATTCCCCGCTTAGCTACCCCAAGCAGCCCAACCCAGGGAAGCTCGGAATCGTACCGACGGAGCGCAACGTTGTATCATACACTAGTGGAGGCGACAGGTTCTTTGACGATTCAACCCCGCAATCCGATGAGATCATCTCCACCACCGCTATCCCAACTCTACATACCTTGTCTACCTGCCTGCATATCACTAGACCATCCATCCCTCCGGAGGAATATCATCGTTTCTACTCCAACTCGTCGATCACGTAGCCTTATTCTAATAGCTAACTATAAGGGGCATTACTCGGTTCTATCGCGGGCCGGACCATACGCTTGATCTAACCTACCCCAAGCAGCAGTAGCCTAGTCTCCAAGCCGCTACCACGAGAACATACAGTCGTCCATTCAAAGGCTAGGCCTAGAGGACTGTTACTCAAGACGACGTTACGCAAGTATATTTAGAACGTCACACTTCAAACTGCTAGTGCGCAGCGCAGAGCCAAGTAACTACCTAATCCAAAAGCACGAGGACCTCGGTCCGTATACACATACCTTTGCCGCCGTCCACGATGCCCACCTCGACACTACGTTCTCAGCTGGACAGGGACGGGTTCGTAGTCCTGAGGTCGATCCTCAACGCGGAACAGGTCTCGCAGCAGCGCGCCGCCGCAGAACGCACGAGGGAGCTCGCGCTCAAGGGGTCCTGGCCACATGTGCGCACGGTCGGGAAGCAGTTCCCACCGTGGACGTGGAGCCCTGGGGTTGGGATCTGGGGAGTCCAGCACCTGCTGAACCCAGCATTACCCGACGCTCCTACGTTCACCAAAAGCTACTTTGGCGACGAGGTCCTAGGCGTGGCAAAGGAGCTACTTGGCCCATGCTCAGACGACGAGCTAGTCATGGAGCTGTACAATCTGCTCGTGCGACCCTCGGACGGCACAGACTTCGAGCTGCGCTGGCACCGCGACGATATCCCTGCTGATGCCGGCGCCCAGGAAGAAATCAATCGCCTGAGTGAGCCTGCTTGGCATGCTCAATGGAATCTAGCGCTGTGCGATGGCGACGAGAGTTTGATCGTGGTGCCAGGATCGCACGCACGACCTAGGACCGAGCAAGAGCGTGCTGCTGGTCCTTTTGAGCCGGATATGCCGGGCCAATTAGTTGTGAAGCTTAATGCTGGAGATGTCGTGTTTTATAATAACAATATACTGCATCGAGGCCGTTATGACGGCAGTCGCGAGCGCTTGAGTCTGCATGGGTCTGTTGGACATGTTGCTGGCGGTAAATTGAGGGCTAGAAATGTGCTGCAGCATGCTGTTGGTAGCGTGAGTGTTTGATTTCTTCATTGTTACTGCTACCCCTTTTGCCCTAAGAGCGGCCCATAATTGATGCAGAGTATACTAACTGTAAATATTATAGTGGGTAGATAAATGTGACTTTGGCAATCTGGATGAGAAGCAAAGGGCAAGGGCGGAGGGAATGCGAGCACGATTAGTCAAGTTAGGAAGCGAAAGCGGCGATGTTGGATATTCCCTAGATGGATGATGGCTCAAATGTTTATTCCCAGCAAGCCTCCCAAATGGCAATTTAGATCCAACTAAAATTACCTACTATATACATTGAAGGTACTTAATTCCAATAATTTAAAGGATATACAGCGAAACATAATATGCAAACCAGCCCACGCAACCTATGATATATCCCGCAGATCTCAATTTGTATCTGGTATAACCTGGGTGTCCACGTAGGGATAGAATTATTCCGCTCTTTGGCGAAGCGCTTCCAGCGCGAGATGGTTGTTCACATCGACTCGGGTTCTAGCCGGTCCTGAACAGCATGATATTCGCCGGGAACACGTTGACGTTGTCTTGCCACTTGGCTAAACTCTTGCCATCTTGATCGATCATGCTAAGAGAGCCGATTGTGTTGAGGGCGTAGATGTTAACGTTGCTAGTCGAGCCTTCGAGCGAGACGATTCGCGCCTGGCAGTTTTCGCCTGCGTCTACGGTAGAGCAATCTAGAAAGGTACAAAGTTAATATCTGGATCCTTCTCGCTGTTAAGGAAAATGGGAAGCTTGGATCTAGACTTACCAGTACTGTAGTTGTTGAAGAACGAATAGTGGCCGGCACCGTAGATGAAAATATCTGACGAGTCGACGACACGGAGACCCCATGCATTGGCGCAGTTTCCTGAAACACCAGAACATGATGTCGCAAAGTCGGGGTCCTTAAGAGCTGTGACTACAGGGAAAGGCTTGGTAGCATCCGGCGTAGGCTGGTAGTACCTTAAAAAAGTGTTAGTATTGGTAATTATGAAAAGATAGGATTCAACTTACGGGGTCTCGGTCTGGAGCATGCTGGCAAAGATGTTCTTCGTCCCAGAAAACTGGTAGTTGTAGAGGTTGTTATGCTCAACAGCAGTACCAACGAGCCAGAAGTTTCCGACGGTCGATTCGATGACTATAATCCGTTAGTGATCCGTGAGAGCCAGAAAGAGTACATAGTTCTTACGGAGACCCCTGCCAGAGTAGACAGTAATCTGTGTGTTGGTGGCGTCTTCAATGTCGTGGTCAGCTGTCCACAGCCATGTGTTCTCCATATAGAGGTTGGATGCCTTCGATGTAACGTGCATTAACATGTACGCGCCGATGCAATTCGCGTCGATGGTGCTGGAGCCGGGCTGCTTAAGGCACTGTGCGACTTGGAAGTCCGAGCCGGTAAATCCACCAACCCTCGCGTGGACATCCCACATACCACTCGGAGTATCTGCTGTTGAGGCCAGGTTCCACTCAATAAGAGTAGCTCCAGGAGCAGCTCCTTGGCTTCCTACAACAAAGTCCGAGAACTCTACTTGTCCAGCATCGCCTGAGTTGGCACCGACTTGTAGCAGAGGCTTCGGGTTGCTCATGTCACCAAAAGTTGCGCCGCTGGCTACGATGATAGGGTAGCCTTCTCCGACAATCTTTGAGTTCGCCGGAATGCTTAGGGTCGAAGTAACTTTGTAGATACCATGGTCAAGGAAGAGAACCTTTCCAGCGGAAGCTGCGCTGTTAATGGCGGACTGTAGCGCTGCGGTCTGTTACTTTGTTAATAAATCACTAATATTATCGAGACCATGGGTAAACTTACATCATCAGTCGTAGAATCACCTTTAGCTCCGGAGCTTCGGGCGCTCACGATATCGGACGCAGCAAGATTCTCATACTGAGGCTTTGATCGGGAGTAGTAAGCACCGTCGACCACGAGGGAGGCAGGCCTTGTGTTAGGGGTGATAGTTGCTGAGAATGTGCTAGGTCCGTCGGGTGTGTATTGGTGACCCTGGCCCCATGCTGCAATTGTCGTAGAACCTCCTTCGAGTAAAGTACCACTCGGGCCCTGAACTGCGACAGGGACATTCTGGAGGTTGAGGTTCTCCAAGATGATACTTGCGGCTGTGTCCGGCTTAGAGCCAGATTGGGCTGCCGTCGTGATACCGACCGGAGTGTCCTTGAAAGTACTGTCGATAACTGTAATGGAGCCAGTCGCAATCGCATCAGATCCACCGGCTGTGATATCAATTCCCTTTTGGCAGTTGTTGATCTGCAGTCCAATGTAGGTCCAGCCCCAGTTCCACAGTTGGATAATGGCTATAGGTCAATAGTCAATACATAAATATTCCATATCCCCTACATGTAGTGTGATGGCATACCTGTTTGACAGTTGTTAAATACCAGGTTCCTCATGGTGTATTGTTGGTTGCCCATAGATGCTCCTGTTGCGCCTCCATTGAACGTCAAGTCACTCATGAAACCTCCGGAGCCTACGAATGTCAGTCCAAGGCAAAGGGTAAACAGAGAGGTATGTAAAGCTTACCGCTCTCAATGAAAAGTCCGACGTGAACGACACTGGGATCCGTAGGCATGTTGAACTCGACATTAATAAGACTAGTCGCTTGCGAAGTTGGCCAATGGATACCAGTCGCTGCGGTCGCCGGCGCAATACCGGTGGTATCAAAGACAAAGTTGCGAATTTGACGGTAAAAGACGTTTGTCGAAACCCAGTTCAAGTTCTCGCTATAGTAAGGGTTGCCGTCGATCAGACCAAAACCTTGGAAGTCGGCACTACCTTTGATCACGGGTCGATTGGACGGATCACCGACCATCTGAGTAAAATACGGTGGGACAATGGACTTGGAGATTATATAGGTTCCTGATGGGAAGTAAACGACTGCCGGAGTCGTAGTGGTAGAAGCCTAGGTTTTTCAAATGTCAGTACTCATAACATATTCAGTAGAAGTGTACCACCCCGCCGAGTATAACATACACATCCTTGCAAGCACCTGTTGTCAGGCGTGTTCATGGCCGCCGTGATGGCAGCAGTGTCGTCTGTCGTTCCATCACCTTTGGCACCGAAGTCTTTAACATTACGGAACACCGTATAGCCATCACCTCCAAAAGGTGCGACGCCCTGGTCTGTTTGGATGTTAATTTATGCTTCATCTAGGAGACATCAAGGGCACTCTTACGAGTTATATCCTCAAGCCAGTAAGCGTTTACGGTGGCGGCGAGGCCGATTGCAGCCGAAAGGAATGTTTGGAACCGCATATTGCAAACTGAGTGATGAAGACACGAACAGCAAGATGCATATAGGTCCCAAGTTGGGACGAAGGAAGAGAACTTATAAGAGAAAAGAAACGAAAGGTAGAGTTGGGTGTCGTCACATGTTGTGAGATTATCACAGCTGGCTGGGTCATGCACCGATGATAAATAGCAGGGTTGGAGCCTCAAGGTAACGTGAACTACCCAGTGACTGAAGATCTTACGTAGGATGGAGAAAAATCAAAGACATGAGATAGTCGAAAGCTAAAGCAAGACCCCTGCCTGACCTTTTTCGAACTCCATGTTGAACAAGCGAACTTAGGTTGATTCGACCGAGCGCAACAGCCACGCGCAAGGTTGCATACTAGCGAACGGGGTTTGACCGCTCGACTACTCGAATAGAGTATATTGAGCACCTCCTTGTTAAACTCTACCAAGACACAACATTCCTGGAGGAAACGATCCAGCGAAGTAGCATTGTGGGGACCAAGGTCGCAGAGATCTAAAACTAGGTACGGAGGTAGGCTTCGACTAGCACGCATATGGACTCTGTCAAAGTATAAGGTGGTGGAGCCGTATGCATCGAAGGTCATCCTTTCATTGCGGCAGCTCTTAGGACCAGTAGAGCGAGAATATTCTCAGGGTCAGGCATTACCGCGGCTTGGAAACCTCCTACTATAAACGGAATCGTCTATTCAGGTACCATGCGCGATGTGATAGGTAGGATGGAGGAGCCGACAGGAGATTGGATACCGTTGGCCATCCTAAATTAGTTGGAGTGTTCCAGGTAAAGGTGGTTGTTTCAAGCATGTGACGTTGGAGCCGCGAGACATTCGAGACCACATGTAAGTCATCGACTTAGACTGGGGGCTATCCGGGGGCCATCTGACACGGCTTCGCGCCGGCGCTATGTACAAATCCGCAGCCCTGGAATTTTGAGAATAGCCACTATCGGATGATTTTCTTTTTCTTTTCTTTTTTTCCTTTTTCGTCTTGTCGCAATGCTTGGGGATCAGTCCCAACCAAACCTGAGATTTTGAGCCCAATCCGCAAGAAGTCTAACCCATGTAGACTCAACATCTAAAAGATTTCTTGTCCATGCATGATAAAAGCTTTGGGTAGGTTACTACTGCGTTGCGTTGCATTTGTTCATGGCAGAGTCGGTACCCCTGGCGCTAAGCTTTTTCATTTAATTTTCTGTGGCGACAGGAGAGCTTGTCTGGCAATACTGTTCAATGCTATTAGGAGACAATGGATAGAAAATGGATATTCGTGGTTGGAGCTGGTTGGATTCTTACTTGAAATCCAGGGGACGGCCCGATTGGGTTTCGATCAATCTAAATAATGCCAGATAATGGAAGGTGGTGAATCGGCCAAACCTGGGGGAGGCCGGGGGTTTTCCAAGGTTGTATGCTTAAAATATCCTTGGAATGTTTCAAAACATGACTTAGGAAGGCAGAACGCGTTACCTGATAGGGTACAGTAATCGATCCTTAAGGATACTGTGCTAAATACACTGTTCCTCTTTTTCTTCATCCGATCTATGCTTGTTCATCCTTTCCTCTCAACACACCGTCACCCATTCTGATTCGTCTATTAGTAAATTATTATGTAGGTAATACATATATAGAGCGTCTCATTTCCGATATCTCCAGAGAATTGCTAATGGTAGCACAATTATAAAGAATGCCACGCGGCCGCCTCTTGCGTGAGACCATGTTTGTCGGATCTGTGGCTGACGGTTTTACTTACACTTACACCAACACTTACATGCTCGGTATCACCGTTAAACCATTACCCGACAGACATGTATTTAAAGGGAAATCTTACTTAGACATTACCAAAGCGCAAACTTGGATAAAATATAATTCGTATTAAATAGTCGCTGCCCTTCAAACCTTCTACCCTAACCCATAAAGATCGAACACCCACACGCTCCTCTCCCTCTCCCTCAGACTCGAGTCACTGCAAACGAAGCTTTCCCCTCTTTTAAGAGCTAGAATTCAGCTTCATCTTGGTCTCCATCGAGTCTTGGCGATAAGGCTTGAATCATTCATCCCCTCAAGATCATCTGCCGGCGTCTCTTTGCGATCACTTTCCTACTCCGCTTCGATGTATCTACCTACCTAACATAGTGACCAAGGAGAAGACAATTCTTCAATATCGAGAGCTTAAGCTATTACACCGAACCTCGCAACCTCTGTTCTCTTTTAGCCTACCTATAGAGTCGTTGGGATGCTATCATGGGATCTTGTCATGAGGGCTTTTGGTCCACCCCAACCGAATCTGCCAAGAAGCGAGTTCTGGTAGGAATATCTCAGCCATTGACGGCGGCGATGGCATCAGTTATGGAGCTTTGCCGGCTCATAGCTCGGGTTCCTCAATACTTCCAACTTCAATACCGGATCTTAATTTGTGATTATCCGTCCAAGGACAGCGCTTTGAGGCCCACCATCTCTGATCCCGCTGATGATTACTGCTGCGGTGGGACCTTGGCGCTACGGTTCTTGGTATGCAGGTTTTGATGAAATCCGGGGTTCGCTAACTGGTGGGTGTCGCGGTATCTGAGAAGGGCCTTATATGGGGTCTCCGGAACTAGTCAGTCCACCACCGGAAGAGCGGCTATATTTGCGAACTCGGTAAGTCACGAGAATACGTAGTAGGTTAGTCAGGGCATCGCATCATACTAAAATGAGCACTTCTACATACGTAGCTGCCGAGTCGCTTTAGTAAATTGCCAGACATAATCTGACATTAGGTAAGTAGTGTGTTTGTGAGTCTATCTAACCCTTGGTGGGCAAGTTCTAATAGTCGGATAAGGAAAGCCGTCGTGTTGGTAAGTTTACCTTAGGTACCTCTTTTAGCGAGGTCATATCTCGTTACACGGACCAGGGTTTAGGGTAGGACATAACCTATATTTTAGTTCATTTTAGGTTGATTGTAACTTCCATTATACGTACTCCGCATTCGAATTTCCGTATTCCCATTGCCCGCTGCCCATTGTCACGCCCCAGTTCCCCAACTTCCAACTTAACTCCACATATTCGGGTAATTTGCAATTCTTCGATTTCAATCATACCGAGTTACGAGCGAAATCAATTTGAAAAATCTACAAAAACCCACCGTCTCCCATTTATATATCACAAGAACGGCGTTTTGGGGACGCAGCACGTGTAATTGCTAAGTGTCTAATGTAAGATTATTCCTCTCACTACATCGTAGGTATAGTACCTCTTACGTGAGGTATCTACCGTATCACAACACCAGGCCATACCTCTTACTATCATCGTCAATATTCCCCTCTTTGCCTGGCCGGCCGGCAAAGCAATCTATGGCAAGGTCAGACCTTGCCGATCACTACTATAAGGAGCCTCAGTTGAGGAGAAGATCAACGCTATCCGAATTCGATGGGCCATTCGTCTTAATTTGAGTTCCAAGTGGCGTGCCTTGGGCTTAAAACAGGCGTTACTCGTGCAGCCGTGTTACCTACGTACCATCTTGCTACTGCTACGGAAACCTGACCTACCTTCTAACGGGGCTACGAATAACGAGCGTTCGTTGTAACAATATGGAACCTGATAGGAAACAACCTCGTTTCCTCGTCCTTCTCTTTTCCCTTTCGTTTCCACCCCATCTTCTCATTTTGAACACTTTACTCCAATCCCACCAATCACGACTCCGCTAAAAGCCTTAGTGTTATTTCCCACGATCTTGTTTATTGTTGACGTAAGATCTCAATTGAATCCTCCAATATATAACTAAGCTCAAAGCTACCGTTAACTATTTTTTAAACCCCAATAGCAACGATTGACCGCCTAACTTCGGGGTAAGATATGATACGAGTTGGTAGACGTCCTAAAAAAGTAGCAATATTGTAACCTATACGCAGCAGGTGAGTTACCTCTCATCTATGTCATCCTCAGCTGATTGGCTACCCCCGCCCCCCACACTTTCCCACTCATGCTGGCATGTAGCTAGTTTCTCCAATGCGGAGACTGTACCGAGGGGTGCTATCGATGAATATGGGGTTAACTGACAGGGCACCCCATCCCCAGTGCTTGTTTATGTCTGGGGGCGGGGAATGCACCTAAAAAATCTGACGCTGCTATCTACGAAATCATAGACCTTGCGTACGTTTATTACTCTTCCTGCATGTACCTTACCAAGGGCTGCAGCTCGCTTGTTATAGGCGTGATATGCGTACCTACATGAGGTGTCTTGCATCAACAATAAATGAATGAATGAATGAATGAGGAGGAGCTACATGTCGGTAAGACGAATTCTCCTCTCGGTAACAGTGTCATTCTTCATCAGCTTACCAATCCCTAATACAGCGTTAACTAGATGGACGAGTAGAATAGGGGCTTAACACAGACACAGTTGTACATATACCAAGTAAATAATGTAAGAAAGTAAAAGAATAATGTCACATATGTGATATATATGTAAGTTGGAGTCGGTGTAAGTAAAGTCTACCATTTCTGACCCGGCGCCACTTTTCTCTATTATTTCTTATGGCAGGTTCGGGTTTCACTCGCAGGGACGCCGGCAGCTACCCCGTTACTACAGGCGTTTCCTTCACTAAAAAATTAAGTTACGACCTAACGATTTCCCCCATCTCCGCATCCTCCTCTCCGTCCCCTCCTTACAATTCTCCTCCTCACAATCCTCCTCCTCACTCCTCATCTTACACATAACAATTTAGCAAAACCCCGAATTCAAATTCAACCATCGTCAATACTGTTGCCTTCTCCATCTCATCCAAATCTACTTACCATATCGTTCGCCCATTTCATTCGTTTCATCTCGTTTCCCATTAGCCTTATTCCGAATCCACGTGTGTCTTCCTACCGCTTGGCAGTTAAAATCCCCAATTCAATCTCGGCCGTAGAATTTCAAAATACATCACATACTTAATCCTCTCGCCTTCTCCGCGCCACCATTATCATCGACCAATAAGCCTACTAGTAGCAGTATTCCTCCCCGTCGGTTAATTAACCCAGGATCGTCAGTTCTGGTTCTCTGTGAAAAACGTATCAAACCGCAGCCTTATTTGTTACCAGGCGTTGACGGGTTACCTCAGCCCTACTAGTTTCGTACGGCCATCCAAACCCTTTAGGATCTCCGAGCTCTGCTGATCACCACGTTGGCCGCCAGCTCGGCGAGCGGTCGATCACTTGGGGGAGGCAGTGAGGACAAATGTGGTGGAATCTCGCGTTACGTTCCGAGTATACTTAGAATCGATTGATACCACATACATCTATTACGCCTATGAATTCATCCATCCACCGTCCACCCCGCAAGACATTCATTCCTCTTTCCGGCATAACTTCCTGGCCCTGGATCTTATACCCTTCCGACTTACCCCCACTTCCGGGTGTTGCGTGACTTCATCTGCATTACACCCATATTTTGTACAGGGACTTACCTTATACTAATTATTGTTAACTTATCCTGACCCCAAATGCAAACCATGCCGTCCATAGAAGGCTCTGGCATCACTGGTACAGCCGAGGACGGCGTGGAAGGTCGGCAGCAGAAGCCCAAAACCCTGCCGTGCAAGTTTTGCGACAAACGTTTTAGGTAAGGGTCCCTGGGTCTATTTATCGCCTTGTACTATATCTATATACGCTGGCAATTTACTTACACGGCAATCCCCAAATTAGGCGTGTAGAGCATGTTCAACGCCATGAGAGAACTCATACCAAAGAGAAGCCATTCTCGTGCGGGTGGGCTCGCTGCGGGAAGACGTTTGGACGTCGGTTAGTTAATTTGTTCCTTTATTTATTCTGTCCTTGACTAAGTTACCAATTTCCTATTTGTGGTGGTGGACTTCGCCTTGCCCACAGCCGTCCAACCACTTATCGTCTTTTGTAGGCGCTAAACTACCCCCATCCCCCCTCCTCAGATTCTCTAGGTCCCTCAGGTCTTTTACAATAAGGATACACATACACACCACTCATGTCTTACAGCCCTGAAACCTCCTATTCCCCTCTATAATCCCTTACTAGTAACCCCCTACCTTCCACCTTCTCTCGTCTCTTGTGAATATGCTTATATGGACATCAGGGATCTCCTCGTCCGCCACGAGAAACTCGTCCATCTCAATGAAGGGTCTAATAAGGACGGTAACCGGCCCCGGAAGCCGTCGACGGCCGGCGCTGCCCAACCGCCTCTATCAACTGAAAGCCATGTCGACTCCGAAATGATGGGAATGCCTCGGGCTCACCCGGCGCACTATCATTCAGATTCTATGTCCTCTTCTGTGACAGTACCTCCGCTCGCTCCTGATCCTCGTCACTCCGCCAGGGCTGCAGCTTGCAATCTTGACCTTTTGTCTGATGCTGCCACACAAATTGCTTCTGCGAACGAGGTTAACTCGATGCAACCGATGATGACGGATATTGGACAACCAGTGGCCGGTTTAACACGCATCAAATCATACGACGAAGGAATACCATATACCGACCGCGGACGTGAGCCCGAACCTGTAGCTATGTCACATGGACTACCCAATCCGGCCGGACCATCTGCTTTTGACGATTACAATCTCTTCTTAGATGAGTTTGCGACGTCGTCTCACTTCCTCCCACAAGCCTTCGACGCGGATCAGAGTATGGGTATGTGGCCACGGCATCTTTCCGATATTCAACGGGGCGGGCTTTCCAAGCCGTCATCTCAGTTCCCCTCTCGCTTCCCATCATTAGCCCCTGACCCAAGAGATCCAACGGAAGGTGGCTCCAGAACACATGACGAATCAACGAGGTCACAGCCCATGAGGGTTTCTGTAATGGACCATACCGTTATAAAAAATCGACTCGACGAATTCTCATCCGTTTTACCGAATGATTTCGTATTTCCTTCCAGGCATACTCTCACTAGGTTTCTAGAAGGGTATGTAAGCGGTTTCCATGAACACTTGCCGATACTGCATCTGCCAACGATAACGGCCGCCGATCTCGCCCCGGAACTCCTACTGGCGATATTAGCAGTAGGCGCACAATATAGATTTGAGAGCCATCGATCAAATGCTTTATGGTATGCAGCTAAAGCAGTAGCGCTTGAACAAATCCGACGTCGCCACAGTCACGAAGTGCACGGTTTGTTACCAACTCCAGCGGCGTATAGCCCTCATTCTACACGGCCATCTCCAAGCCATGGATTCCGCCATTCCTTTAGTTCTGTTCAACAGGAACGTTCGATGACCCAAGATACGCACCGAGAGCCTTAGTAAGAAAACCCAACTACATGCATCTTTTTAATATGTAACTAACTAATTTTCTTTAAGTTCTCCTAATACTCCTCAGTCTCGCATGGAAACTATTCAGGCTCTTCTTCTATTGTTTGCCGTTGGGCTCTGGGGCGCAAAAGCTATTCTTCGAGAGGCTTTGTCATTGCAAAGTCTTCTGGCTCTCCTGGTGCGCGAGGAAGGATTTCTTTCAGAGTCCACGCAGACGGCCGATTGGGAGGCCTGGGTCCGGATAGAAGGATCTAATCGCACAAAGCTCATTGCGTACAGTTTCTTTAATCTGTGTAGTATTGCGTATAATATGCCACCTCTACTATTGACATCGGAACTTAACCTTATTCTCCCACATTCATCAAAGCTTTGGAGGGCGGAAACAGCTTGGCAGTGGCAAGAAGCTCGTCAATCATTCCCTAGCATGGATATATCGCTCCAGGATGCGTTTGCGAGATTATTCAGCAGACCACCACAAGGACCTCCAGCTTACATGTCCTCTCTCGGTAATTACATCCTCATCCATGCCATATTACAACATATCTTTCTCCTAAAGCAGACATCTTTTAATTCCGTGTCACTCTTTGGGGGACTTCGTCATGATGATGTTGAAGATTGCTTTCAGGCCCTGAGGATCTGGCAGATGAGTTTCGAACAGCACCAGGCACGCATAACAGAAGGTAGCCACCAGAGCAGCCCAGATTCATTTCCCGGTGGCTCCGTTACTTATAATTCGACCGCACTTTGGCGGTTAGCTTCTATCCGGTTGTATACAGATTTGAGTCCAAGCAGAACCCTCGAAACAAGAGAAGCGAGTCAGATCGCACAGTCTTTCCATGACGCACCATATCTTGTTCGCAGTGTGCGCCTCAACCGAGCCGTCTTTCAAGCCATACATGCATTGTCTTTGCTTGTTAAAGTAGGTGTCAACTATGTAGCGAGGAGGAAGTCATCGGAATGGAGTATGCAGCACTCGCGTAAGTATTCAAAGAAAATTCCAAGAGTATGGTAAAAGAATACGGAAGCTAACGTCGGCGTAGTATGCAATTTGGAATGCGCTATCCTCCTTTCGAAATGGCTGATGACTCTTGCTTCGACCGGCCCGACAGGGGCGCCTCCTGAGCCCGATGAACGAAACCTTCTCGAAATGCTCCGACATATGCTAGATGAAACAGAGTTTGCGGTGCCGATTGACCCTTCGCTCTCAGGGGGCGGCCCGGGTCACGGTCCACCAAACATGGATATGGCTGCGAACGACGGTACGAAGTTGCGCCAGCTTGCCGTAGCCGTGATTCGGCTCTGGGCTGAGACGTTTAAAGGATCACATATCTTTGATATCGTAAAAGTGATTGGCGCCGGGCTGGAAGGATACGCAGACTTGATAGAGAAGCCGCGAGATAGAACACCGCTAGGTCGGATGGGACCTAATTCGGGACTTGGCTGATCAGACTACAACGGTAGTTACCTCTCACGAAGCTGCCTGGTGATAATTTAGGGGATTTAATTACGAGTGTGGGTCATTCTAGCCGAGGATAGACTCGGGACTAAATGCTCGCTTCAATCCTGGCCATCCAACCGAAGTCCTTATAGGCTCGGGGATCATTATTTGATAAACATTGTCGAGGACTAGCCACAATGGACAACCGTGCCGGACGTCGCGGACCCGAAAAGGACGATAAATGTATGCGCCGCTGTCGGGTCGAGGCGTTATGAGGATCTCGAACAGGGACCTATCACGGAGGTGGTGTTTAGAAGGAGCAATATGTTCCGACTATTAATAACACCCCGGGAAGTTAATATATGCGTGGGAATGCGGATCGGGTGAGAGCGGCACAGGCTCGCCCCAAAATAGCAAAGAAATATAGTGATTGCAGCTAAACAATGAGCACCTATACTATAAAGATTTCCCATTTAGATCAACATGAACTATTTAGGTACGGAATACTTCGTACATTCGCAGTTGAAGATTGCGGCTATAATTGAATCTAAGATTAGCGGCGATTGACATTTCTATTTTTAGGCGATAAGAGAGCGGACTTATGTACAAAGTACATGTGATAGGTAGCCGTACCTAGGAGGTACCTTAGGTATAGTTGCCGGGTTCCCTGCGACGCAATGAGATGAAACAATGAAGTTATCACGTGATACCGTGTTCCCTATTGCCACCCCGCGATTCTCCTCAACGCGTCACCAACCGACTCATCCGTCGAATTCAACTATATTTATAGATCTGTGTCTTGATTTGAGGAAATCAACTAACATTCCGAACACGAAAGAAAATCCATACAATTAATACTTGAGTCATGCCTCCTAAAAAAGGTACCGTAACTAAGCCGTCTACTGTAGAGGCCACTGGCAAATCCCGTCGCAGATCTCACCGCATTAGCCTCAGTAGTAAGAAGAGTGCATACTTTGAGGACAATGACAACTCAGATGAAGAGCTACCGCCTCGTAAGACTGCGAAAACTACGGCTAAGGGGAAACCTTCTCGACGGATAAAAGCTCAAGTAAAAGAATCGGATGACGAATTGCAGTATGAAGATGCCAAAGATATATCTGAGGATGATGGCCGGGATGCCGCGTTTGCTGAGGACAACTCTGAAAGTGAAGGAGAACGGCCCGTGGCACAGAAGCGAGGTCGTGGAAGGCCTCCAAAAACCCAGACCAAGACCACACAGAAGTCTAATAAAAAGACCCAAGATCTAGAAAGGACAAAGATCACGCCAAAGGCTCGGGGCAAGTCTAAGAGAGAAAAGGAGGCCGACTCCGAAGAGCCGATAGTCGATGAAGATAGCGACGATGATGATGACGATGATGACGACGAAAACCGTATTACCTTCATTCCAGGTAAGAATGTATTGTCCATCTCAGTGCTCTACCTTAACGCATCGGCTTGTTAATAAATAGCTTTAATTCTAATTAAATGATTGTAGCAATCCAGTTAAGAGATACTGATGGCGTCGAATATGAGGATACCCGACTCCATAAAAACACTTTCTTGTTTCTGGAAGATCTCAAGGCCAACAACAAACGGAGTTGGCTTAAATGTATGTTGATTTTTCACATCGTGGATGTTTCTCGCATCTAGTTGTTCCTTGTCTAACAAGATGTAACCGCTTGTAGCACACGATAAGGAATATAGAAGGTCACTCAAAGATTGGGAATCATTCGTGGAGACTCTTACAGAGAAAATCATCGAGGCAGACGAGACTATTCCGTGGTTGCCGGTGAAAGACGTCATCTTTCGGATATACCGAGACGTCCGATTCAGTAAAGATCAAACTCCGTATAAGGTGTGTTCTACTCCCTTCAATTTTCTATCTCTTCCCCTAAAATAGAACTCTGTCCTAACGAGGAAAATTCCGTATAAATAGCCTCACTTCTCTGCAGGGTGGTCACGGACTGGCCGAAAAGGCCCATACGCTTGCTATTACGTTCACGTCGAACCCGGTCGGTGTCTAGTAGGTGGAGGCGTATGGCATCCAGAGGCCGACGCGTTAGCCCGGTTGCGCGCGAGCGTCGACGAGCGCCCCCATCGTATAAGTCGAGTCCTGACGAATCCTACGTTTCGGAAGACATTTCTACCCGAGGCAAAGTCTGGCAGCGAAAAGTCTGTGATAGCGGCGTTCGCGGCGAAGAACCAGGCAAACGCGCTCAAGACGAAACCCAAGGTTAGTACTACCCCTCTAGTTTTGAAGGCGTTTCTAGTATAGATGGTATGCTCACCAAAGCAGGGCTTCCACCCGGATCATAAGTATATAGAGCTTCTCAAGCTACGAAACTACACTATCAGCACGCAGATCAACGACTCGGACCTTCTCGCCGACGACGCGCAGGATAAAGTTATGAGTGTCATTTCCGCTATGGTCGAATTTGTGAGTCGTGTCCATAAAATTCCCTTTGACTTGTTCATATAGATCGTACGGACTAACTGGGATACCAACATAGGTCACGTTTCTCAATAGCGTCGTTAGGCCGGACCCTAACGCCGAGAGCGATTCCGATGAGGCTGATGGCGGGACGGAAGAGCAGGAAGGCGAAGAAGATGAAGATGACGAGGAATAGTTCGTAACTTGCTTCGGATCTGGTGATCCCTATCCTGGGTGTAGGTGGTAATGTGTAAGGTGTTGATAATATTTGTCTTGTGTTTTTTCGCGCCTTACGTCGTATATTCTTTACCGTACCTGCGTGTCGGAATTACCATCGGCTCGATCGAGAGTAGATATTGTACCTATGTCATGTAGCCGAAAGATACTGTAGGTTCCCGTCGCATTTCGGGTGCCAGTAAGATAGATCTACTTAAGATAACGAGTTACCCGTACAAACGTACAAACTGCTGGGTTAGATAGAGTCACTTGGTCGGGTAGTTGCAGCCTCCTAAGCGTATAAGAGTCCACTTACCCTTCAGTTTATATGTATCCATGGTACAGCTAGCCCTTACCCTGTACGCAAAGCATCCCGAGACTTCGGATTTCAAACAGCAGGTGCCTGCTTCGAAATACAATCCATTTAGTCCGCATTTTATCCTAGAAACAACAAGCACGTGAATCTCATATCATTCACGATTAATTCTCAGTTCGTCTAGTGGTTAGGATACGGGCTTGTCACGCCTGTGACCGGGGTTCGATTCCCCGACTGAGAGCTCCCTTTTTTTTAATCTCCTATTCTCCTATCCCTATAGGAACTTGCATTCTCCCTTAGCTGCTGAGGGACTGCGGGCAACCATACCTTCTAGGTATACGTCTTACAACCTAGAGCCATATCCCTTCTGATCACAGCCCTTTCCGTCCCCAAGTTCCTTAATCTCGATGGTAATCACCAATCGACTTCATTTATCAAATCAGTCCAGCATCCCCGTCGATAGACTAGGTGGCAGATCCTCGTCTCTCGTTCCCCAATCGCTCTCTGTAGATCCCAATACGAACTCTAGCGTGCCCCCGTTTGCGAAGAAGTCATGTGTGATCCAATTTCGCGTATATGGCTTCCCGTCTAACCTGGCACTTTGAATGTAGATGTTGCGGTACTGCGGCGCGTCGAATCCACCGACGTTTCGCAGTATCGCCGGCTTCCCCGATGGTGTTTGGATACTGACCTGTCGGAACATGGGTGCCGTAAGCAAGTACACATCCTGGCCAGCTACTGGATAAAATCCCATAAATGCGAATGCTGTAAAGGCACCCATGGCGCAGTCGTCGTTACCGGGGATCCCGTTGATGCTGTTATTGAACTGCCCTGGGATGTACTGGTGCAGCCAGTAATTACTACGACCGGGCCGTCCACCGTAATGGAATTGGAACGTCGTTAGAAAGTTGGGCTCATTGCCCATGTAGTTGATACCCGATGAGTGGAAGTAGTCAAGTCTCTCGATGAAAGTCTCATGCCCCCCTAACGCTTCTATAAGCGCGGCCATGTCTTGTGGTACGTAAAATGTGTATAGCCACGGACTCCCCTCATATGTCTCATACTGCGTGTCAAAATAACAACTATGCTGTTGGTATATGGGACTGCAAAGCCGTGTATTCTAATGCGCAATTTGGAGTCAGCAAATGCCCTATTCTAAGAATACGCGAAACGGTCGGAAGTGGTGATTCAAAACTTCACTTAAAAACGAGTATTAGGAGGAGAATCTTAGATACTAACTTGATATCGCCAGGTACCATTGCGGAACCGTGGTTGTAGAAAGCCCTTGAACGCCGACATTTGCACATTCCCGGCCTCGTCACGATGTCGGTCCTCCTGCTCTGGATTGAACAGATTCTTCCAGTTCCGACTGCGCTGCAGATACTTGGACTCGTCGTTCTTGTGGCCTAGCCCCCGTGCCATTAACGCGATCACGAAGTCGTCATACGCGTATTCCACCGTTCGTGAAATGCCTCGACTCATAGGCCCTGTCCCATTTGTGTCATGATCATCGTATGGTATGTAACCCAGCGTGTGCCAGCTCACGAGACCGCCGCGTCCAGTCGTAGACCAGTCTTTCGGTTCTACCTCTGCATCGGAGACGACTGCCTCATAGCCGAGATTCCAGTCGATACCCTCTGTGAGGTTTTTGATAAAGGCATCTGCGAGAACCACATCGGCATTCGAACCTCCCTGGGTGTAACCTTTGCTAAAACTCATGCGACAATCTGGCAACTTCCCTTCGTGCTTGTACGTGTCAATTAGCGACCTCACCATTTTCGTTTGGATCGTGGGGTCGATGATGGTAAGGAGGGGGTGTTGCGCACGGAATGAATCCCATATGCAATAAAAAGAGTCATAATACGGTTCGTCGGACTTCCAGAGCTGGTTTTCACCCGTGTAGTCTTGAGGTGAGATCAGCGCGCGGTAAAGTCCCGACCAAAATGTAGTAAGGAATTCATGGCTCATACCCGAGGAATCGGGTTTGATCACGGACAACTTTTCCTTCCAAGCACTCTCGGCAGCCTTCACCACGTCCTCAAAGCCAAAGTCTGGAATTTCGACCTCTGCGTTGTGACATGCTTGTTCCACCGATATGAACGACAGTCCCACCCGGGCCATGATCTGATCCGAGTGCGCGAAATGTATCCAAGCACCCGCCGAGCCAGAAGGAATGTAGAAATTGCTTCCTAGATGTCCCATGGCCTGAACCTCGTCGGTCACGTTGGTTTGTATGAAAATGCCTGTCTTGCGGATGTCGGCGCCTCGGAAATCCGCACAGACATGTGCGGTGTACGTTCCGCTGCCAAATGACGGGCTGAATGACCCATTTCCTGTTATTCTTCCCGTGTCTGGGTTTACTTGAATGTCACCTCCGGTTCGAGAGTTACCAAGATCCATTAAATCTAGCAGGACCAGAGGATTGGTAGGTACTATGACCTTATGTGACAGCACCTCTGAAGTTTTGGGGAGGCTAAATCTGTAGAGAGTGGCGTGCTGCGTCGCCGTCATTTCCGCGTTGACCGAGTTATTGAGGCCAATAGCAAAGTACCCTGGGCGTGCCGTAGCGGACCCATCGATTCTCGGAACACTTCTACCAATATATGTATATTTGCACTGAGCGAAGTCATCCTCGGGACATCCTGGATGTACGAATAGAGGAAAGTTTCCCAATGAAGGGCTCTATTGCAAGTTAGATTCATTCGAAAAGTAGCATCCATCCACTCACCCCTCCAGTACCTGAATCGTGTAAGTGAGAGAAGCCCTGAATGTCAGAGTCGTCCGAGACGAACCCTGCGGCGATTTCTCCACGGTCACTTGAGTCTGCTACGGCCTTTGCCATGCCTAGATGACAGGTAGTCAGTGCCTGAGGAGTTTTCAAGCGTGCAGTCTCTTAAGCGACATACCATACGGTAGAGTTGCGCCAGGGAAGACATGACCTAAAAACCGAACTTAGTTGAAGCTCTCCAATGATAAATTTAACTTATGCGCGTTACCTACCTCCGTTCACGGTGCCTATGAGGGGGTCTATATATCGTAAAACGTCATGGCTAGATTTCCCTAATGAGCCCCTGAAAGTGTGCAAGAATGTGTTCGGAGTATTCAACCTGGTAGGGAGTAAGGCCCAGACTAGTAACGCCACAACGGGTATGACGATAAGGAATCGCCGCCGCCGCGGGAGGCTCTTGAGAAACGGCGTCATAGCGAATCGAGAATGACCCGCCGGAGCTTCGCTCGCGGGGTCTAATTCACGCGTCGATTCTATATGACGACGCGGATGCAAGAGCCATTGGTACCAAATCTTAGGCCTTAATCACCAAAACAAGTTCATGCACGTGTTAGCGGGCGCGAGGCTAAATTTCTGTTTATTTCTTTCGTCTTTCTTACCTTGGATCGCTCTGGGGTGAAGATGCATCCATCGGAACTCGAATGCAAATTCATCGGTCCCAGCTAGATATTCATAACGGCCTTCCCTCGTATGGACCCCTTTGGCGACTGTGCAACCGACCGTCTAGAACTTGGAATTGGAGGTCTTGGATTGCAATCTTGGCAATTAGGAGATTTCGGCTGAATCGCATTTGGCTAGATTTCCTTTCAGCCTTTCAGGGGTTACATCGGCACTTTAGTTTTAAGGAGGATCCATAGGGCCACAGTGGCACCCATAGCTGCCATAGGTGCAATCGCAAATCGAAAAGATTACACCGCACTGATTTTAGTAGGTGGCATTTTTTTGTTAAACGTTCTGGCGTTTTAAGGATCGATAAAAGGAGCTTGCTCTTCCGCTTCAGTTTGCACCTATGATCACCTTCCTCGTAAAGCAAAATAAGAGAACTCGGTTCGGTGCATCAACTACCCCTATTGCACCGAATGTTAGCCAAGGCGGGCCACCCACCGTAAAAACTCTTGTATTATAATATCCATAACTGAGAGGAGACAGGAAAAGGGGTGGGTCATATCAGCCTTAAAAAGTACTTGTGAGGTACACATCAGTAATGTACGTTTGACCCGACACGGCGGAGTTCCCTAAAAATAACATACATAGACCAATCATAAAAAAGGAATATATGGGTCGGGCTAAGTATTTCGACCGTAACGGCGGAATTAATTGATTGAATTAATGGTAGTTAGGTTAGGAGGGAAGTTAACTTATAAAACTCATCTCATGGCGATTCTCTCCGCCGTCGCCGCTCGAGAAACTTGTCAATGACGAGGAGGCGCTTATGGCAGCCCAAGATGGAAACACAAACTAAGCGAAGGAAAATTCGTAAAGGGACACGGTCTTGTTGGGAATGTAAACGGCGGAAAATTAGGTGCATATTCGCATCATCCGAACATGTTGTTTGCACCGGTTGCCAACGCCGTCGTGTGCCTTGTGTTACGCAGGATATGCCCGAGGATTCATCCCCCGCTAGGACAGGCAACCGACATCTTGGTGATCGTATCTCTAGAGTTGAAGACTTCGTAAAGGACTTCCTTACTAGTAGACATGATGGCGGGATAAACCAGATTGGAGGAGAGTCGCGGCAAGATAGACGTTCAAAGTCCGATTCCCTGGAGTTGACCCAAAACTCGCTACTCCTAACTCCAGACTCGCAAGGCGCAGCACAGACTATACCAAATCAGCCTGAGAATGAAACAGCGCTTCACTACTTACTGAAAGCCTTTCCATCTAAAGAGGATACCGACATCCTACTTAGGGAGAGCGCCAAACCATCGCTTTACACCAGTGTTATCAATACTCAGCCGCATAGTAAACAGACCCGTGAGGCTCTTGCAGGACCCTACCCTATAGCTAAGATTCCCAGCTTCAATACTCACCCGGTTATTGTAGCTAAACATATGCTCATGTTTTCAATCACGTTACAGACACCGTCTAGTGAAAGCCTGTTCGGTCTTTCGGAACCACATAACGTACTCATGCGCCGACTAACAACGGCTGCTAAGACGTGGGTAACTACTAAGGAAGAGATGCACGGAACTTTAGAGGGTCTGATTTGTATCATTTTAGAGGGTATATTTGAGATGAACTGCGGTTATCTTCGACGGGCTTGGGCAGTCTATCGCAGAGCAATGACAGTCGCCCAGTTGATGGGCCTTCACCGCTCTCCCATGCCACCGCTCAAACGCCTTGACCCGGAGCTTAATGCTGATCCAAAGTTCATATGGTTTCGCATCATTTATATGGACCGTTATCTCAGCTTATTACTCGGTCTACCTCAAAGCACATCTGATAAGAGTATAGGAGCCATGCCTATTTTACAGCATGAGCCACCTATGGGCAAATTCGAGCGAGTACTCACCGTTATAGCATCTCGTATTTTAGAGCGTAACGAAAGTGCCTTTGCCGTCGGCGAGATCGCGACAACCCAGTCCATTGATTCCGACCTATTGAGTGTGTCGAAAAGTATGCCAGAAAGCTTTTGGCGACCGGCGAATTTTCATAACCTGACACTAGGGTCGCCAGATTCCGTCTTAGAAACAGCGCGTCTAGCAGCCCAAGTTTATTACTATGGCCTAGTGATTCAGCTTCATTCGCCATATATGATGCGACTAGGCGGCAACGCGGAGTATGAGTATTCCAAGGTCGCCTGTGCTAACGCTAGCCGAGAGATAATGACGCGCTTCATTGCTCACCGAAGCTTCAATCCTAGATCATCCTGCTCACGCCCCGTGGACTTCTTTGCTCTTTTAGCAGCGATGACCCTCCTTTTGGCTCACCTCGACTCTCATCATCGCCAAGAAGCGACTAACTTCCTAGCCCACCAACGCCTGGGCGACCGTGCTATGTTGGAGGAGGCCCTGGAGAAGATGGATGTAGTGATTAACCTTAGTAAGGATATAATAACCGAGAAGAGTGCTGAATTGATTCGACGGCTACTTGACATCGAGGCAGACGCAGCTAGCGGAAACAATTATATTGCTAGGAGCGTAAGAGGAGATGACGAGGACGACGCGAATGGAAGCGAAGAGCTTCGCTTGCGTATCCCGTACCTCGGTATTATAAAAATAGGTCGCCAAGGCCCCATCTCAAGAGAGCCTTCGCTGAGGAATGTGACGTCTCGATCGCAAACCTTCGAGACCGAGCTCCCACCCAGGGATCAATTCTCTACGTCCAATGATGTGTCTGTGTTTCTGCCTCCTACATCATTTACAGATGGACAATCGTCCAGCCGTATTGGTGCCGCAACCCCGGGCTGCACGTCCCCAGGAGATCCGCGGGAATGGGGAGAGATGAGTGTCCCGTTACAGACACCTGGGCACGAGCAGTCTGTACCGCAAATATTAAGCCCCAATGACGATAATAGCACCATGCCGCCTTATGTGGAAATTTCTTCCGCCGCAGAAGACGTCAGCGATTGGGCATTCCAAGGCGTTGATACGGCGTTCTTCGATAGCTTGATGCGGGGAACGTCCAGCCTGGATGCTGCCGGGTTAGACCAGTAACGCACCGAGGATTCGCTAATATGTTATGCCAGTACGAAAGAATCCGAGGCGACTAGCCGACTTAATACATATAAATACTCATTAATTCTCTTGCTTAGATTAATGTTCAACCCCCCTTTAGCTATCCTAAGAGTTCTTGACAACCCACTACAGCAGATATACCATTTAGTAAATCAAGATATACGAGGTGACGGCGATGTGGCTTGGTAAGGGATATAGCTATATGAGTTGTACGACTAGGCCCGGAGTTGCGGCTCTTCTTTATCGTTTTGTCTAGGGTGCTCTGAGTTTGAGTCTCTAGACTCACACCACAGTTGGCAAATTAGAATGATATTAATCTTCCTAAAAAGAGTGGATGGTTCTCCAATATCCAGCGCGATAGGATAAAAACCCAGTATTGCCCTTTAGGCTCCATTAGAGAAACCACTTCCTAGCCAAACTCGAGTACATTTTTACATATCCATTTGTCTGCCAGGGAGACTAGTAACCCCTATGAGATGATTTATTAGTTCGGGGCGTATTAAATGGTCGCGTAATTACTTACATCCGTCGATATCCTCATTGACAGTGCTCTTGATAGTGCATTTATTCGCTTGGTCGACGCTCTGAGTCGCAATTCCGTTACTGAGTAGAGGCTGGGAGTCCATGGCGCGCTGAAGAGCATCACCCTTCCAGCCGAAGAGGTAGTCACCGTGAGTACCGTAACCTACGCTGTCTTCGTAACTCCACACGAAGGGCTGAGAACCGTCCGCAGGCCACAGAGACTTGTCGTTGAATGGAGTCGTGTCCCACATAGTCTCATAGGCAACTTGGGGTACACGAACGGGATGCGACGACGGGCAAGGGCCTGCAGTTGTGAATCCTCCCCTGTTCGTGTTGTACATGTGGTCTTGGTGGTTCGGGCTGTCAAGGTTCTTGCCATCCCAGCATCTGCTTCGCAGTTAGTGGATAGGGATTATGACCAGGTATAAGATTACTAACGCTGGGAAGTGGTGAATAGCCATGATACCCGCCTTGCATGGCTGCTTGGGGAACTCAGCGGTTTCGGGGAACCTCGTCATAACGTCCTGCAGACAGGTATAACGTAGGCCGGGGTTAGTACCGTCCTTGCTTTCTGGTGATCCGACTGTCATGCGGAATCCCTAGAGCTGTTAGGTGGCCCGTAATAGTAATAGGGGAAATAGACATACAGGCTTGAAAGCTGTGATCTTCTGGTTTCCGTTCGAGTTGAACGACTCCTGGAGGTAGTAGACGGTCATCCCACCCTTAATGTTACCTAATAAAGCATTTGGATACTGGGATACACGCTTGTATGTTCCATTGCGGGCTTTAAAGTATAGGACAGCGGTCCAGTAGTTAGAGAAGTCTTCGGAAAATGTGCAGGTTGTGCAAGTAGCCCTCTGACTGACGTCTTGGGTAGGGTTCATGGTTGCGTTAAAGCCATTTCCACCAACGATCTGGTGGAGATGCGCCGAAGGGATGACGCCGGGTTCAACAAGAGGGTCTAAACGCTGGACGCTGAGAGTGGCACATCCGAAACGGAGGTATGCCTGAGAGGGCGTAGCAAGCGCAAGGGCGAGAGAGAAAAAAGATCCCTTCATCTTGATTGTATCGATAATGAAGTCGGCGTCGATATTGGTGATGCAGCCCGGAGACGGTGGGGATACCGGAAGGCAAGCGGATGGAGTCACATCTAGACTAACATATATACAGAACGCCAGCTTCTAGCTCTGCTAGCGATTCGCTTATGCCGCGTCGGTCGGCAGAATACCCGGTCTTGTCTTATTCAATTCGCATTCATCCAGAGATGTGCAATTAAGGTAATGATATCTATAATTACTGGAACCGCTCACCTTTATCACCGGGCTACGACGGCAGCGAGGCCAAACAATATGTAGGTGTAGCCGTCTGATATCAATAATTCATCCACATTGGCAATGGATATGCCGCCCCTGAGAAACTTGACAAGCATCGAGCTATTCGAAGCATTACGAAAGCATTGTATAGAGCAAACGGCAGTTAGATGATTGGGTCCCAGTCATACACTGCCGGGGGCCCCCGTTCCGAGAGCCCGAATCTAGGTAAGCCAGGGGTTAAATATCCCCTACCATATTTCCCGTCTCCTCATGACTGACCCCGGACCCAGATACCCACATCTACCGCACGTGCCCCCCGACCACCGGCAATCCTATTCCGTCCGGCAAACAGTTACCTATACGGGAATATTTGGACCTTCTTCATAGTTTGGTAATGACTAAAGTCCGTGTCTCGACGCTCTCGCGCGGGGGCGCTTGTGATGTCGCCATCGAGTTTTCTACGGATACGTGTGGACAGTCTAAGGCTAGGTGTTAGTGGAAATCTAGCCTTTAACCCGTATAATCGCACTTACACCTGGCATTTGAACCTGAATGGCTATCGTAGGTCAGAAATAGAAAAGGCTCGCTAGACTTTTGGTCAGGCAACCAATACCAATGCTGCTCTTTGTTATATTTCAAATAGTATATTTCTTGAGTCCAATCTGGATACACTCTGTCCGTGGCAACGAGGTCATTTACGTCGATTGAGCTGTAGTCACACAATGCAAGAGGGCGATCTTCGCATTGCGGTAAAACAGGACGCCACGTACTGCAGGCAATAATTAGCAACTATTGTGACTGTCACCATAAGTGTGTCCTTACTTTATGAGTCTAAAACGGTAGCCGGGTTGAAAGAAAGTTTGGAGCTGCTCCTCGTTGAGAATATTCTTCAGGAGCCGCGGTACGGTATCCAGAGATATATCTAGACATAATGAGAATACACCAGCCATATTTAAGTCAAATTACGAACCGACTGTAGGAAGTTAGGCCGATGTATAATAAGTTTCATAGGAGTCTTACCATGTGCGCCCACGGCAACCTGCTCTACTAGAAGTGGATCACTTGGGTCATAGTTTTCAAGAGCCATAGGGGCATTTTTACGCATCTTAAAATATTATTAATGGAAATCAAAATATGGTATCAGCATGCTCACCTTGTAATCGTAGCAATGAACAAAATCTGCTCTGAAGAGGGATCGAAGCAACTCCTCGTTCTCGGCGCGGTACTTTTCGATCAGTTCAGTATCTACTCCGAGACTTGGGACATATTTAGACTCATGCTCGACGTAGCAGAATCCATTTCTCTCCAAACTGATATTGTTATCATTACGCATACTATGTACGGTTACTGGTTTATTCTCCCATTCGACATTGGTTGTATTAATGGCGTCAAGGCCGATTTTAGCAGTTGCCGAGGGATGAAGAAAGAAAGGCTTCTCTTCACCATATAGAGGAATATCAGCGATGAAATCAATAGTAGTCTGCATGTTAGCTTCTGAAATTATATTTACTTCAAGAATGGAAGAGTTTATGCTGGGAAAAGGTGTGTTCTACCACTTACAGTGAGAAGTTCAAAGAAAAAGGGGTATATAACCTAGGTAGAAAACTAACTCTCGGATGCTAGTTGGAACTTGCAGCTACTGGAAGCAGAGCCTCATCCTCAAAATCAAATACCGTAGGTACCTACCTAGGTACTCGTTGAAATACCAGCTGCTCATAGCCTCGAAGGATTGTGGTGTGTGTCCTATAAATGAAATTATCCCGAATGTGCACAAACGTACGTCATTATAGATAGTATGACAGGGCAGAGCCTCAATAATGATGATTGATTCCTACCTAGGAATTTAATACTATATTCTAAGATAAGAAATAACCAATAAGATGCTTCTATATATCAAAAGCCTACTGGTGTACTTCAAGCCTCTTCGCAATAGATGAGCGATGTTTTTTCGCCGGTTTCATGGGGTCGGTGAGACAATTAGAATTATTGGCTAGGATCGTCCGATATACTGTAGCATCCCCATAGAATGATATAAGCCCAATTGGGACCCTTCTGATCGATCACGCATTTCTTAAACGAATTAACCCCACCTCCTTTATCAGTACTTTTATTTAGGTGGGTTACCGTGGATTAATTCACGCCACCTGTTTCGAGTGTCCCGTTCATGTTGAGCCTCATAAGCACAGATACAATCTTTATTAATGCGTCATTTTGTGAACTCTGTAAAATGCATTAGGTACCTAATTACTCCAACCTTAGACAGCCTGCTTTTTAGATACCTAATATAGCATTTCTCATGAAAATGCAAATCTGGTATTTCAGTCCGAGTTTCCGTAAATGGATTATCTTAAGAACCGTCTTTTAAAAGCAAGGGGGTAGTTTAGGTAAACCCATTCATTAGGTACAGAGTTACCTTACACCTACATAATTCAAGGTAATGGTATCTCAATACAGTTTTACTTATATTTAGTACCGAAGCTCTGGCTATTGTACGGAAGGTTTCTGTAAACTTCTCGTTATTAGTGGTATTCCATGCTGGTAGTTCAGTTATTCGACTCCAATCATACAAATATTACTCCTATTCATATAATCTACATGTCTCGCCTATTGTTCATATAAAAATAGTACCATGATCCGCGAAAAGGAGTATAATGTGGTTGTTACGGCTTGTGCTGTAAGTTAGAAGCAACCCTTTAAGATATATTATGCTATTAAGTGTACTCATTGTTAGTTCCTAGCCGTTTAAGAAGAACGAAACAAATCCAACAAAAGACCTCAAAGTCAAACTACCGCCTCGGATCGAGCGTCAGGGGCGTATTCCCATTAAAATTATCAAGTACCCCATTGACTTCAGAAATGTGATCAAAGATATGGAAATCATTCCGGATCTTTGGAGCGGTAAAAAGAAGGTCTATGAACCGGGTTCCAGAGAAGGTCAAAAAATATACATTGATGCAATGCTCCATCTAGGCATGAATTTTTCCGACTCCTGGCAGATTGAAAAAAGGGCACGGCGCGACGGCTATGATTGGGTTGGCGATGATGGAGTACCACTACCCAAGCATAATGGCGGGAAGGAAGGAAGATGGGAAGGTATACCCAAAGTTCTAACACCCGTCTTCGATGTCGATCATATTGCAAGGCGATTGCACAAAGATCTCCCGGTAAGTAGCTTCCGTATAAAAGGAAGGAAATTACTAAGACTAGGGCGCTAGAACACACCAACAGAGACTTCTACAGATGCTGGTCTCATGTATTGTGAATTTATATACTTCACTTCACTTGCTACGCTGTACGAAGCGGGCGAGACCCCTCGGGCGTTGTTCTTGCACCATGCAGGGTTGAAAACTACGGAGGATGACATTGAAGATGGGGTTCAAGTCGCAATCTCGGTCATTTGTTCAATGATAGATCAACTAGAAGCTTCACGGGGAGTTGTGATGCAGTATAATAAGCACACCATGGAAGAAGTACCGGAACCTCTAAGTCTCTCTAGGGCCCTTGGCACATTCAGATTGTAAAGGCTCAATTTTTTGCCATGGCCAAAGAAAGCTAGTTAGGAATATTATGAAATAATGAGGCGCAGATACTTGATTCGATTAACTACCTGACTATTACTTGAGTTCTCATCAATCAATGAAGTCACACAAATGCGTATTGTTGCACGAGTGTTTAGATAGGCGGCAAAATAATTATAATTACCTAGATACGCTGTAGGTTTAGACGTGCTATTGTTTACTACGTTACACGTTCCCAATGAAGTATACTCCAGAAGTGCAACACCCAGATTTGGGTAATTTTTCAGTCCTCAACCAATGGTCTAAATCAAGAACCCCGGCTTATAATTGTCCTTCTATCTTTTCTTACACCGACATCCTACTACATACTACCTATTAGGATAATCCCCCCATCGATCATGCCACAAAACTATACTAGGGATCGGCGGTTGGACTTGTGTAACTTCTTCTCAACTCGGTATTGGACAGCAAGTGTACATATTGAATCATAAAACCCGGCATAAGGCTGTTTTTGCGTGTGGCCAGCTGCGACTATTAGGTAGCATTAGGCCTCAACTCATAATCCGGTCATTAAGCTTACAATACCTAGCTTTTACACCTTTTCCTCGTCGTTGGTTGGCTACCATATATGGACACAGGGCTACGTAGTCTTTCCTGGAGCCTCAAATAAGCAGAGCCTCAATCTTATCTCTCTGAAAGTCGTGTCCGTCTACAGTCACTCGGATAATATCGGTGCTACTATACGTAAACTTTGTCTTTCACGCATGGAAACGAAATGAAACCGGGATCCTTCATCATGGAGATAGATGGCGAAGAATGGTAAGCATGCATACAGTTATTTGATCTTGGCAGAACTGAGTGCGAAGAATCTCTATAGCCTGAGCAGAGTCAATCATATGAGATTTCGATGGAACACAAATAGCGCCCTGCTCCCGCCTATGTTCAGACTTGCCAGTCGGAATTATACAGCACAACTCTGATTAATTATTGTTTCACTCGGCTAGCTCAGTCAACCTTACTTCGCCACTCTGAAAATGTCTGGAAGCCCACTTCAGATCAAGGATCCCGAAGTCCTCAACCTGCTCCGCCTCGACCGTGACTTTGACATGCGGACTGTCATGGATCGTTCCGGATATCCTCCGATTCAGTACAAGTCTCAAGCTTGGCGTGCACAATCACACCTCGCCTTCCCAACCCAACCCAATGACAACCATCAGCAACCTGAGATGGCAAGAACTCTCGTTCGTGGTGGCAAAATCTACCTTGCTGGCACTGGCGCAGCCCCACGATGTTGATAACTCTATGCTGGGTTTGTCTACACTGCCATAGAGCCTCTCTGATATACATGCTGACGTCACACAATGAACACTAGAGCTGAAAGTTGAAGTTCTCTTTGACTATGTCGAATTCTTTAGTTCCTGTGAGGGGCATAGCGGAATGCTTTCAGCAGCTTATATTGTTTTGCCAACGAAATCGCCCAGTTAAACCTAACTTCATCAGAATATGACTTTTTTTTAAAGAAATAGGGATGAAGACTATGTTTAGGCCTTCAGGGATTATCTTCCGACTTGTCACTCGTTCTACTATGTATAGCTGATATAGCGATCTAATTCTATTTACATCTACTCCTATTTATAAATTGATATTGCTAACTGCGCGATGCCCAGTAAGACTTGAAGAATGCCTAAGATAACCGTAGCCAAACCTATTTTTATAGCAGCCTTCAGGGTAAGAAGCCTATCAGGATTTCGTTGATCCTTCCATACTTCAAGGAAGTCATTTGGTTCTTGACCAGAAATATAATCCGCCAACTCAGCAAGCCGTAACCCCAAATGAGGAAAGCTGTCTTGTACCTTGTAGACGTTACGCTCGTGAAGAAGTTCAACGATTCCAGTAGAATCATCTACGTCTTTATTTCCGCATAGTACGCCAAGTAAGGGGTCTAGGGCCCCATTCCACTTTGCACTTTTGAGTTCCTTCTCACGAAACAGTTTGCGAGAATGGGAATGTTGTCCGAATAATAGACGATAACTTAGTAAGACTTCGGCCAGGTATAATTTCCCCACTGAATCGGTGTTGAATTGGCAGTTCTTTCGGCAAATGTGGCTCTTGAATAACCTGTATATGACGTGAGATTGTTAGCACCATCCTATTCAAATATCTAATATTAACGATCTTACCGGTCAATAAGAGTCTCATTATCCTCGCTCAGACATATTTCAGCACAGAGTGAAGGCAGGCGAAATAGTTTCAGTTGTTTCTTTCTACTATACCGATCGAATTCGCAGTGCTTTGAAAGATCATTAACCCAAAGAATTGTAACGCCACCTAATTGAGATAAGGAGTAAACATTCAAATGAGTAACCAAAAGATTCGGTAATACTTGTGGCAACCCAGCACCCTGTGGACAAGCTATTGGGACAAGTTTATAGCTACGAAGCATAGCTCCAATGGGTCTCTGTGACGAGTCCTCGATAGGTATGATGGTCTGCTTTTCTTTACTTCTATTTGACTGGGTCTCCGCAATCTTGAAGTCAGCATCTGCCGTTGTGAATACCGGTGTGTATAGCAAAGTAGACCAGCCGATAACAGCAAATACGAAGTGTCGCATCGTATTTTCATGAGTTTTAGTACCCAGTACAGGAGTTTCCGAACTATCGAATAATTGTGTTACAATATCGTCTATCGTCGTCTGAGCGGTTGAAGATCTGATTAATCTGATGATCTTAGTAGATACTTCGAACTGACGCTCTAAAGAAGGTTGATCGGCCCGAGGTTTCCAGGTAACGTTAAATAATTCGGCTGTGGCGCGTTCGTAATCCAGCATGCGATTTTCCGTTATATCTAAAAACAATTTTAGACTGCCGTTCCGAGCATAAAGCCTATCCCCATTCCCGCAACAAGCTTCGATAAAGGATGGTCTTGTGTCATTGGAGATCTCCGAGTATGAGGGAATATTGTTTGGCTTACGCCATTTCCTTCTAGGAAGCGTGTTGTAACCCATTTCAATCGTTATTAATTCGCGGATGACTTCTGACTTGCTGATGCCAGGATCCGGAGGGTGGCACTTTAGGTATAATGCATACAAGATTAGAGACAATTTTCGGATGTGGAAGACACACACCTCGAAGTTATGAGCCAGTCTAATATTTTATTATTGCCCCTATGAGACGCAACTTTCTTGGTGTGTGGTTACACTAAGGCAGGCTCTGGGCCTGGCTGAGGTTGACCGGCAAAAACCCCGAATGCAAACAGATGTAGGTATTCAAATGCCGACCGGTGCATATGAAGAGAAGCAGGCTGCAAATTTGGAGGCGTTGGTAGTATCGAAAAATCCCGAGACTATTACCCTTGAAAAGGGCGATGCGGCTCTTTAGGAGGTATCTACTTCCTACCTAGGACATACCCCCAAAGATAACTCCCTACTTTTCTCAATCGAAACGGATTCTATACAAGCTATCCCCTGTCTAAGGGTATTCCTACGATGACACCATGCAACTCCCTACTATCATCTCTTGTACTACCAACAGTATGGCCGAGTAGTGAGTTCCACCATTGATACCCAAGGTATAGATCAATTAGCTACGGTGTCTAATACATTATATACGCAATAGTGATGATATATACGCACAGTCATGGAATGAGACAGTAAGGGAGTGCGAAAATAAATTAGAGCGACGTGACTACGAGCGTGCTTTAGGGGTCAAATCGCTCGAAGACTTCCGAAATGAGTTGCGAAGGCTGCTAAGCGATTATCCCGACGAACCTTCAAGGACTGCAATTAAACTCCTCTATCCTACCTTAGAGCATTACGAAACCTTTGCCCGAATTTTCGTCGACATGATGTACCATCCTATTGACACATCTATGATGTGGGGACTGTTGTCCTTAGTCTTCAAGGCAAGAAAAGTACCTGGGTAACTAAGATTAGCTAGGAGTGTAAGACTGATATCTACTACGCAGCTTGCTCTAGAGAGCACAGGAGAAACCAATCCGCTCGACAATATTACAAGATGGCTGGAAAATATTGGTCGCAAATTGCAGGATTCTAACGACTGTTATCAGAGAATCACAGACTCTGTAACGGTCAAGAATGATATAATAGAGGTAAATAGGGAGATTGTCATTCTTTGGATAAATATCATCATGACATTTCGCAATAAGGGTCAGGGGCACGAAAGTACGTAATACGTCGCAAGTGATTCCCCCCAACGCAGAGGGCTAAGTGGTCAACTTAATAGGTTTTCTCAACAAAAGCGCACTTGATGATATAACCGACATTTATAATGCGGCCTACCAGAACATCACCGAAGCCGTAAGGCGTATTGAAAAAGTAGCAAAGCTAGCAGAAAGACAAGCATACCAAACGATCCTACAGAGCATACTTTCGCTAAAGAATCAACAACGAGAAGGTGGCTCAATACCGTGTAATACTCTCCCGATAGCTGAGAACCGCCTATTCTATGGCCGTCAGGGTATCCTATGTCAGATAGAAGATTACCTACGGCCAGCAGACACAGGTACTCGACTTTCTTCCATGGCACTGTATGGCCTTGGTGGCATCGGCAAAACGCAAATTGCACTTGCCTATGCGTATCAAAGGTTGGATGACCTCGACGCAGTATTCTGGATATCTGCCGAAAACACCTACACCATCCAACAAAGCTTCAGTCACGTTGCTATCGACGCCCTTAAACTTCCGAAAGCCGTTCCCCAAGCAAACCAACAAAATATGATACTGGTACTAGACTGGTTACAAAACACATGTAAGAGATATGACTGATCGCCCGTTAACCTATTGTTAACTATGCGGTAGCTGCTAAGTGGCTTCTCATATTCGATAATGTCGACGATCATAGCGTCCTTGACAATTGCTGGCCTGCTTCTAAACATGGTGCCATTCTAGTAACTACTAGAGATGTTCTTGTTGCCTCTCTTCCTATTGACACTGGACTTGAAGTGAATGAATTTAATGATGAAGAAGGTGCTGAGTTTTTACTCCACATGACACACGGTAGGCAACGGGTTGATGGGGAGTTAGAAGCAGCACGACTTGTCGCGGGGGTATTAGGTGGCTTACCACTTGCTCTCAACCAAATGGCTGCTTTTATCAACGCAAGGAGCTTATCAATCCCCGAATTCTATGTCGCGTATATCAAGTATGATTATCACTTACATACACAGAAGAAGAACGGCTATAAGTATTTAGGCTACCCACACGCCTTAGATACGGTATGGGAAATTTCCTTTGCAACTCTAGGAAATCAAGCTCGAGCTTGTCTTGGCGTTTTGAGCTTCCTCGCTGCCGACGACGTCCCTGCAGAAATTTTCACGGCTACACAGCCCGATAGACTACCGTGCACCTTATATTTTTGCACTGATGAGTTATGGTATGTGGTACTTATTTCAAACGGCTTTATACGTGTTAATGAAATACAGCCTCGGCGAGGCCATAGAAGAGCTAACTCGCCACTCTCTAGTTAGAAGGAATATCCAGCAAAGAAGCTTTCGAATCCATCGACTAGTACAAACAGGGTACCGAGCCAAATTAGAAGAACCCCAACAAGACTTTGAGGCAGCCGTAAAGTTATTGCTTGAGAAGATCCCATCTCAACGATCGAGTAGATTTGACAACGACGAATGGATCCTGTATGAGAAGTATATCCCCCAAGTTCTTTCACTTGTAAAGAACTACAACGATTCTCAAACTAAGCCAAAGCCTCTAAAACCAAACGAGGATTTTGTTAGACTTCTTACTAACTCTTCCTAGTAAGTTGATTCCATCTTGTTGATAAGACAGACTAACTGTCTAAAAGTGCGATACACGACAATGATACCGTTAATGTCATCCCAGAGTTACTTCATACTGCTGATTCGGCATTTCACGAATGTACAGAGGTAAACCAGGATAGGTTACTTTGGGCGCTCTTACAATATTTGAAATGCATACATCATTTCTGTACTTCCGAATTCATCAAATCGGAATTGGAAATGGCGGAAAGTCTTCGTATTCGCTTGGAGTTACTTCCCCCAAACGACCTACTCGTAGCTGTTGCGTATAGCGGCCTTGGAATGGCCACTGGTGCTCAAGGGCGTTATGAAGAAGGTCTAGAGTGGCTACTAAAAGCAGGAAAGATTTACGAAGGCCCAGACGGGGAGAATCCCTCGAGGAAACTGGTATGGTGCTATAATATTTCGCGTAACTACTACTGTATGGGCAGATACGAAGAAGCCGAAAATATTTTGGATCATGCATTGAAAGTTGCGAACCGGCTACAAAGTTGGTATATGCAAGTTTAGTATGTTAGGTATCTCTTCCGGCAGAGAAACCTCCTTACTTACACTTTTTTGTCTAGTGCCCATCTTACATTTACTTCACTTCGAATCAGGACGAATAACCTTGACGAAGCAAAACAACATGCTGAGACAGCTAAGAACTTGCTAGAAACTTCCGGAACATCAGCCCGCTTCAGCTGGCTTAGCTCTTATTGTGCATATCGTGTAGGTCAGGTGGCAATGAAGCAAGGTCGGACTAATGATGCCATGTAAGCAAATCGCAACAATTTTCCTTTCGAGAAACCAGACGTTAACTATGTCTAAAGAGAGGAAACAGCAAAGGCGACAGCTATCGGGAAGCTTGTGAATGTACCAACGGGCATCCTGGCTCGGTGTGTGCACATCTACTCAAAAGCATTGGGAATGGACCCCTCAAGACAAGAGGAATCGGAAACACAACGGATGGAAGCCAGACGACTGCGAGCATCATTACCAGATGGAGGAGGTGACCCAGACGACGAGACTGATGAGGCCTTTGAGAAACTCGTAAAGATGGACCATCGATAGAAAGCCCCTGATGACAGAAACAAGACGGGGAGGACTCATTACCCGTTCTAAAGTAAAGTACTTGAGGTTACAGTACATTATCACACTCGTTTACCTCATTTTTCCAAGTACGGTATTGGACAGATAGGAAACGGAAATAATTTCCTATGTTAATCACAATTACGTCCCATTGTGTATCCAAACTATCCTTAAATATATCATTTTGACCTATATGTCATTAATTCGAGCTGGTAGATGCCTAATATCGAGTTACTTGCTCAGACAGATTCAGGTGGCTTGGTAATACCTGTTAACTTGTCGCTAATGAATCGCTTATTAACTTCCTATCCAAATATTTGGACTTATCACTAACTTACCCATTCAACTTCTTCATCAGAGCTCCTATACCTTCATGAGAATAATCCTTCTCATTCCACATGTCTTTGTGGTAAACGACCTTCTCATTAGGTGCCTCGCCCTCAAGCCTCAAGGATACTAGGCTATCCACAGACTTTGATATGTGGACACCTGCAAATGTATACTTATGTCTCTGTTTCCAAATGAGTTCGTGCTCTGTCGAAGATGTGACCTCCGTTGCCAACGATTCAAGCTTAGAAAAGAGCTTCGGGAGGCCGTACCACTGGCCTGCTATCTTGTATCTAAGCATAGTTAGGTTATAAAAACTGCTAGAAATGCCTCTTGATTAAACGTACCTTGTATCACAGTAGCTAAAAGGGTCGTCATAGATGGCCTTCTCGGCATATACTTGCATGTTCTCTTCTGATGTCTGTCCACAATAGAGATTGATTATTTTCTGTTGTATTACCCTCCGAGATGGTGAAATTTGCAAAGAGCTATCCGGATGAGGAGCATAGTCCACTGCCCCGTCAACATTTCGAGGTCTATCAGGATGAGGCTCTACGCCGCGTTGGTCAGGATGCGGTGATGTTGATGAAGGCATATCGTAAGAGAAATTGTGAGATTAAACTTGGGAATGCGTAATAGGAGTCCAAGAAACCAAATAATTTATTAAAGCATTATTGTCTTCCAAGCCATTATAATCAAGTTCTAATCATATCCATGATGAGCGATGACATCATGACTATAGAAGTATAGTAAAACAATGCATTGATCGACATCGTATATCAATAGTTCGAAAAAGCAATATCGCGTAAGATAGGCTTTGTTCCAAGCGACTCTACCCACCAAGATTTCCCATGACCTATGTATCCAAGGAGGAAACACAGATGGTGATATGAAAGAAATAAAAGGTAACCTTACATGATTTAAGAGTACGCCCCCTATCTCAAATAATACTCCTAGAATGTGGCAATTGCCTATATTTTCGATGAGCTCGGTAGAATCTTAGTAGACTTAGCGGATATTGCAAGACAGAATGGACATACCCTGCCACAGATGAATTATTTCATAATCAAGACTTCATATCCGAGACTGGATATTGTATCTTCAAGTTCAAGTTTCAAAAGCTAAATGAAATAGTGTGAGAACTTATATGATCTCAAATGGGGGTACGTTCATACCGTAGATTCTGGTGAACTCCGAATATTACATAGTGCCAAGTCAGTTGCTTATTACCTTCAAGGATCAGTAACATTTTCCAAACGCAACAAACGTCAGCCAAAAGTATCAAATATATCAATCTTAACTTCTAAACCACTGGGGAAATAGTAGATTTTATGCTTCAAACATTGGATACGAAGAATCAATTGTTTCGTGAACATAAGTTGAATCGGTTCTGGGCTGCATTTTACCGATGCGCTTCCTAAGTTGGAAGGAGTTGCAATATGAAGTTACAGTATGGGGAATAGGGGGTGGTATATCACATAGCCTGCTATACGAGTAAGCCAATAGAATAGCACGAATTGAGGCCTCACAGAAAGAAACCTATTTAAAGGGTTTAGTCACCAAATCTCAGCTTCCAGAACGGTCAATTGTTGTTTCGCATGTGGATCGTTTCTGGATCGCCTTAAAGCACTCTTGAGGAACGTTCATACGACATTTGGTAAATCTGTCAGATTATTGAACGAGTTGATGTCATCAAAATTTAACCACAACTAATCAGAGACAGGCCATTTATGTGATACTCAATTGAGTGTCACTCATCTCAGCCGCAGTCCTACTAGAATCGCTACAACAATCCCTAAACAGTATGTATATCTGGTATCTAATTATAGCTCCAGCTCCAGCTCAGCAACGATGAGCTTATTAGGACCGCACGATGGCGCTCCTTATAGAAAGGGGCATGTTTTAAGCCATAAGCAGCCTACGAATGGATTTATACAAATAGAGCCAGACTGCTCAGTTCAATAGAGACTAGACTCCGTAAACCAAACATTCACCACAATTTATCAACATTACAAGATAGACCATTTTATTTCATATACTACAAAATGTCTCTCAAGAGCTTTATCGGGGTTTCTACGCTTCTAGGTGCGACTCTTGCCAGAGACGTTCCGTCAAATGTTCGGAACTTCTACAACAATATCCAAAACAGTGGCCAATGCAGCTATCCTCTCGCTACGGGGTTCTACAGCGAATACAATGACGATAATTGTAACAAATCTCACCCTTCTCGAACTTATCTATGCAGGGCTAATGTGGCACAGCCTTCAGCTACTGCGGGGACCATCTGGAAGACTCGAAGGTCATCTACATCCAAGGTAGCAACAGCCAGTTCGCCAACATGGATATCGACTGCGACGGGACTCAGGGCGGCCCCGCTGACGATGGCCGTTGCGGAAATTCCGACGATACTCAGTCAATTACATCTTTCGCCGACACCGTAAGAGGATACGGCAAGGGTGTTCGGGACTTGGACGCCAAGATCCACCCCTACGTCGTTTTCGGAAATGTGGGTGACAAGCCCGGCTTCACATCATTCGACCCTCAAGAGCACGGCATTAAACCATTGAGCGTCATGGCCGTCGTATGTGGTGATAAGCTGGTAAGGAATCTCTATCTCCAGGTATTAACGAAAAGTATGGCGAGCTAACTGAGATAAGATCTACGGAGTCTGGGGTGACGAGAACGGCGCCGACGGCGAGAAGTCCGTCGTTGGAGAGGCTTCGATTTCTTTGGCTACCGCTTGCTTCGGGGAAGGGATGACTGGAAACAATGGACACGATGAGAACGACGTGTTGTACATTGCTTTCACGGGTGACGATGCTGTTCCTGGCAAGAACGGAGCTAAGTGGGATGCACAAAACTACGAGGAATTCGAGAAGAGCATTCAAGGCCTAGGTGATAAGCTCATTCAGCGTATCCAGGCTTAAACGGGAGTATTGCGCGGTAGGGGTAAAGCTTACACCAGGGCTGTATAAAGTCGATGTGATGTAGATAATTGGTTTAGGTTCATACTTGTTTAAATAGGTGGAATTTCATTTTTGAGCTGGACATGGAATCACACAAGCGCGAAGGGTTGGATAAGTGGAGGGATATTCAGCAGAAGTCATAGATTGAGCGTGTATAGAATGCTTTTCCGGTATATTATCTGTGTATTAACCTGGATAAGGTATCTTCAAGCGTTGATACGCGTCTCAGGTCAAGAAACACTAAAAATATATCAAAAAGATGAATACGAGCAAACAAAGACTAGTGGGTATTAGACTAGGATATCATTAGAGCGATCTGGATTTTAAATGAAGCGTAGCAGTTATGTGTTGGACATCTGATATAAAGGAGGTATGTTTGTACGTAATTTTGTCAACTTGAACATTAGCACAACTTAATTAAACATCCATAAATGAAGCAGTAATGAAACCGACCGTTCATGTATAATGAAATTGAATTAGTCCGTTTTAAAGGCTAACAGTCAAAATATTAGAGTCCGTGCTCTAACACATCATTCTTTTCGCGTTGGGCCTGAAAATTCTGAATACGCCCATGTTTACATTTACATACCTAATTATTTAGGGTCATTTTACCCCAACTATTCATGAGCCTCAAGAGCGGGGGAGATGTCGATCAGCAAAGCTTCATTAGGAAGCTCGCAAAGGGCAAAGGAAGATTCGGCTGTCGGAAAGGGGAAAGGCAAGAAGTCAACCAGTTCCCTGTTTGCAATTCTACCAATAAAATGGAGTGCCTAGGTCGGGAAACAAAAAACCATTCGACAAACAGTTAAATGATCACGAGTTACCGCCCCTGCGGTGTTGCCATTGAGAATGCAAGCAGGCTTTCCCCGCATTCTCCTCGACCTATCTCGGCTTTCCCTAGGTACCTACCTACCTTTCATGCTATTCCCCCGGACCACTACAATGATAGCTCCCCCAAATTAACGTCATATGCTCATTTGTAGCCAGGGCGTCTGCAAGGGTGATAAACATGACCACTCAGGAATTCTTTGCAAACAAGACAGCAAGGTTAGCCTGCAGGCCTGGCGCCGATCTGCGGTCTAGAAACCCCAGCCGGGGAAAACAAAGAACAGGTCAAGTTGATGAATTCAAATATCACTGGACGCCTCGCCCTTTTCCCTTGGGGTAACCCCAGACTCACGTCTGTAGGTATTCCTTATACATCACTCGTTCTTGGAGATCTCTCCAAGATTCTAGAGTTAGGTGCAATGCGTCTTCTACTCTTGCTATCCACTTTCTTGTTCGGAGGGGTTTCTACAGTCTCAGCACAATGCCCTGATTACTCGGATTACTCTATGGCCACCCACGAGCCCTTCTCAGCGGGGAAGTATCAGCTTTCATATCAGAGGCCAATAGCTGCGTGTCGGACGGCCAACGTTTCGGATGTTGAGAAGATCATCCAAGATATGAAAACAGTGGTGAAGGACCCGGATCTCTTCCGATTATTTGAAAATACTTTTCCGAACACACTGGACACCACGGTGAAATGGAAAGGCTATGCCGAAGATGATTCGACAGAAGAGGTATACTAATCCGCTTATATGCTCGTTAATATCATATTAACACCGTCTAAGCTCACCTTTGTCACGACTGGGGATATTGTGGCTATGTGGCTTCGCGATTCAGCGAATCAATTGCGTAGTTATAAGTCACTGCTTAAGGCGGATGATTCTCCCAATTCGATAGCATCCCTCTACCGCGGTGCGATTAACTTGCAGGCGAGATACGTCATTCGAAATCCATATTGTAATGCGTTTCAAGCACCGACCGAGTCGGGTTTACCACCAGAGAGCAATGGTTATGCGGATACCGACAAGGTGACGCCCCCTTACAACACCAGCTTTGTTTTCGAATGCAAGTACGAACTTGATTCGATTTCGGCCTTCCTGCAATTATCATACGATTATTACAATAAAACCGAGGATTCCGATTTCTTTGGCAAGTTCCGATGGGTTGAAGCTGTCGAGACAATTCTCAATGTGACAGAAGGTCTCCTAGTTGGAACGTACAGTGATGACGGATCTGTTAACGAGTCACCCTATACATTTCAACGGCAAAGCACCAGCGCAACGGAGACTCTTGCGAATACCGGAGCCGGAAACCCCGTGAGGAGCGGCACCGGATTGGTTCGTAGTGCATTCCGTCCTTCGGACGATTCAACCATCTACCAACTATTCATTCCGGCGAACATGCAATTCTCGAGTTATCTTGGAAAATCCGCCAAGATTATGGAGGCGCACGACGCCGAACTCGCAAAACGCATGAGCGATTTCGCATCTAGCGTGCGAGAAGGGATTGAAACACATGGTAAGGTGCAGCACGAGGTTTTGGGAGAGATATACGCATATGAGGTCGACGGATTTGGGTCGAGAAACTTGATGGACGATGCCAACGTCCCAAGCTTACTGAGCGCACCGATTCTAGATTATCTAGATGCATCGGACGAGACGTATCAGAGAACCCGTAAATTCGCGCTTTCGACGTGGAACCCGTATTATATGCACGGGCCCGTGCTGAATGGGTACGTGGATTTTATGTACCTATATGAAGACACGATTCAAAGTAACGATGCTAACGTGCAGCCAGTACCGGAGGTCCTCACGTGGGGCCTGGAAAAGCCTGGCCAATGTCGATCATCACGTCACTCTTGACTTCCGACGACGACGACGAGATCCTTACGGGGCTGCAGGAGCTGGCGTCATCTACCGACGGGTTGGGGTTGATTCACGAATCTGTAGATACGTTCAATGCGTCAGTATGGACACGGGAGTGGTTTTCCTGGGCTAACGGCTTATTTGGAGAGATGCTGTTGGGACTGAAAGACAGGAAGCCTCATTTACTCGAGACGAGCTTCCAGTAGGTTTCAAGCGTTTAATATGCGAGTTGTCGTACATGCCTAAATAAATGTTATTTATATTTATATTTAATCGCCACGCCACGTCACGTTGCTGAAGACCGCCAGTTGATGTTACCTAGCTGGGGGAGTTATTCGGGGTTGTAAATAGGAACAATAGAAACAAGTATCGTGGAAATAAACCGTGATTATTACATGCTGCATTATGTGCTTTTATAAAGCGTGAAGTGGTCCAATGATATTTAATCCGAGTTAGCCGTCAAAATTGCAACATGATTTACCATGCATACGACCAATAACTTCCCAACGCAGGAACAATCTACGGCTGATGGTAACATGTTTCTTTTCATCTACACGGGGACGTCTTATCAGGGGTGATATACATATGCTCAACCCAGTTGGTCAGATGAACCGGTGTGTCAGTGGACCTACTGACATTATCCAACAAGGTGAACGTAGCGAAGGACGTGGGAGATGTAATAGATCAGCCTTTGCCTTTAATATATATATACATACCTGATAGATGGGGTACCTGAGACACGTTTTTACCTTAGGCACTTTTAGGGGAGAGATGATAGCTAATTGTTTCCGTCACTAAGATGTTCATTATGTAGATAGATATACGTTAGGTAGATACCCGAACAGCACATATACGTATAACTTCAACCTGGTCTCCGGTTTCTCTATTCGTACTGATTGGAGATGTCTGCTGCAAAGCCCTGTCGCTGCTGCGTGGCTCCGTGCCTGTGGCCTGCCTGGTCGCAGCACAATCCTGCATATTCCGTATAGTTGGGGAATAAGAGGTCAAGACTGGGGTATTTGCAAGTGAGTCTGGTATTTCGTAGTAGTTATACTTACTAACTACTTCTTTGATCATCTTTTAATTTTTGACATTGTCGCGTGTAGGACCCTCAATTGTATTTTTAGCTCAGATAATTTTCTGGAAGATTTATAGAAAAGTTGAATGTCTTACCTATCTCCTTTGAAGTCCTTTGACTTACCTGGATGTTTCCTACAGTCTTATACATGAATATACGTACCTCTGTACATCAAATGTCGTGATAAGCAACGTAAGCTAATGTACCTATCTAACTACATATGTCCACTATCTAAGGTTCTATGTACTAAAACAGCTAACGAAATCGTCATAGCAGACCAATCAAAATTAATATTTCAGTCTTGGCTTAGGTACCTCTTACCCTACCTTAACATTCACTCTTATCAGGCGGTCGGCTCGTCATCTATCTCTTTTCTCTCTTCTGCCTCTGTGCCTCTTGCTACTTACTGCTTGCTTCGGTCGGCTCTCCCAACTCTCCGCCAATCCTCAACCAGCACGGTCCGGACCGATGACGGATGGCCACAAGGTCCTTGATACCCCTTGGAGAACCTGGGAAAAGAGATCACGAGGAGAAGGCCGTCTGACCCCTTCGTCTCTTTCTTTCGAAGTTGGAATATCTCTCGCGATTAATCGCACAGTTCGCATCATTTGCCATCTGCCATTTACCATCTACCATTTACCATTCACATCTATACAGCTGCTCGACTGCGCCGATTCTCATCTTCCATCTCTCATCTCTGATAGGATCGAGATTTTGACTTGAGCAACCACTCAGTCATTCATCCATTCACCAACCTTCAAACACTGTATCCCTCCTCTTTTCCCTTCTTCAGGTCTTCCGGTACATTTAGCGATAATGGCACTGTCCACCTAATAAACCTAGCTTCACCAGCCTTACCAGCTTTACCTAGCTCCTTAAACAACCCCCCAAACCAAAACCCTGCAGCCACCCGCATCCAGTTAGCAGAGCCGCCCGCCACGTTCTCCTACCGGCTACCCATTTACCATTCACCATTTACATACAGATCAATACTTAGACAATCCAATTCAACACAATCGACACTTTGTTTGGACCCCTCCTCTTCTGCCGTTGTATGTCTGCCTACGTGTTTCAACATCCCACCCGTCCAGCCTATACCTGTCGCGACTGGTCGTCTCTTTTGACTTCTGTATATGCTTGTATAAACAATCTGTGGATACCTTAGTCTACCTATTTGTTTGCCCTATATTTCAGATTACGAACAATGGATGCCAAAGTTCGGTGGCATCGAGCTACAACTTCCGTTTCCATCTAACGAACATACTTGGGCCTTCGTAATACGCCCTAGTTCGCCTGCTATATCGCCTCTTCTGCGCCCAGTGGCACAGATTATTCGGTATATCCTCGAGATTGTGCATCGTCCGACCCGAACGGCAAATCAATTACGCATCTTTTCCCTTGGTTTCACCCATTTACTACCAGGCTAACCGTAGCCTGGGTCGCGACGACTTCACGATGCATCAGACCCCCCGCGCCCCGCCTCGCACAGCCTCGCCCGCCTTATCGTCCCAGACAAACCCCACAAGAACCAACAACCAGAGAGATCCAGCAAGTCCCAGCAGTCGCCCGTCGTCTAGACCAGGCTCCAGGACTCAGGAAGGGACGATAACGGGGGCAAGCAGCGGTAATCGCGGTGATGCAGGCGGTCCTACTCGAGAGTCCATCAAGAAATTGGACCAGATCATTCAGGTTGGTGTTTTGCCCGCTGACTTGCCTCATTCATTCATGAATTCTGACAAGTAGTCTATCAATATAGAATATCTACTCGAAGGCAGGCACCGTCATCCTGCAGGCACGCATACAGGTAACTCCGGTTCTTGTGGGTAGGTCCCACGAGAAGAGAACAAGTCGATGGGTAAGTTCAGACCTTAAATAGGGGTGTTTGCGATGAATCTCACAATGTATTATTTATAGTTCCAACTCGATACGGACGAAATCGATGATTTCCGAGAAGAGTTTCGCATATGGAAACAATGCGGTGGATTCGAAAATCGACCCCCTCCGTTAGTTATCGAGACCTACCTTGATGCGTCTTGGTTGAAGGGCGGTCAGAGCCTAGTAGTTGTAGACGAAAATGGGAAACGGTGGGATGTCGTTGAAGCTCTCAACTCTTCCGATCAGTTCAGCGATAGCAGCTCTGGTCGTCAGGGTGAGCCCATTACGCAGCTTGTATTAGAACGGTGGCGTGTTGATTTGAAAGGGCCAAATCCTGAGAAATCAGATGACTTTGGCCTTTTACTTCCCACGGTATACAAGAAGGCTATTGTCCTAATGCGATCAATATATACGACTACCGGTATCTTGCCCGCGTGGAAACTCGCCAGGAACTCTAAGACCAAAGGCAGCCATCCCGCATTGTCAATCCGCTGCCGAGTCTTTTCAGGTGAGGTTCCAGCCTATGGGTCCGGCACCCGAATCTTTTCAACTGAGCCTCCAGGCTATGGGTCCGACACTCTGAGGATGCCGTTATATAGTGGAAGGGGGGATGTTTCTACGGATTGTGTCTTTGGCGACCTCGAAATCCCTGTGGGGCGTTTCTATGTTTCTGTCTCTTACCGCAACAACTGCAATTTCCAAGTGGTTGAGACTGAATCTTTACTAAGTTCCCGTATCGGTATGGCAATCTCTGATGATATGTTTAAGCCGTCGCTACCCCGTCGTGGTCATGGACGCTACGAGTCATATGCCCCCGAAGTTGGGTCGCTTCAATACCACCGCCACGCACCTGACGTCACAAAGAACCAGCAACGATATGGTAGCTTATCCACCTTTCATGGCGAAGGGCCCGTTGGCACAAGCCCAATTTCGGCGTTAAAAGCTGTCAAGGCCCCAGGCTCGGATACCAGCTCGCCGCCCGAGTCTAGACCTGCGAGCATTGAAGCTCCCCCCCACACTCTCCCTATTACCGGACCTGCTCGGCGACCATCTCTTAGAGGGTTAGACGGACCGAGGCGTCCGTCTGTCTCCTTCCAGTCATCACCCTTTAAGCATGGCTCCCTTTCGAGCTCGCCCGCCACTCGATTACAGGACCAAGATGTTCCGCCGTCACCGCATTCCCTCAACCGGACTTCGGGTTTAAGCGCACACGTGAGGAATCGTTCCTCACTAACAGCTGGAATGGCAGCTTCCTTACGAGGAGTACCACCTCCAACTGCAGCAGATAACTCTGTTGCAAGCTCGCCGAGGCCATCAGTCTCTAATCGGTTTAGTAGTAGCTTCACGCATCGTCGTAGCCGGCCATCTATTAGCACCGCTAATAAAGATGACGATCAGAACAGCAGCGGCAAGCAAAGTCTCTCGTCGTCCATTGTACAACCTGGCTCCGGTTTATTTAACGAACTTGGGGCGGGTGGCAGCTCTGGATCCTTCCAGACCGATGATGATAATATTCAGGATTTCTTGAAGCTGATTGAAAGCAAGAGAACACTACAAAGTTTCGAACCTAGCAAGAAGGGAGAATCGGCCACTAAAAGAACGGCCGCTCAGCTGTCTAAATTTCATCTTATGCGCGAGTCGAATAATGCGCTCACTGAATCCATGAACTCGTCTATGCAATTACACCGTTCTTCCAGCTCCTCGAGTCGGCAATTAGCCAATGTGCCAGGGATGTCGACATCATCATCTCCGGGGAAACCGTTATCACCTCATACTCCGCATACGCCGGCCATTCCATCACGGTTGAGCGAAAATTCAAGTGTCGACTACGCGCCAACCGCAAGGGTTACGTCGCGGTCGCGCAATGTCGAAGACCTCGCGGAAGAGCCAGTCAGTGTACAAGCCACCCATGAGGGGACTACTGCGATCGATATTCCTACCTCTCCGCGGCCTTATCCGCACGGAAGGCGATCGAGCTCTGTGGCTCATCAAAACCGCGCATTGGTTGACGATGATGATGTGGATGCGCATCGTAGCATCAGTCTCGGCGCGGATGACCGCGAGCCGCCTAGTCTGAGCGTTTTGCTGGGATTAGGTGCTGCTGAAGCTAATAGCGCGGTAGATACGCCCGAGTTACAATCCCCTGCCGATATTAGGGCAACGAATTTGCCGGATACGCTGGGACAGGAATCGGAATCCATCGAACGAGAAGTCCGGCCTCCCGGTGGTCTTTACACTGGATTTTCCAGTTCACCCTATACTAGACGTTATGGCAATAGCATTGGCCGGGGGATAACGCCTCCCCATTCTGGAAGCGGCAGTCTAGCAGGATCCAGTGGTAGATTCGGTAGAGGTTATTCACGCGGAGGCGCTACCGGCTTAGGTGTGGCGGGCAACGTCGCGGACGAGACCGATGATGAGCCCCTTCTTTTCGACATGTCGGAGATCACCCGCGAACAATCACGTCGCAGTCTTGAGGAGGCTAGGGGCGGCGGCAGCGTGGGATCTACAGGTGACAGGGGAGGATACGAAACAAGCCATAGGAGCCGCCGTTGGTAAAAACTTCGTATCCTACTACACCCGCCTACAACCTTATATGGGTATTTCATTTCGTTGAGATAGATTGCTTTGTAATGCTTGGCTTGGTCGTGGATTGATGATATATGCATGGAATAGGAACTCGTTAGGTGGCGGCGGGTTTTTTCATGCTGCTGGACACGGATACGTCCTCTGAGATCTACTGCACCTACAGATTGCCATTGTTGTTTCCTGGATGGCGCGGAAGTTGTTTTGATAGGAGTTTGATGGCATTTGGACGGACATGACTATTCTTGATGAGGGCCGGAGTCTAGAGTGGGGTTTGTGAGGTCCATCATCATATCACGCTCGAGGAAGACCGTCTGGCGTTTTTTGGTCCCGGAACATGGCAGAAGGGTTGGTATTTCTGCATGAGGATGGCCACGTTTGATCTTAAGTTTAGGGTCGCGGATAAGGTGCTATAATACTACAAAGGTAACCGGGGGCACAGTCCCGTCCTGGAGAACGCATCACCTGTAGATGGAATAGAAAGGATATAGTACAACGCTACTAACATGAGACTCTTTTCTCCTCTTAGGGCTGTTTTCATTAGGTTTAAACCTGTATGTATATGAGATGATGGGTATTTACGAGCTGAATCGAAGTACATATATATCTTGCGATCTATCTCGCTGCATATAAATACGCTCTGGGAGGTTTATTAATGCTTAGACCACAGCTCAGGAACCGATGGTAGTTGCGAGTGTAAATGTAAATATGTGTCTTTACCAGCTTTACTACTGGGTTGCCGATATTAAAAACATTAGGTGCCTAACCATCTTCAAAATATTGGATTCTGCCCTTCGTTCCACCTAGGCCGAGAATCGGAAAGTTGAGGCGCAGTAGGATATTGATAGAAATAACAATAGGAATATCCCAACGTCACTGCATCGCGCGTTGCTTAATAAGGACGAGTAGGATACTTCGCTAGCCTAATGGGGCATCCATTGTTCCAAAATCCAGGGTCAGGGCTATCCTGGCACTCGCATTGCCCCATCGCCCCCAAGCCTTGGGGCTTTGAATAGAACGCTAAAGTGCCTAACTTGGCTAAACGGGGTATAGCGTACGGATTATGGCAGGTAAAGAAACAGCAAGCACTGGCCAACGTCATCAATTACACTTTATGTTACCACTCCTCCAGGCTGCAAGCTTTAGTACATGTACCCTTACATATTCCACTATTCCACTATCTCCTTCTTAACATTAACAACTACAACCACGAATTCCCAACGCCACTCTCATACCTTTAAACCGTTCGCCAGGTAGAAAATATCCAACCTAAACCCATACATTAGGTACCTAGGAACGCGAAATCCGACGTTGAAATTAGCGACAATATCCAAGTTATAAGGATTGTCTTTTTCTTCACCCCTCCTGCTGCCCAGCATGTTTCGGGGAACAGCAGTCGGACCATATGACGAAGAGATCGGTAGGTTTGCCCGCAACGTAACCGCATATAGCCCCCAATATATCCATAAACTGACATAGAATTACTCGTAGCCAAGGCGACCGATGAGAATCTCACATCGGAGGATTGGGGGGCCATTATCGAGGTCTGCGACAAAGTAGGGAGCGATCCCAATGGCCCCAATCAAGCGGTTCAGAGTTTAATCAAACGTCTGGCGCATCGCAATGCCAATGTCCAACTCTACACCCTCGAGGTAGGTGGTCTAATAAACCAGTTTCAGTTTCCTTCAGGCTGACCATATCTGGTTCATCAGCTCGCAAATGCGCTCTCCCAGAACTGCGGCAAGAATATGCACCGAGAGCTTGCCAGCCGCGCCTTTACCGATGCCCTACTTAAACTTGCCAACGATCGTAATACCCACCAACAAGTCAAGTTGAAGATCCTCGAAAGGATGAAGGAGTGGTCCGATATGTTTAGCAAGGACGCCGACCTCGGGATCATGTACGATGCCTACTACCGCCTTAAGCAGAGTAATCCGACATTGCAGCCACCCTCGGCTCCACAGAAGACCGGTCTTACCGAGCTAGATCGTCAGAAGGAGGAGGAAGAGCTCCAGATAGCACTGAAGCTATCGTTGCAAGAGGAGGAGAGGAAAAAGGGCACACAACCCACATCTTCTGTCGCAGGACCTAGCTCTAGCGCGGTACCGAGTGCAGCGGCTGCTCCGGTGGAATCAGTGCCTTCTCACCCCACAGGCACGACAGCCGCCACCGTATCGCGAGTCCGCGCCCTCTACGATTTTGCGCCATCCGAGCCCGGCGAACTTGAGTTCAGGAAGGGAGATATTATAGCAGTTTTGGAGTCCGTCTATAAAGATTGGTGGCGAGGCTCGTTAAAAGGCAGGACCGGTATTTTTCCCTTGAACTACGTCGAAAAGCTTGCCGACCCGACCCCCGATGAACTTCACCGCGAGGCGCAAATGGAGGCCGAAGTGTTTGCCGAAATCAAGAATGTGGAGAAGCTTCTTACGCTATTGAGCACTTCTAATGCATCGCCAAGGGAAGAGGACAACGAGGAGATATCAGTATGTCTTAGGCGGTTCGAGTTTAGGCACAGTTGATTGCTAACCACCTTTCTAGAAACTATACCACCAAACACTCGCTATTCGACCTAAACTAATTAAGTTAATTGAGAAGTATTCTCAGAAGAAGGAAGACTTCACGCAACTCAATGAAAAATTCATCAAGGCCCGAAGAGATTACGAGTCACTTTTAGAATCTTCAATGTCCCATCCTCCCCAACCGACTTATCACCAATACGCACCACGACCGCTCATGGCACACGGGTATGGGGTTCCGGGAGGCCCAGGAGGCCCGGGTCCTGGTTCGAACTTCGCTCCTCAGGGACCGCCGCCTAACCAGCAGGAGCCCCAACGATTTTACACCCCGGGTCCTCAAGGACCCCCCCAGCAAGGTATGTAAGATGCAGACATCTTTGAACGAGTCTAGACGGCTCACATATAATTAGAGCAGAACCGATACCAGGCTACATCGCCGCCTCCTAGTTTCCAGCGGCTAACGCCAGCACCTGCTCCCTTCTATCTACAAGGGGCAGAAGTTCCTGCTCAAGCAAGCCAACAGCCACCTCAGCAATATCCGCCAAGAGATCAGCCCTCGCGGATAGCCGCAGGGAAACAGCCTGCTCCTTTACAAACATCTTCTTCTCCGCCGCCGCAAGCTTACCAGGCGTACTCTCAACCCGCTCAAGCGGAACAGCGGCCTCAGAGTACTTACGGCAATCCTCAAGAATTAGCCACGTCGGCCTACGACTCCCCGATTGCAGCCACCCACAATCCTGGTCGACCCGATCCCTATTCCGCATCAGTCTACTCTCAGGAGGACCCTTATGCCACAAGCCCAACGGCTACCGCACCTTCTGCACCCTCAGCCCCTGCCCCTTCCGCCCCGCCGGGACCAACTCAGGGCGTTCCAGCCCCTCTAGCTGTAACATCTTACCCTTCAGCACCCTCCCAGCCGCAATACTCGGCGTATAACCCTAGTGTCCAGCGCCAGGACTCGTATGATGCTCCCTCGCAAATACCCCCTCAACCGACCGGGTTAGCACCTCCAATTCCGCAGGGGGCCCAACCACCGCCGAGCGCAATGACACCCCCGCCTCTTCAACCAGGTGGCACAGCCTTCGATGCCCGGCAGTCACTCCCAAGCCAGGCCCCGCTGAGCCAACCGCAACAGCCGCAATACAAAGCCTACATACCCCCGGGGAATGAGCCTAGCGCACCGCAGGACTTCTATAGGCAAAACGCGGCGTACTAATTTTCAGCGGAAATAATAGTGTTGGTACACATGAATGGGGATTTAGCAAAATTCAGATATCGTGCTAAGAGCTTTGATTTGGGCATGTTGTCAGGGGGAATCCTGGAGGGTTTTAGTTACTAGGCGAGGTTGATTCCCCTATTCATTCCATAGGCTCCCCAAGTTCCAGGGAAGTAGTTTATTAGATAATGGATGTAGTAATTATCGCGAATGATTTAGATGTTTCTTTTATGGTAAATGTGATGATAGTTGTGAATATGTGTTTCATGGAGCGTAGCCTGGGAGATAGAAGAAAGGTTGAGAGATACCTAGGAGGTACCTAGGTAATTTACTCTGCCTATAGGGACGTATCGAGTAGTGTATAATAATACTGGGACGCGGAGACTTGCGCACGGTTAGTATCGCAAAGAAGATGTTCTACTTACTAACCGCCTTTACCATTGGTGCAACGGACCAACCAGAGGCGCTCCGGCTCCAATATACTTGACCGGAGTCGATTTCTCGAGAGCACAGTTGTCCTATCTAAGCAGGCGACTGATTCCTATTTGTTCTTTGTCGTCATCTCGACGTTGAGCGGGAGAGAATTTGTACGTAATTATGCAGCTTATTCCCTTCTATTATTGGGGGTCAGAGTTTCGTACCAGAGTATACTAGGTTAGGAGGTTATTATGTTCGAGACACTTTTCGATCCTCTAATTTAATATTATATTTTGAAGAAGACAATTGCTAACTCATGTTGTTTAAGTGGTTTGCAGCATACACTCAGCAGAGGACTTCTTCCACATCAAGCTCGCGATTCGAGAGCATGTAAAAGAGGGCGGCGTACCGGTGCAGGAAGAGGTCCTGATACATAACTGCCTGAGGAACGAGGTATGGGAGAACCATCGCAAACAGTTAACGGCGCACACTCTAGAAGAATCACTCTTTGTCTTCATTGGTGGTACAATAGCTATATATGCAGAGGCCGATATCCGCGCTGTTATGCTATCTAGTAAGTGCGAGTCGCCTTGTTCAGTCCCAATCAGCGCGACGGATCTTAGCGAAGTCCTCGACGAAACAGACGACAGTAACTACGTGGATGAGAGCGAGGAGAAGGAGCTCGAAGACTGGGACTCATCGAACGAGGAAGAAAAGAGTGGATGTAGCTTGGCTATAGGGGAAAACGCGGAGGGGCTCCAGAAATGGGACGTCAACAGCTCTGTTGAGAACTCGCAGACCCTGTCGTCTACACCATAGTCGTGTCAACCTCCTGACTTGGTGCCCCCTTTTCCCGTATGGTGGGGTTTAATAGTTCGTGTTCTCTCTTACTTAGGTTCGATTAATAAATAAACTATTGGAACATGTCATTTGTATATGTGGAAATACTTTTTAAAGCTACGGTGGGAAAAATGTATTTCGTGATGATACCAATAGAAATAAAACACAAGACAAATACGTTTAGCTTTTAATCTATCGTTCACTTGTATTGTTAGTTCATTAGGTGTTATACCTACCCTTAGGTACTTTTACTTTAATTATAAGTCATTAGTGGTATTCTCTGTTATTCTATTAGGAGTAGAAATGCATATGACATTGAGCGGATGTTGAAATAGGCTATTAAAAATGTAGCTAGACGATCTGGTTACGTATAATATTGATCTTTACCCACAAGTTGAAGGTAAACATCGGAAATCTCCAGCTACAAGTTTTCGAACCAAACAATCAAGGCAATGCCATTTCTCTTACCAAGAGTATGGTGCTGTAAGCTAGGATTGTGTTTAATGAATATGTGCGAGACTTCATAATAATTGAACTTGATAATAGTTCTCATCTTGACGGTACCCTTTTACATTCAAAGATAAATGCTCATATATCGGTGTTATTCGTACTCCTTTGCTTTTTCCCGTTCTGTGGCTTCAAGGAGGCGACGCTAAGCATTCTAGAGACATCTCCTGTCTTTGTCCCCACACGACGTCAAAGGCTGTTTCTACATTGAGGTCTTGGCTTCCTCGGGGGAGGCACACCGATGAGATCGGCATCTTTAGTCAGGCCACTACGTTGAGATCTATGGCTCGGGAGACGGGACCGTCTGTTAGGTAAACTCGGGACGAGTAGTGGAGACGGGGAGACCGGCAGTTGTTTAATCAGGGTCCAGAAGGCTGACAATACGAGCGACTAAGAGAATCAACGACATCCCTCTCCGGAAACGTTTCAGCTCAAATCGAGCCAATAATTACATCAACGATCTTATTCTCGACATTCTCTAGAACCTTTTTGGCCCGTGTTTCACACGTTATATGCTCTTCCCGGTCGAGCGGCTCGTATTCTACCCTGTAAGAGAAATACTAGCACAACTACAAAAGGGGAAATATCCCAAATTAGTAATGCTCGCGCCAGCTGAGGCTCCATAGGGCTTTGGAACTCGCATTGTATTGATGCAATGACGTCGATCCTATCGTGGCAGCTAGCATAGCTTATTTGCCTTCATGGAGATAGATGTCTTCTTCGTTGGAGCCCATAACCCACGAAGGGGTATAAAGAATCACACTCCCGCTGCTCTCCAGCTTGGTTTTTTTTCGTTCTTCATCAGACAGACGAAATCACCAATCTACCTACTCACTCACCTACTATATCTCCCACTTCTCGACTTCCAAACCCAACTAAACCATCAAGATGCGTTTCACCGCCACCGCAGTCACCGCCCTCCTCTTTGGAGCCAATGCTATGGCCCAAGACCTGAATTCCGAGGACGTTTCCATCGCCGACTTCATCGTCCATAAGGCGGGTGCCAGCGGTGGCTCTGCCGGCATTGTAGACGGTGTCTCCTTCAAGCTGACAGGAAACGACGCCACGGACCTCAGCTGCTCAGCCACTGCCGACCAGATCACCGACGGCGTGCCCACCGACGTCATTACTTGCGGCGACTCCAAGTACCGCTTCGCGCTTGTCGGAAGCCCCGACTACTCGACCTTTATTCTCCAGGTCTTCCACGAGCTCGGAACTGCGTAAGTTTTCTTTATCTTCGTACTACCCCAGATGCAGCCAAACTAATAATATTGAAACAGTTCCGGCTTGTCCGGCCAAGGCACCATTGGTACCTACTGCCGCTCAGGTGGCCTCGACAACGTGGTCTGCACCCAGGCCCAGTCCCCTACTACCATCCACCTCGACAGCCTTCCCCAGTAAAGGGGCTCGTCGAGCTCATGTTTGGAGGATATTGAAGCTTACGTGCGTATGAAGTATGAGAGGAAACCTTGGTGTTCGCCTGTAGATATGTATTTAGAGATAGTTTAGCACGCGAATCTATCGCGTCTTGCTTATAACTCTTATTTCCTGCGTGCTCGTTCGTGATTAGCGTTGTCTTTGATCATCAGGTTCTACCGATGGTCAACTTGATATTATGGCTCAATGTACGAAGGTTGGGGCCAAAAGTCTTGCACATGTCCAAATCTTGGCATCGATTTTCGTACGTTTCTTAACTTATTAATACTGTATTAGCCACACGTGAAGTTGAAGGTCGGATAGTGGCTTGTTTACTAAATTTAGGTGGCTTACCACTATATTTATTTGAGTAATGTTATTTCAATAGTAGTGGTATTTCAATAGTATTCAATTTCAAGGCTAAATCGGCAGTAGCCACATCATCCAGCCACAATTGGGAGTCACGCGGGAGTCGCATAAGTACTACATGTATTCCCATACAAACTTTCCTGGCCGCGCATGTATCTTTTATGTTAACCACGCGTAATCCCCAATCTTTTAAGATGCACCTACATGTAGCAAGCAGCCTTATATAATATAGCTACCATGTTTTCAGCTTTTTTACCTCGCAATGATTGTATGCGACCGTATAATCCTTTAATAGATGTATGCGACCGAGTAAAAGCAGTATAATAAGACGTATGGGCCTTGCATCTTAATTAAATTGAATTGAATAAGAGGCTGTACGAGAGGGTATAAGATAAGGGTATTGCTAGGTATTATAAAGCATGTACAAGATGAATGAACATAAGGTACGAAAAGATACTAGAAAAATTGTATGGCGGGGTACGTACCTGCGGTTTGCCCCACTTTGACTGTGGCTACTGCTTGAAATTGAATACTATTGAAATACCACTACTATTGAAATAACATCACTCTATATTTATGGCGATATTAGCCACTATAGCTTAAATAAGAGCAACACTAAATAGGCAGTACGACCCGTACTAAGTAGGCAGTATGCGGGGTTGTCATGTACCACCAAGTACCTCGCCCCTCATACAAATTCGCTACTATACACTTGTACTATCTGGCAAGTCTTAACCACCCCACCTTTCAAAGGATGCACGCCCTCCCATTGGCTAAATTCCACACCGCCTGCCTGGCAATACCCTTATCTCGCACCTTATCTCGCACCTTATCTCTTACAACCTGTCGTACAGCCTCTTGTTCAATTCAATTCAATTCAATTCAATTTAATTCAATTACAACGCAAGGCCCATACGTCTTACTATATTGCTTTTACTCGGTCGCATGCGTCAATCAAATCGCATGCAGTCATTTCGAGGTAAAAAGGCTGAAATCGAGGTCCTAATGTAAGGTCTGGAGGTAAGTATGAGGCTGTATTGCACGAGGCTTTGGGGAGATTAGCAGGTTTGGCAGCGCTATCATAAAAGGTACATGCGCGGCTAGGTGAATTGTATGGGGGATACAAGTAGTACTTGTGCGATACCTGCCGACCCCGCTATCCATGCAATTATGCGGTAGATACTGCCTACCTAGTACGCCCCATACTGCCTATTTAGTGTTGCTCTTAAATAAGACCGTGCAGTCTCTTTTTACTCGCACGTGGCTTTGCCAAGCTTAGATGTGCAAGACTTTTGGCCCCAACCTTCGTATATATCTAAGCATAAAGCTTTTTATTTGAATTATGTGGCCATTGAATATGAGTGGTACATGTAGTGAGTGTTACTGACTCTTGAAAAATACTGAAATAAATTGCAAATCAGTTAAGTCACTGAAGTATATTAGGTAGGTACATATATACATGTTACATAGGTACATATGTGTGGCTAATGAGACGGCTGCCTGGAATTCGTGGCTCAAAAGAGGGGAGATAATGGGACCGATAAGGTTTTGGTTGGCCGGGCAAATTATGTCATTAGGTGGTGCAGAGTAAACAACATTTCCACATTTCCTTAAGCATAAGGCAGCAGTTGACGCTTTGCTTTAAAAACTAAACAACGCCCTTTGACGTTGGAGAGCATAGGTACAGTACCTTATGCAATAAATAAATTTGTTACTTTTTAAAATTGAATTACTCCTCCAGCTTCGGTTATTAGGCAGTTAGACTTTGGATAACTTTCATGAGGTCTGTTTATTAACCCATCGTGAACCCCCCACTTCGCAACCCGAGTACTCACGGCCAAGGCAGAAAACCCGGTGATCACTTTGGAGTTAGACCTAGAAACGACCTTAAGTCGGCTGATACGCCTCTTTTGAGTGAAAAAAGGCAGGCTGAACATACTACATGGACAGAGAGTTGGATTGCAACTAGCCGCATCGGACCATCGCGATCTAGTCCAACCAAGACACGAAATCGACACACGAAAGACGATTTTCAAATTAGAATAGACGGCGAGGAGATAACAAATTCGATTACAACCGATTCCGACCCTATAGCACTGCCTTGGTGGAATTATTCAACCATGGTCAAGGAGCAAGCTCCGCCTAAGGCGCCATTGCGTCCATTAAGTTCTAACAAAACAAATGGCAATACGCAAACCCAGACTTCAAGTGAGCCCGACCAGAAAGTACCTGGATTTGGGAATATGAGTGCGGGAGGCTTCACATCCGTTAACAACTCTGCGGCTACAAACGCGGCCTCGAAGCCTGCCGTTAAATCACGAGTACTCTCAGGAAACATGGAAGACAAATACGCAAACCTCTTTATTCAACCCAAGAACCGTCCAGAGCACCATCGCCCTCAACGAATCACGGGCCCATTGCAGCCTTCTTATAAGGATAAGAAGCCGCCCCCAGCCCCTATGTTCAACACAATGCAACCCGACCCGGCAGGTTCGGCTAGTAACCCGATCTCGGTTCCGGATGGCGCCCCAGTTTCGATATACAGTCAACCTGGAGTTTTCTCCACATATGTTGACCCTAAAAAAGCTGCTGCTGACATCAAAGCCTTACTTGAGGGCTCCATAGAAGACGAGGAAGGCGAGGAGGCGAAAGAAGAAGATGGTGAAGATAAGTCACGCGTGGAAGGACTCAGTGTTCGACTCCTACCGCATCAGGTCGAGGGAGTAGAGTGGATGAAAGGTCGCGAACTGGGTCCCGTAAAGAAGGGTAAAGTACCCAAGGGTGGTCTTCTTGCAGACGATATGGGCCTAGGAAAGACATTGCAGTCTATAGCGCTGATTCTAGGCAACAAGAAGCCAGCAGATAAGCACCCAGGAGTTGAAAAGACAACTCTAGTCGTTGCACCTTTGGCTCTCATCCGTCAGTGGGAGGCGGAGTTGAAGGAGAAGGTGACTGAATCCCACAAGTTGAAGGTCCTTGTGCATCACGGCCCGCAACGTACCAAGAGGTTTGAAGACCTCCGTCGATACGATGTAGTCATCACCACCTACCAGATTCTCGTATCTGAACATGGCCACACCACAGATACCCTAAAAACCGGCTGTTTCGGTTTGCATTGGTACCGCGTCATCTTAGATGAAGCACACACGATCAAGAATAGGAACGCCAAGGCCACAAAGGCCTGCTACGAACTCCGAAGCGTATATCGTTGGTGTTTATCAGGCACGCCAATGCAAAACAACTTGGATGAATTGCAAAGTTTAGTGAAGTTTCTCAGAATCAAACCTTACGACGATCTTCGAGAGTGGAAGGATCATTTTGAAATACCGATGAAGGGTGGTAAGGGAGATGTCGCAATGCGACGTCTTCATAGCCTGCTGCAGTGTTTCATGAAACGAAGAACCAAAGATATCCTAAAGAAGGCCGGTGCTCTTAATGCTAATGGAAAGCCAACTAAAGAGGGCGAGGAGAGCACATCAAGCTTTAAGGTCACGGAGCGAAAAGTCGTAACGGTCGCCGCCGAGTTCACACCAGCAGAGAGGCGGTTTTACGATAGACTGGAAAAGCGAACAGATAAGAGTATCGAGGCAATGATGAAAAGTAAGCTTAATTATGCTAGCGCCTTGGTACTTCTCCTGCGTTTAAGACAGGCCTGCGATCACCCAAAATTAGTTGAAGGCAAGCTCGAAAAGGACAAGGACGCCTTATCTGAGGAAACGAAGCCAAAGAAGAATGAAGCAGACGTCGACGCCCTTGCAGACCTTCTTGGTGGACTAGACGTTGAGACGAAGCACTGCGACATATGTGGCTGGGAGCTTGACCGCGAAAGCCGCCAGCCCGGCACAGACAAATGCAAAGCTTGCTACGAAGATTTAGAGTACTTTAAGCATCACGAAGATGGTGGACAGCTAAAAGCACCAAAGACGAGAACAAGAAAAAAGAAGACCAAGACCAAGGTTAAGAAGGTGGTAGTTGAAAAAGTCAAGGCTGAGGTTGTCAAGAAGCGTAAACCCAGGAATCGCCGTGCAATTCTCGATAGCGACGATGAGGACGAAGAGGCAGATTGGATCGTCTCTGACGACGAGCAGGGTCCACTACGCTTGGGAAAAGCAGGTGGCACGGATGATGAGAATGCCGAGGGCGATGGCGAGACTATCAACTCAGACGATTCGGAAGAAGAGGAAACGCAAGATGGTAGCCAGCTAGGCAGCTTCATTGTAGACGATGGGAAGGATACGAAGCCTGAAGAGCTACAGCGGGCTTTGGAAGAATCAGATACCGAGGACGAATCCATCTCAGTGATTCAATCTAAGATGCGCCGAACAAAACTAAAAGATAGCGAAGACGAGAGCGAGGAAGGCGATGAAGAGGACGAAGCGGAAGACGCGGACTCGGAATCACAATCCGATTCTGAAGCTGATGATACGGGTATATCAGAGTCCGAAATCGTCTCAGATTCTGAAGACGACGTCGTCTACTCCCGCTCTGGCCGGGAGAAGGAGAAGACACCCCACGTGCTCGCGTCAGCCAAAATCCGCCAGCTCATCACGTTGCTCCAAAAGGAAGTGCACGAACACAAATTCATCGTCTTCTCGCAGTTCACCAGTATGCTCGACCTAGTGGAACCCTTCTTCCGCAAGGAAGGTATCAAGTACACGCGATACGATGGGAGCATGAAGAACGACGCGCGAGAGGAGGCACTAAACAGTTTGCGAAATGACCCGCGAACCAGAGTCCTCCTTTGCTCGCTGCGGTGCGGTGCGCTGGGCCTTAACCTTACTGCGGCCAGCCGCGTCATCATCCTCGAGCCTTTCTGGAACCCATTCGTCGAGGAGCAGGCTATAGACCGAGTGCACCGGCTGACGCAGACCGTCGACGTAGTCGTATACAAACTAACGGTCGAGAACAGCGTCGAAGAACGTATCCTAGAGCTCCAGGAAAAGAAACGACTCCTCGCTGAGGCTACCATCGAAGGCGGCGCTCGCAAGGAGAGCCTCAAACTCGGCATCAAGGAGATGATGGACCTATTTAAACATGTCGGCCGTGGTAGCACCGGAGGCGACTACAGTGATGACGACGAGAGGTTCAATAGCGTTGTGCGCCAGGACGTCACGAGGTCGCTTGCGGCTATGCGAAGTAAGAACTCTAGCTCAAAAGCCTCGCGCGGGAATGAAAGCTCGGTTTACGGACGTCGGTGGTAAGGGCAATACTCGGGTGACGAGTACGCTAGGTCCCGGCGGCGTTTAGAGGACAGCTTTGCTAGCTGGCTAGTTGAGGATGCTACTCTTTGCCAGGCCAGTATTTGATGAATTGTATAATGAGTATCGGATTAATACGATGGGAGTGTGCGTGCAGATTATAGGGGTTCGGATGGTCTGGTTTTATTCACCTTTGGTTAGAATTGCTAGGAGAATACACTTATTCTTCATCCGACCTAAGTCTTCAAATAAGAGCATATACGCGCGAAAATCATCACTAAATTCGTGATAAATGAGGGTAAAGAATTTCTTGATTATATGGTCAATTTGCATTTGGACTTTGCATTACGATTAGTTGTCTCGTGCATTGCCTTGTGAATTGTCTTGCCCGTTATGCCAAACCCCGGTCTTTGCACCTTTTTACATGAGTCTATCTACTCAGTCTACTTGCAAGCCGAAGAACCAACTTTATAGATTCAACTCCGTTGTGTAGGTATTTATTAGCCCGGGAAAAATGCTAATCACATCCAAGACCCTGCCAGCGCTAAAAGTATTATCTCGATTTCAGTTCCGCTCCCTACTAAGGCTGCGATGAACTGGCGCATCAGCATCAGCTCGCGAGACCGACTCGTCAAGGTAGAATTTCAGTACGTGGTCTGGGATGGCAAGGTGTGTAGTCTGCTCGAACTCCTGCAGGCTTGTCAAGCGGAGCATCATTTCAAGGAGTGAAAGCGAGGTGTGGATGGCGCCGAAGGGTGATCGTTCAAGTAGGTCTTCGTCGAATTTCCCGTTGTCGGGGATGAGTGCGCCGTCTGAGGTTCTAGAGGATGACCGTGAGGGTGTAGAGGCTATGCTCATTCGGTTGAGCTGGGTTACTAGATTTGAATCGGCGGATGGACGCGTGCTGTTTTTCAGCCGGCGGGGGATGTTGGAGCTTGAATGTTGATCTTTTCCTATTCTATATTCATGTTCGTCTTCAGGCGTGTGGTCATCCTCATCATCTGTGGTGCCATCGTCGTCGTCATCGTCCATTTCGTAAACCTCTAGAGCTATCCAAGCAGGATCAAGGTCCTGTGGAAGCCTCCAAGAATCAGAAGACATCTCGGATTGAAGTTTATGTGCTGTTCGTGTACCAGCCTTGGTGATCACGATTTCTTGGCGAAGTTGCCGGTCTATTTCGTCCTGAGAATCGCCCTCTAAAGTGCCGTCAGATACGATACTCTCGTCTAGGCCTTCGATTAGATGTTGTTGGTCCTCCGGAAGTATATCGGGTTGTTGCCCCTGATTCGGAGGTATAGCCTTTACGTCTCTTTTAAGTAATAATACGGGGCTACTCGAGGCGCCATCTTCATTATTTATGTTCAAAATCCGTCCAACATCTGCATAGAACATCTTTGAAATCTGGTGGACTGGAATAAATTCTCGTATCCCAGCATTGGGGACGCCCTCGTAAGAACTTGGACGAGGACTGCCGTCTTCGACTGTGTGGACGCGTCCGTCATCCAGGTCCTCCACAATTTGAAGTTGGTACGCATAGCTTACATAAGAGGTGTTATGCTCTATGTTGCTATTGATTCCAGGGAAATTATCCTCGAGTGGTATCCTACGGAGCCGGACTCGGGCTTTATGGATTACTTCCTGCCATACCGGTTTACGCTGTCCCTCTTCTATGCCGTACGGCTCTGCCGTATCTTCAGGAGAAGCATGGGCACGAAATAACATGTAGATAGACAGCATAAAGTCTGGGCCGATCTGCATGGGCCTGCCTGGGTTGAGAATGTACTGAGTATCGCCAACATTCACAAGCATGCTAGCCTGTAATAAACGGGAGGGTGAAAAAGCCGATTGTTGGGTTTGAATACCTCCAATTGCAGACACCCAAAGGTTGATGAGAGGTATGGAATCATCAATGTCTTCGATTAGCTGTTTGATGTCTGTAATGATGCTCTTCACTTCGATACTACGCATAGAAGCAGTAGCAGCGGGGCCCTTAGCTTTTCCATTTTGGCGAGATTGGTCTGCTAAGGCAGCAGCTTCGAGACGTTTTCCCAGCGAGTCAACATTGGCCCGTAGTTCTTGTGCTGTCTGAACTACGGCTTCTAAAGTTGAGTTCCCTCGAGCATAACGAAACTCGATAGATTCGAGTATAGGGGAGATGAGCTATTGGAGAGGTTAGCGACGGTTGATGAAATTAACACACGACAAGAGTGTATCGGTGAGGAGCCTACATTCAGCTAAATATGACTTACCTCGATCTTGCGAGCCAACCGTCGTTGTAGGTGGCTCAATTCGGCCCGTAGAGGGTCGTCGTCAACGGTCTAGATAACATTAGATTAGGTTAGCTTGGGTACATAATAAGATATGAGGTATGAGGTATGAGGTATGAGGTATAATAAGATGTAGGGGATATAAGGTAATAATGCTTAATGAGGTTGAAATAAGAAGTTGAGGTGATAAATAAAATAATGAAGTAAATAATGTAAATAATTCATACTTTAAGTAATCTTGAACCTTGCTGGACGACATAAGTTGAAGTTAAAGCGAGACAAGACCTGATAGCGTAATTGGTAGCGTGGTAGGATAGCTTGGCTAGGAATGCATCCATGGCAGAGTATCATCAGTGCATGTAACTCAAGATTAGGCGGTAATTTGTTTATTATTGTCTTTCTCCAATGTCTTGCTCCAACCGCATCCGCAAAAAGGTATGCATGCATGAAAATGAAAAACTGTTAGATTGCCCCCCATGAAGGGCAATGAGTAATGCCTTAAAAGGTAGATGTCCGTGCTTGGAATGAATATGCATGAATTCACGGCCGTAGTAGTAAAGTTGAGGTTGATTATGTTTAAAGGTGAACGGAACGCGTACATACCGGACATACGAAGCTCGATTATCCAATGTAGTTAATAAACGGAAAGTCTAATGTTTGTTTAGTACATAACTCGTGTTGATATCCTTATCGTATCTATCGTATCTATCTATGTAAAAGTAAAAGCGCACAAACTAATAAAATTCCACAGTTTATTACTGAAAACAGCACGGTTGCCTGAATTGACGTGCATGCCTAATACTTAGTTTAGGTACAATTCATACTTCCTTCTCCGTCATTGGCGGGGCAAAAATCTCTCTCACCCCGCTAAAGCTGCAACACTTCTTTGACTTTGCCGCAACACCGCGACGCTACAACGCAATAACCAAAGTCTGATATTAGGTTTTAGGCACAGGGCACAGCCTTACCGGTGAGTCAAGACGTCAATACTAGACGTTTGACTTGCTATTTATTTTGTCCTTCATTGCCAATATCCACAATAACGTGAAATTTCACGGTCGCACAACTACGAATTGCTAGCCCTCAAATTCCTGACATCTGACGTCCAATTTTCTTCCTCGATACAACCCGTCGATTTCGAACCTTTTCCCATAAATATTATCGACGATACATAGGAACTTATATAGTAATTGGAACCATGGCCGATCTCAACTCTTGGGAGGACGATCCTGCTGCCCAGGACGACAATTTGTCGAGGCAGGCTCAGCAGCTGAACCTCAATAACCAACCTCAGAACCCCGCCGCCGCATCATTCCGACCTGGCGCTGCGTCCTTTCAACCTACTGCCCAGTCTTTCCAACCAGGCCAAGGTTATGGTGGTGGCTATGCTCCCAACTATCAGCAAGGTTACTATGGCGGTGGCCAGAATTACTACCCTCAATATGGTGGACCTCAAGCCGGCTACGGTCAATACGGCCAGGGATATGGTAACGTCTACGGACAAGGTGGATATAACCAAGGATACGGTATTATCTACACTCCAGGTGATATTGTTATTTACTAACATTAGTAAGGGCAACAACAGCAACAGCAACACCAGCAATATGCTCAATATCAGCAGCCTCAATCCCAACAGAAATCTCAGCAACAAGCCCAGCAACCCCAAGCTGTGCCTACCATTGCTAAGCGAGGCGACCAAGGCGCATCTACTACTACTGCTACGCCCACCTCTACTACTTCCGACGCACCTAAGCCAGTAGCTAAGCAAGAAGGAGGAACTAAAGTCTTGAGCATAGGTGGAGACCCTCCGAAGCCTAAGGCCGCTAAGGTCCTGTCGATCGGTGTTCCCGCACCGCCAAAAGACGAGCCCAAGTCCGAGAAAGCCGACAAGGAAGCATCTGCCGACGCCGGTTCTAAATTAACAGCAACCAAAGCCATTGAGAAGACTGGCGAGCCTACCAAGTCGCCCAAGACTGCAAGTGGCAAGACATCACCAACGCCCTCATCCGGGCGCTCGAGCCCTTCCAGGGCAAGCAAAGCAGCTGCCCGCGACGCCGACGCCGTCGCCAACGAACAGGCCGCTGACGTCGATGAAGAGACCCTGAAGGAAATCTACGGAAAGGAACATATCAATATCATCTTCATTGGTCACGTTGATGCTGGCAAGTCGACCCTCGGTGGTTCTATTCTATACGCGACTGGTATGGTCGATGAACGTACGATGGATAAATACAAGCGTGAAGCGAAAGACCTGGGCCGAGAAACATGGTACCTATCCTGGGCTCTTGATTTGACCAAAGAAGAACGATCGAAGGGAAAGACAGTCGAAGTCGGTAGAGGGTTCTTCGAAACTGAGAAGCGGCGATATAGCATTCTAGATGCCCCCGGCCACAAGACTTATGTCCCGAGCATGATCGGAGGTGCTTCCCAGGCAGATATCGGCATCCTCGTTATCAGTGCGCGCAAGGGAGAGTACGAAACCGGTTTTGAGAAAGGTGGGCAGACCCGCGAGCATGCCATGCTTGCCAAGACCCAAGGTGTCAATAAACTCGTCGTTGTTATTAACAAGATGGACGATCCTACCGTCAACTGGTCCGAAGAGAGATACAAGGAATGTACTACCAAACTAGCACAGTTCCTTAAGGGCACTGGATACAACCTAAAAACTGACGTCTTCTTCATGCCCATCGCCGCCCAACAAACGATGGGTATCAAAGATCGTATCCCGCCAGGGGTTTGCCCTTGGTACGATGGACCTTCCCTGTTAGAATATCTCGATAACATGCAAGCCCTTGAACGCAAGACCAACGCGCCGTTCATGATGGCAATTAGCGGAAAGTATAAGGATATGGGTACCATGGTTGAAGGCAAGATTGAAGCCGGTGTTTGCAAGAAGGGTATGAGCTTGATCATGATGCCGAATAAAGAGAAGGTCGAAATTGCGGCTCTCTATGGTGAGACAGAAGATGAGATACAGATTGCTCAATGCGGTGACCAAGTCCGAATACGCCTTCGAGGTATTGAAGAAGATGACATCTCAGCCGGTTTCGTGCTCTGCTCGCCGAAACGTCTCGTTCATAACGTATCGGCTTTCGAGGCCCAGATCAGAATTCTCGAACTGAAGAGCATTCTCAGTGCCGGCTTCAACTGTGTCCTACACGTTCATTCCGCAGTCGAAGAAGTAACTTTTGCCGCATTATTGCACAAGCTACAGAAGGGAACAGGCAGGAAGAGCAAGGTACCGCCGACGCATGCGAAGAGGGGTGACAGCATAATCGCCAGGATGCAAGTTACGGGTGGCGCCGGTTCGGTCTGCGTCGAAAGATTTGAGGATTACCCGCAAATGGGCCGCTTCACCTTGAGAGACCAAGTACGTTATTCTTTCGGTTATTGCTTATTTCTAAATATTAACTAACTTACTCAGGGTCAAACTATTGCTATCGGCAAAATCACCAAGCTTATCACGGATGATTCCGCTTAGAGATCGAGAAACCAGAGTGATGAAGCCTAAGGACGATAGCTACGGCTTGATATAGTCGCCACAAGATTAGAAGAAGGAAGGGAAGGCTTCATTTGATGGAAGACCCCGAAGGGGCTTGTGGGCAATGCCACCCGTTCATAATGAATTGTTTATAACTCATTACATGGGCATGAAGCGGCGGAAATAGACCTACATATACTCAATAAAAGCCACTCCCTCCGAAGCAAAATATTAATTGTCATTTCTTTAAGCTTAATAGAGTGATGAAAAATCGGAAGGAATTTTGAAATTCCTTCTTATGGACCGGTTATTCTGGGGTTTTGGCGGGACAATCCCTTACTCTACCCGGTTAAGACGTACGCTTTCTACATATATCTCTTCTATTCAAAGACCTATCTCCTTTCCTTATTTTTAATCAAGGTGGAATACACGGTGGTGTGTGTATTAGCCATAGCGACAATAGTATTAATTCCGTGTGTTAATTCTACAGTCTTCTCGATAGCGACGTAAGTTCGATGTCAGACTATAATAATGCCGATTCGATCTACTGTTAATTCAAATGGCATGTGATCTCACATATTATAAACGTACAGGGCTGTTATGATATCGCCTCGGCTTCTGCGGGGGGATCACACGCACCCGACGATACGAGCAGCGAACATTCCGGGCTGACAGAAAGGGGTGGTCAGCACTTAATCGCGTACATGGACGACGCTTACGAACGGTGCAGGTATATATCATCGGGAGCTAGAGTATTACGTGACCATCCTTCGCGCAGATCGAAGCGTGTCTTACCCGCAGCAGGATATTATTGTTGGGCACATGGATCGCTTATCGACACCGGCTTAGGCTCTCGATCTTGCTTAGTGCCGGGCATATGATCCGCGGATCTAATAACGGGGGTTTCTTCCGCGGCCCCCCCTTCCACGCAATACCTACGCTGCAGGTGAGCGGATAGGGAGGAAGCCGGTGGACTTGGTTGAAACTGGGTCCTCGGGAACGTAACTAACTCCACCCTCGTGCCGTTGAGGACTCGAGATGTGTTGTGTCGTGCCGTAGTAACCTCGTGTGCGGGCGCGTAAGGGTCGATCCTATAGGGTCTGGGCTCTGTGCGGCATTGCTCTACTTTTATGTTATACAGTTCTGTGCTTGTGGTGCATTCGGCAGAAGTGGAGGCAGGGACTGCCGGCTCGGTTCGTGAGAACCATGTTGTGGAGATTCGTGATGATATGACAGGTAAGTTACTAGAGCGACGCCCCGTCCGGAAATAAGAAGTGATACTAGTAGAAATGTTCTAGTGCCATATCGATGTCATACATGTTTCAGTTTTGGCCTCAAAGGCGTTCTTGGGGGAATATTGGGGAAAGGGGGTTGTAGTTTATGATATACTAAGGTGTTGTATTCTTATCACAAGATCTCATAACACTAATATCACTATTTGATGAAGCATCGAGGATAGCTAAATTCCCATAATGCAACAAGTAAAATAACGCCACTGGCCCATGGATATAAGACATTGTAATAGGACATCGTAATAGCAATTGCAATGATAACAAGAACATGCTACACAGATAGCCCCTTCACAGCTTGCTTTGAGGTTTGGTTAATGCAAGTTTCGAGGTGAGCGTTTCTTCTGCCTCCTTCTCGATTCTAGTCAGCAAGGCAGCACATGTCGGTATGTCATGGATAAGACCAATAACCTGCCCAGCAGTCCAGACCTATCATCCAACTTGGTTAGCAATCTTAACGGGGAGAAGGGGAAGTTCTGTGTGACTTACGCCAAATTCAGGATCTCCATTTATGAAGACTTCCCGGCCTCGTTTGCCACTCACCAAGGGGGCAATTTCGGCAAATTCGCCCGTCTTACTCTCCTTTTCGGTCTTGACAATCTGGTCGGTGACCTTGTTGCGATACAGCCGGGTAGTATTGGTCCAGCGGCGCATTACCAAAGCTGTGTCAGTTTCCTGGGCCTTGACGATCTGCTCCTTGATGTTCTGGTGGATGGGCGCCTCGACGGTGCACATGAAGCGGGTGCCCATGTTGATACCTTCGGCACCAAGACATAGGGCGGCTGCTAGACCTTGGCCATCGGCGAAACCTCCCGAAGCGATGAAGGGCACCTTGAGTGTCTGACGCGCCTTGGTGAGTAAGATAAAGTTGGTGATGTCTGACTCGCCCACGTGTCTGCCCATCACGACGCGCGTTTTAGCTATGCAAACGACTAAAGCGAGTAAAGGCCCTGATAACGGGGCTTATTGGTGGACTTACCCTGCGCATTCGAAACCATCTATGGAAAGGAAATCGACACCGAGCTTGACAGCGCTCTGTGCGTGCCTGATTGTGGTGCATTTGTGGAGGATAATGATGCCAGCCTTCTTCAGCTTGGAAATAATAGGACCAGGGCTGTTACCAGCAGTCTCGACTATCTTGACGCCCTCGTCGATGACGACTTGGGCGTAGGCGGCATAGTCTGGGGGTACAAGAGTAGGCAGCAGTGTGATATTGACGCCGAAGGGATTCTTGGTCATCTTTCTACACCGCCGAATTTCACTTCTCAGATCCTCGGGTGACGGCTGGGTGAGAGCTGTGAGGATACCCAAGCCTCCCGCGTTGGAAACAGCAGCGGCCAACTCAGCATATCCAACATGCTGCATGCCACCTTGTACGACAGGAATCTTGATGCCCAGGCGGCGCGTCAGCTCGGTGTCGAAAGGCATCTTCGCGTTATGACTGGCCGCCTTGTGTTAATCACTGATTACAAACTATACTTTTATCCCGAGAGCCACAATGTAATTGTGCTACTATTACGGCGGAGTTGAGGAGGAGGAGATGTGGTGAATTAATAATGCATAGGTTAGGTAGAATCTTGATTGAATTGAATGTTGATAACATATGTAGAAAGACCGCGACGAAACCCGGACGCTTATAAGAATGGAACGGCGAAGGAGGTTGTAAGATGCCGAGGTAGGCTATTCCCCGGACCCATATATTAAGCCATGACTAGTAACATTAGGTACCTTAAGTACATACCTCCAGCTACCTTACATATGTGAAGCAGGTCACAGTATGTATAGTTGACCTTGGGTAATCTGGAATGTATAGACTGATTTATTTACAGTTAAGATAATTAATTTATTCACGAGCACTATTTAATATTTTAAGTGTTTAATTATTCTTAATTGCTAGGTTAAGTTGTTGTACATGTAGCAACTTAAGTTCCAACCAGTAGTTATAATATGTAATTCCTTCAATTCTGGCGCGCCGGGATTCATACTATACTACCTCTGTCCCAATCGGGGGAAATAAATACATAGATAGAAAGAGACCCTCGGTAAACCCGGGCATGCATGTGCTGGCGCCCACGTGCAGTGCAAACGGAATCCGGGGTTATCTGTGGCCGAACTTTACTATGGTTTTCAAGGTTATAGTGGGGAACCCTCAGCTCTTGACATCGGAATTCGTTCCTTTCATATTCCTTTCGTATTAATGCAACCTCCAAGTCAGATTGATGCATCTTGATTTCACAACAAAACCTACAGACCTCAACTTTAGCAACTACCTATGGCTTAAGACTCACCACCTTCAGTAAAATATCGCCTCGTTACTTTAAGGTATCCAATTGAAGACTTATTTCTATATTTAGATTGATCACTTATCGTCTGATGCAAGCACACATGGCCCGGATGATTCCTCGTTATTCCCATCGCCTCATCTAGATTCTAGGCACAGATTCGACTTATCACTTATCAGTCTAGCAGACGAATCTGAAAGACGACGAGATAGATGTGCTGTATGGCGGCGGGATGTTAGCCGGACGACGGGTGGCAACGGGAACTACTCCTACTACTCCTCAATGCCGTGTCACTATCCGTTTGTCGTACTCATACCGCGCCTTAGAATATGCGGGCAGCTTTCCCTTCTAAGACCTCTGCTTCAAACTATTACGCCTGTGACCTGCTATTTCTCTGAGGATGCGTTTAAAAGCCACGCCTCTGCACAAACGATGCCTACACGGGCTGTTGAGTTTCAATAGTTGCCCGACGTAGAGCTCCGACGGGACGGCGGAAGCGGCATGCTCTAATCCGCAACTGGCCCTCCTTGATATCTTTCGTATTGCTGGTTTCCGAGAGCTGGTACCCTTCGTGCTTCGTTGGCATGGTTCGAGAAGTAGTGCATGAGTGCTGGATTCATCTCTTTAACGACGAGAATACCTATTATGATAGCTCTGCGCGGCCCAATCACCATGGTCCATAGCGATGCCTGGTACTCAGCTTCATTTTTTTTCGCGAGGCAGGAGAGTCACCTACGCACCGCCACATTAGCCTCCAGCACTCGCGATTATGCGGAAGCCATTGGTCATTTCTATTAGCAATCACTGACGTCTTATTAGCTATTTTTCGGTGTCGCAGTTATCGTGGCACGTCGATCTACTACTGACTGTTTTTAGTTTCATTCGTCAGGTTTCTGAGCAGCTCTTCTGACACTTTGCCTCATTGCTAGATACCTAGCCTTAAAGCCAACGGGAAGTATGCGCTCTGCCTACTCCGCACGCCCTTGCAGCCAGGCACTATTGTGCCTGGATAAGGCGAGTGTTAATAATGGATCTACACAAGGATGTGGCCCTCCACATCAGCACGGAATGCATGGGTCTGCTCGTTGTAGCCCTTATGTACATAGGCACCAAGTCTCTCGGCCGAGCAACTGTAACCTTTAATCAGTCTGGACTTGGTACGTATGATACGGGGCTTCTGCATTCGTTTTAGTGCGACGCCTTTCCACGTTGCTCTGTATCCGACGATCCATACTGGCGGGTCCGATAATCAACGGTTACACGTCTTATGCTCTCCGGCGTGCATACAAACCACTAGTAGGACAAGATTACTTGTTTATCAAGTCGGAGACGCGCAGCGAGACTAAGGTACGGAGGACTAGCACACGAAAAGGATACAGTAGAACATACACTTGCCTTATCTGATACCACATACATGAGTATCATGATTAGGTTGTGTTTAAGTCAGTCAGTCAGTCAGTCTACGCCTGCATCGTTGAAAATGCCGCTGGGGTGCATCCCGCGTTCTCGTCCTTAGACCCTAGATTACGTCTGCTAAGATTCGGCACTCAGTCCGTGTTATATCAAGGTCTCGGCGAAGGAACTAGAGGGTATCCTATCTAGATACCCGTATTGCAGCCATTTTAAAGGCATAGGGCCGAGTAACCTGGAGAGGTAAGTTGCGTCTAAGTGCTCCCCAATGGCAAATGTGGCCCAACGCTTCGTGATCTCCCCACGATCCGTTCTCCCGTACCGACCTAGTAGCCGGGCAGTTCCCCTTACGACATCTAGTTTTCACCAGTCAAATATGTGAGGTACCTTTCTTTGACCCACTATGACATGTGCCTGACCGAAAAGGAGAGGATTAAACTGTAGATCATCGACTTTTACAATCAACCCGGAAAGTTGAAAAACGATTTGACA